TTATAGTGTAGATAGATATTTCTCAAATAAGCACGAATATGGGCAAAATCACATTGATTATATATATATATATATATATACAGGGTGACTTTGAAGTTGAGTCATTAATTTTCAGATAATGATTGTAGAAGGAAGATAAACCAGAATATGTGTGTAAAAATAAAAAAAAAATTTTACCTTGTTTTATAAAGTATCCTCCCGACAAGTATTTCAGTGCGGACCTGTATTTGATCGTGAGGTCCCCTGTGAGGTCTTAAGTCACCTGATTCACGAGCCCGTTGTACTACATTAACAAAGGCACGAGGGGTTGGTTGCACTCGATTGGAAACCGATCCGCATAAACATGTGCCATTTTTTATTTCGTTTGAGCCACGCAACAGACACTATTCACACGCTAACCGACTGACACTGACTGTATGTATAACTGAACTGAATAAAATAATTTATTGTAAAAACATCGTTCCAAATTCTTTCGCTTTTTTGTTTCCGATGCGATGAACCGGTAAGGCGGATTATATCCGTTGTTGCCAAACACGAGCACATGATATTATTATTGAGACAGGGCGGTACTCAAACTTCCAAAGGGCTATAACTTTGTTACTTTAATTTTACCAGAAAAATGGTAAAGGAAAAAACATTTCTTTTGATCAGATCTACTCACTGTTAAAATAAATGACTCAACTTCGAAGTCACCCTGTGTATATATATATATATATATATTATGGATTGGCACCCTGCATTTTTGAAAAAATCGAAAAAACGAAACTAAAATCTTGTATTCATTCCTCCAAACATTGCCTAATTGAACTTTTTTTTCTCCTTCCACGTTATTGATGAGCACTACATTACAATATTTGTCCATCTTAAAGCATTTTTGCTTAGATATTTTAGGCGTGAATCACTGACACGCCCTATATAAGAGAACATCTGTGGGCATGGTTTAACTGCTTGATATTCGGGTCTCGTAATTGCTAAACCATTTCATAAACATAAAAAGACAACTGCAAAGTGAACGTCCCACTGTCGACTGTCTTCATTTGAATACTGCAAGAATATTTTCCAAGACATTCGTCTTCGAAATGGATTTATTCAAGATGAATTATACATAGTCTATGTCAGCTAAGATAATAACTGCGGTTGCCTGGCTATATTTACTCTTTAAAATATTGTCTATCTACTTGAATCTAGTACTACAGAAACATATCAGATGGTTTTAATAATAATTGCATTTACTCTTGACAACCTTTCGCAAATGATCTGAACAAGCATGCACACCATGATACTTTGAAATCACGATGGTTAAATATGAACAACTCTTGGGATATTAGGTATCATTTCTTGCCCAAAAGAAGATAGAATCGCTCAGAAAAGTTATTTGGAATACCATAGTGTGACTTCAGTGGTCTCAGAACTCAGTATAGAATGATTCACGAAACAGCACATCACAAAGTTATTGAAATTGCAAGAATTGCAATCGCGAAAAATTTCGAAAATGAGGTATGATGTTTTGACATCACGAAAAAACATGTCACTCATTCCATTAGTCTGTCTGTTTCTCACTTATTACTTGGCCCCTCTATAACCCTAAAAGTACTGCCCAGAAGTAACAAAAAATAAATGTCGTTGAAACTTCATTTTTTGAGACTTCTACTTATTATCAGAAATGTTTCTAAAGCGATTGAAAATTGGGGTTTAGGGGTTGTAAATGTTGCATCCTTGCATATTTTCCATACATGTACCATTGAAATAGAAATATGATGGATTTGGCGAAACCATTGGTCCGTATGTATTAGATTTATCTCCTATAATTGGAAAATGTAGACCTGCGATATAGCATATAGTATTCAAGTGAATGTACCCGATGAAGTTTTTCTACTACGTAAAACCGCTATCAGAGGAATGCTTGGGCCAGGATTTATTCTTCTTAATTTTTTTCTTCTTGTGTTAAACATGTACCTGCTAATTTAAAAGTACGCTTGTAGCATATCCAAATTCTACTTTGCTAGCACTACTTGACACTTTGGGGGTTAATTCATTAGTGGAAATTGCTGTATTTGCTACTTGCCATTTCAAAAAGGTATAAACTGCAAATCATTAATATAAGCCGTCGTTTTATCTCGTTTTCTTTCATTGTATCTGAGATGGTCCTTTTGTCCTCTAATACAATAGATATTCGTGTGCATAGGACATGGAATCACTCGGCTTCACACACAAATTGAATGGAATTATACTATTGAGCGCGAGTCTCAACCTCCTTCAATGTCTGCCGAGATAACAAGATAGTCTGGCATTGCGGTAGCCGGTATGAATCTTTCAGGTCTATTTTTGGTGTATATTTGTCGCTGAGGATGCTAACAGAATGGCTAGATATAGATACATGCTTGGAAATAGAATATTATAGTGGTGTTCTCAACACTTTTCGCCGAACTTCTATCCAGATTATAATCTCAGCATGGATATAAAAATGAAACTGCTTGTAATCGCAGAAAATGAATACTTGAATATTTATTTATTTAATTTTACATCAATGTTAGGTGTATAATCTAGAGCATCTTGATCAAACGGCCTGACTAATGACAGGCCTTATGCTTTCCGGCACCAGCGACCTCCTAGCTTACCTCACGCAACTGTGGAGTAAACTCCTGTCATATGGTGAAGCTTATGTCGTTGCTCTTGATATCACGAAAGCTTTCGATCAGCTGTGGCACACTGCCCTCTCAACTTCTATCGTATGGTCTTCCAGATTGCAGATAGGTGGCTGTCTTACTCTCTCGCCGCAAGATATCCGTCATAATTAACGGATTCTCCCTTCATCCCAAAGTGTCACCGGGGATGCTCCCCAGGGATCGGTTTTGGTTCTGACATCGTTATTTCTATTACATATCAATGACTTTCTTTCCTGTACGATCAATCGGATCCTCACTTTTGCTGATGACAGCACTCTACATGCAAGATTTCAGAGTGCCAAGCCGATTTCTGCCGGCCAGCTGGAGATAAAACTAGCAGCCACTTCCTCTTTGACGTGAGACATGAAGGTTATCACTAGTAGGAGATGCAACAATCTAGTGCAGTTTACTGCTCCCAAAGCATAGCACTGTTCCTTGAATAACAAGAAGCGCCCTAGCACGCATCCGGTTTCTATGGATCGCAAAGTTCTACCATTTCGGCTGATCGGAGTCAAAATCACCGAGGACTTGATCTGGAACTAACACATTTCGTCAATCGCGGCAGCTGCTGCTAGGCTGTTTAGAGCTATGAAGTACTCTTCTCCACGTAACCTCTGCACTCTGTAGAACGTCCACGTAAGACCTAGCCTCGAGTACTCCTTACATGTTTGGGGTGCTGCCGCTCCGATTACATTATTCGTGCTCGATGCAGTTCAAGAGGAGGACTGTCTGACTGATCGATGACTGTCACCGCGTGATGCCTGAGGAGTTTTCCCAGTTCTACTAACCTCAGGCAGATCAAAGATCAATTAACAAAGAGCTCCTTGTAGCAGCCGTGATGCCCCGGTATTTAGGCTTATACCTACCCGGCTGCTTCGGTATAAAAAACAAGTTATTTCTCAAAGTGGGTTGAATACTCATAGTAAATACTCGTTCTTTCGCAAGGTTTGTCAGAACTAGATTTGGACGTTCACTTTTCATTAAACTCTAGAAGATTAATTACAGACGAGGGAGGTATCTTGTGTGCGGAATTAGGTGAGAAAATCTGACGATCTCCACCTACTAATGGTTACCAAGCTGATCTTCATCTTCATCCCAAATAAAGATGTCGCACCACCTAGGTCGACTCAGCTTGCAGTCGGAATACCAAGTATTCACAAAACTTTTGGGTTTGGGTTTTTCAAAAGACCATACCAACTTGTTTTCATTCCGTTCGCCTCCGTTCTCCAGAACATCTAGAGCTATTATACCGCATTGATGAGTTGTTAGTGCGCACAAAACAACCCTGTTTGCGGTTGGTCATGGTTACAGAAACTGAAAATATGTCCGTTTCAAACTTGTATTTTGATCGTAAGATATTTTTAACCCAACCTAAAGAAACTTTCAAACAATAGCTGTGACGTTTATTTTTTCATTCAACTGATCCATTCACCTTCTCTGAGAACATAGTATTTTTATGCGCGTTCCTGAACTAACAATATAGCACCCGTATATCTGTGTGCTACGCTATATGTAAACGGAATTCGCACGGTCAGATCCCAGACATAGTCATCGACCACTGTACGAACTAACCAGTGAACTACACATCCAAAATCAATGCTATATAGACCGTAGACTATAAAAGTACCGGTAGGTCTTTTCTTCTTCAAGCAAATTGTGCGTGTAAGTATGCATGAATTAGCTAATATGCTCGGTGGGTCTTTGAATAATCATCGTATTGCGCTAGCGTATATTTATCATTATAATTATTATGTATGGACAAGCATTTATAAACGCACTCAGACTACACTGATGTTATTATCATAATTACTAGTATAATATTATGATAGCGTCTTGACTCACTGTGAATCCGATTATTATTAACACTTAGACAGTGGTGTAACATTGATTTTAAGATAGTACATCAGAAGATACCCATTTCAATTGAAAGCCCCACTCGCAACATCCTGTATGAAAAATCGATATCATTTTTTGGCTAACTCCTTTGAGTATCATTCAATTTTATCATATTACCAGAATGGACCACTGCGAGATTGTACAGCAGCTATCAGTTGGAACTGATCTCAGTTCGCACTTGATAGCCCAGTCGCCACTGTGATCGCTAGATGCTGATGATTCTGGCTACAGGAGACGTAGTCTACTCGCCATTGAACAAACTAAACATACTGCTTTCATTCGGTCGACCACAGATAGCCAGCTGTTTCGTGCTTTTTGACAACTCACCAGCATGACCTTTTTGGCAACCAATCATTAAAAAAAGCACGAAACAGCTGTCTTGTAAATTATTTCTTTAATCCATACCAAACAAACGAATAACTGACATGTTTGTTCCAGAATGCAGAAGAAGCAGCCACCTCACCAACCGTCGAATCCCCCAAAACGGAGGAACCGAAATCAGCAGAGGAACCACCAAAGGCCGCGGAACCCGTACTAACCAATGGTGACGCGAGCCCCGCAGAAGTACCCACTAAACCCTCCGTTGAAGAACCCAAACCCGTCGTGGAGGAACCCCCCAAGGACGAACCTAAGGAAGAGACCAAGGAAGAATCCAAAGCAGAAGAACCAGAGGCCAAGGTAGAAGAGAAACCAGTCACCAAGGAGGTGACCAAAGAGGTGCGTAGCGATGAGGAAGTTCCCCCACCCTTGCCCTCCTCTAACCCACCTAACCCGGTGGCGGTATTCGCTGAATCCACTAAAGCAGATCAATTTTCTGCACAAGAATGTACTGATACTCCCCCTGTTACTCCCGCTTCTCCTCAGAGCACCCCCCTCCCTGAACCCAAGACTGAAGAACCGCCAAAGACTGATACACACCTTGCTGGTGAAGTGTGCCAAAAACCACCAGAAGTTCCTCCAAAAGAGGAACCAGCAGTACCAAAAGAAGTTCCACAGGTACCAGATTCTTTAGAGACACCAAAGGACATTCTACAGGTATCAAAAGAGGTTTTAGAGATACCAAAACAGGTAGATGCTCCCAAAGAGGTTGAAGATGTGTCAAAGGAAATAGAAGGTCCAGACGTACCAGTAGAGGTTGCAGAGACAGCTTCTATTGAGGCAGCAGAAACAATTCCAAAGCCATTAGAGAGTTTAGAACCTTCAAAAGAAAGTGTGAGTATTGCAGAAGAGAGAATAGAGCCTTCAGAGTCTGGAGAAGTGTCACAGTCTTCAAATGGTACAGTAGCAGCTCCAGTTGACGTTCCAGAGGTTGCTAAGGACACGACAGAAACACCAAAAGAAACTGTTGAGGCAGCTGAGGTTGCAGAAGTGCCAAAAGAAGTTGTCGAGGCTCCTAAAGAAATATCAAAGGTTACAGAAGTACCAAAAGAAACTTTAGAGACACAAAAGGAGATTGTAGATGTACCCAAAGCGGCGGAAGAGGTTACAGAGACTCCAAAAGAGGTTCTAGAGGCATCTAAAGAGGTTGTAGATGTATCAAAAGAGACTCCAGAAGTTACGGAAACACCATTAGAGACTCCAGTACTTACAGAAGTACCAAAAGAGACATTAAAAGCATCCAAGGACATCGTTGAATCACCAGAAGTACCAGAGGTATGCACGAACGGTAGTGTTGAGAGTACCAAAGTAGAACAAAATGGTGGTTCTCCTGTCAGGTGTGACTCATTGCCTGATGTTTCAACAGAATCGTTGCCTTCTCTGCCTGAACCGATGTTCGACCAACTGGCGGAGCCCATGTCTCTGCCTCCTGTGGATTCAGTTCCAGAACCCATAGCATGTTCCCCTCCACCAGTTCCTGAGTCACTTCCTTCCTCCACTCCTGTCGATCAGGTCCTGACAAACGGAAACGCTACAAATGGTACTGCAAATGGTCATCCGCATTCTCCTGTCGCTGACCAAGGGGAGGAAGAACATCCGGCTGATGTGCTACCAGGACAGCCCGTTAAACAGGTGAATAGAGTTCCCAACGCCTCTTCCCTCTCACTTAATTATTTACCTTTTGTCTACCTCTGTTCTCTCTGTCCCGTGAAGAAATACTGACTCTAACCTCTCCCCTATTGCCTTCGTTGATGTGAAACGAGCTTCGCTGTCCAAGACAGATCATGTTCGTTGCACCACCATACATAGACAAAAGAGGTCTATGAACAGTCTTGGTCAGAAGACCTCGCGTCACAGGGCAAGACATCTCAGCTCCACAAAGATTGTAACTTCTTGTTATCTATCTTAAAACTCCTGGAATATATGTATGACAAAACCATTGCCTCCTTTTGAACTGTTTAGTCAAATTTTAGAATTTCCTTTTCTGTCATTGAAAAATCTCAGAATACGAAATCTTAGAAATAATTTCGAGGGATGATGCCATGTTTGAGAATAAACAATTTTCTTTAAAAATAAAATGGAGCCTGTTTTTATTACTTCTAAGGCCATATTACGTGCTACTTGACGACATTTGCTGGAACGATGGAAATTGTTATATGAACGTTCATATCTGGCACAGATTACTGTTACTCCGCATCATTTTTACTTTTTTTCAGTCAGACAATTGAGTTCGACCCAACAAATTGCATACATAATTATTAGTCATTCTACAAGCCTTTGCCCTTCCTATTGCACCTTGTCCTATTGGTTGATTTGATTGAAGCCCCCCTTATAACGTGTTAACACAGCTAGTTTATACGTATTGACTGCTGTAGAGCTTGTTGGAGACTATCGTTCCTCGTTAATATGTAATTGGATAAATTCGAAAATAGCTAAAAATTTTATATATAAGGCTGCGTTTTTCAATTATTCATATATGGCGAACGATACTCTCTAATCAGTTCTGTATGGCCTGCCTTAAACGATTTGGAAGTGAGTTAACGTTTGAGTATGATCTGGTGCTAACAAGGACTATAAATGCTACGTCCTTTTTCCCAATATCCTTTCCAAAATACGATTTTATCCTATTTGACTCTGAGACCGTATAGCTTTAGCTAGGATTTTAGAATGTATTGCTGACAATGTTTGCTTAGTTCAAATCTCACTTACTCTGTATCAAAAGAAACAATCATTCGATCGCCGCTCAACACGCATTTATGGCCAGCTAGCCTATTTTTACGTCGCTCACTGGTTTTTGTTCTGGCGGTAGTAAATGAGATTCGAATACACTATACGTATAGTATTTATAGCTTAAAGAAAAAATGTAGTTCGTTCATCACTCCATAACTATGTTAATTCATTTCATACCATATATTATAAAAAGTTTTACTGGCCAACAACTACAGTTTTGGGGTGAATTTCATAAACCTGTTTATTCTTTGAATCCATAATTTCTTTAAATTGTTGATATGTCATCATTTTCTAGAGTTAAACATTTACAAAATTTGCCCTAAAATGCAATAAATAGATAGTGTTAACAAATAATTTAGGCATTTTATGCATGGCATTTTAGTAACGTCATGTTACATGAGGAATGATGCTTTGATTTTGTGATATTTAACCTATAACTTGAAAAGATTTTTGCTTCAATAGTAACATTTAATGTATAGTGGTATTAATCAACTGTCAAAAATTGCTCGGAAATCTTCCTGATTCCCAAACTATCGTCTCTCCTTGTACTTCCTTTTTCACATCTCGGAAATATTTTGATTACGTTTAATCAGAGGTATTTTCGAATTTAATTTATTTACGCTTAAAGTACCTGTTGTATTCAATACATTTAACGTCATTTCTGATATTTTAAGTCAAACTAAAATTGAATTTTTGTGCTAACACTAGATTTTTGTAGAATGTATTTGAAAAATTATTTAAGCAGTTTGTTATGGATGCATTAATAACTATTTTTGCAGGTCCTCACAGAATCAAACGAGGTGCGACAAGAAGATACAGTCAAAGATAACGACACAGCAGTAAAAACTGTAAGTATTTACTACAATAACTAAATCGGTATTTTATACATGGCATAGTCGCCTAGGTAGTGGTATTCTGTATGTCAACTGCCACTTTTACCACTGATTAACCTATTGTCACGATTGTTACTAGAGGGTAGTTTTGGTCATAGCAACGGGCTCTTGCTCACAAATAAACTTTGTATTGAACATGAAAGTATTATAAGGGGTACGTATACTGTAGAGTACAGCTGGTCTCCACACAGGGGAGAATGACAAAAGTTGATCCCCGAGGAGGACTGCCAACAGAGCGGAAATGCCCCCACGTGTCAGCCCAGCTAGTTTCTATAATCAATACTATCCCCACTTTGGCTAATAGCACACTATTGCTGGATATGCACACTTATGCCTTACAAGGTGCGGTGGTTGGTCACTCGTAAGAGTATCCTCCAAGAAGATACTGAACCATATGCTGTATTTGGACGTTAACATACGATTTCCTTCGTCACAGCCATTTCCCTTTAAAAGAAAAAATATTTATTCTTAAACATCCAAAGGAGGATCCTCCCGCAACCTCGCTTATAATTATTCCTAAAATTTCGTATTCTCAGAATTTCTCCATGAGGGAAAAGGAAATCCGATAACCTGCTGGAAAATTCCAAGAGGTGGAAAACGTTGACCCTTGAAAGACGGTTGTCGACACGTATATAGTCGTAAGCATAAGTGCTTATTAATTAATAAGTGGAGGTGCAATTAAAGAAAATCAATATACCTGGTGGTGTCCCAGAAGTCGACGTCAAGTCGGAAACGGGAGATATAGGCCAATTCATAATAGTAATCTAAAAAATATAAAAAAATTAAATTCGTGTACTTTTCATTTTATAGGCTTTCAAAAAAATAGAAAAATGTGTTATTAACTTTCAGTTCCCATTTCTACAAATTTCATTTTTTTTTTCTTAGACGGAGGGACGGATAGTGTCATTCTACGTATTGACACTAAGACAGATAGTATCGCTAACGCCACTTTTATTAATTCGTGAATATATTTAATAAATTCACAATAAATGTTCAAACTTCCTTCCTTCAGCAGCAATGCAAGCTTGACATCTTGAAATGATCGGGTTATCAGACGGGCGAATCTTCCGGTATTAACAAATTCAGCTGCTTCCGTTATTCTGTCCCGTAGCTCAGCTAAATTTTCGATTGGTTTTGAGTAAACTTTTTCTTTTACCGCTCCCCAGTAAAAAATCGAGTGGAGTTATGTCAGGTCCACGGGCTGGCCACGTAATTGTATCATACCACCCTATTCATGTGCGCGGTTATTCCGCATCAAGATATTCTCTAACCGAACTGGCATAGTGCGCCGGGTAATCGTCTTGCTGGTACCACATGTCTCTGTAAATGCTTAGCTTAAAATAGATTTGGTAAATGATTTTGTGAAAAGTCTAAATAAACTTCGCCACTCAAGAACTCTGGCAGCTCAAAAGGTACAATTAGAATCCCGGTCCACATGTTCACTTTAAAATGATACTGTGATCTATCTAGACTCATCAAATGTGGATTTTCTACATGCCACTCGTGTAAGCTGTGCAGATTCATGTAACCATCTTTTTTAAATGTCGACTCATCAGTCCATAAAATTTTCTCTAAAAATCACGAATCTTCCCGATGTCTCTGTAACATTGTTTGACAAAACTCAAGTCTTGGAAGATAACCCCAGGGTTGTTGTAGAGATTGTACTTTCTGTACGTGGTACGGGTGGCTCCTTTCGCTAGATTCGGTGGGCTGTACTTTTGGGCACTCCCGTGCTTGGCTTATATTTGACGTATTGAAGTAATCGGGTCTTGTTCGAATGCTTGTACTACGACGTCCTCGTAAGGAAAGTAATTCTTCATTCAACATGTGGCTGATTTGGGAATCGTACCTCTGAGAACAAACGGTGCACATTCATAAAAACTCAGTGGTCGGGATGACGAGCATCATTTGGGTACCTCTCACGATAAAGCCTACCTGCAGCAGCACTAGCATTTCACTTATATTCCCCATGATTTGAGGTGCATGTTGGCGTATTCCTGTACGGTGTACACAGACATGGTACCACAACAAAATTATGAATTAATAGAAGTGGCGTTACTATCTGTCTTGCTGTCACTACATAGGATGAGATTCGTCACCCCGTCTGAGAAAAAATTGAAATTTGTAGTTATGGGAACTAAAAGATTATCACAGGCGTGTAAATTTTCCGATTTTTATAAGCTTATAATTTGAAAGATTTTTTTATATTTTTCTGATAACTATTATCACTTGGCCTATCCCGTTTCCGGCTTGACCTCGACTTCTGGGATACCCTGTATTTTGGGTGATCGAATTCTTTATAAAATTTGGAAACCTTTTTTCCAGGAGGCTGCTGTAGTGGAGGAATAATTTTCATCTCAACCAGACACCATTCAAGAAACAAGAACATTTTTAATTGCAAGTTTAAAATAGCAGTATGCATCATTCCTGGCAGTGAGACACGAATATATAAGACCAATATGGAAAACTGAGGAAAACTTGTACTGCCAATTTTGATCAGTAATTATAGAAATGTACATTGCACGTCAAATGTATGCAAGATTTTTATTTTTTAAGCATTCTCGTGTCATGATTTGATCCATATACCCCATAACTTATGGAATATATAAATACACCAGAGAAAGCCTTATTCGTTTGTCAAAAGTAAAATTAAAAATCGAGCTATATATAAAGTTCAACCCAGGCTGAGATCACACCGCAGATTTTAAAAAGTTTGCATACTTTTGGCTGGTGCTGTGTCCGCCAACAAAATATATATTATTGAGAAATTTTTTAATACTCCTTGTATCTAAAATATTTTATATTGTCCTTAGTCAAGCCTTCGACAGTTTTTTATATGTCGTTGTTAACACAGCGACTTTTTTATCGTATACAATTGTAAAATAAAAAGTTAGCGTAGTTTTATGGGTAATTTTAGGCGAGCTTATTTCTGTTTGTTTCTCTTTTCTCAATACGTAAATTCATGTACCATTTTTTATGAAAAAAAATACAGCTACGAAGATTCGATGTCTGCATTTCTTTTGTAAGTATATTATTTTAGCTTAGATTAGATACATATCTTAATAATGGGAATAAAAACATTCAAAATCGTCCAGGCAGTTCTCTTTCTGTATATGCAAAAAATGAGAGGCGTTTTGAAAAACGTACAAAAGTTCCCGTGGTTTTTGAGATTGTCTGAATGTAAAATTTTTAACAAGGATTTTTTAAACTATGAATGTGTAGAGTAGATGTTGGCTCTTTCATTATCAATAGGTTCAAAATAATGTTCTTCTCAGATCAGTATGTTCAAGAAACAAATTAGCGTAGTCTTGAAAATAATAATTTCTTGCACTGGTCAGTAGGAGTTTCAAAGTGAAATGATGCAAAATCGACACATCCTTCCAACAAAGTACACCACACATTGTTTCAAAAGTTTCTACCCTCACCTGAAGATGGCCTTAAGTACAAGCTCACTATTCATTTGATGAATGCTTACAGAACTCGGAGTGTATTTCTCCAGGTAAGATATTTTCCAAGAAGGTCAAGGTCAGATCTGTACCAGCTTTAGACAAGGAGTTCTTTGACCCTTGATTTGACCTTTAGCCTCACCTCCATGGTTATTTCAAGATTAGGGGCCCTTTTTGACACCGGCAATCAAAGGCACGGAAAATTCTGCATTAATAATATAGTGATAGCTTCTAATGAAGCTTATCAGAGTTATCGATGAAAAAATATTAAGGACAGGTCTTCAGTTAATTTTGAGAAACCTTTCATTGGTGACCTTGGATTCAACATTGAGCCTTATACAGGGTGTTCCAGAAATAATACGCCTGAGTGACACGGGAGGTAAATTGGCTTCAGATCAATCAGATAAAATCAACATGACCTTAGTAAAAGTTTTCTAGTTTTCGAGATATTGCCACTTAGGTTTTTCAAAAAATTACTACTTTTTGCTCCATTTTTGCCTGTTATGGCTATTAAGAACTTCTAAGTTAAGAGTTTTTTCCTGGGCTACCATTAATAGTTGGTTGAGACAACCGAGTATTCATTTCATTGAAAACTAGCATGTATGCTAAAAAAAATAATACATTTTGTTTCAATGTGAAAACCTTTACTAAAGTTTGACTAATTACTAGTGATTGATGAAAAAAGTTTGTAAGAACAAGTCTTCAGTAACGTTTAACAAAACTTTTATTGGTGACCTTGGATTCAACTTGAACCTCGCCTTTAAAAACTCATTATAAAGACAACTTATTTTCTAAACTGAGAACCCCTATTTGACACCGGCAATGGAAAATTTTACCTCCCTAATATATTCTTATATACTACTATTAGGACCTTGAAGCTGAGACTTGCGATCAAATACAACACCTTATTGATTTTGTCAAGAGTAATCCTGCCAATCTGCTAGGACTTTACCCTAGGGTCGCACATTTGAGCTCCATTTTATCTTTAGCAGTGATTTCAATATATAGTCTGACAGATTTTTCTATTCTTTCCATTGCCATTGTCTAAAAACGGGCTTTAAAATACAAAACAAGTGATCTTGAAGCTGATGCTTAATTTCAAATCCAAGGTCACCATTGAGCTCCTCCTTGTTCAAAGTTAGTAAAGCCCTTTTTCAAAAATACCAAACCTGCAAAAATACAGAGTTGCTTCTTTAATGACTTTTGTAATATTGTAGCAATGTGTTGACCATCCAGTTGAACTAAAAATGACATTATTATGAATCCCTTGATATTGTATTTATATAATATACAAACGCTTTGTGTATTTTTTTCGCTTTTGATAGCTATGTCACTATTGTTTCATCACTTCACTTTTTTTGGAAACAAAACTCGCTCTTTGTTTCCCTATTTTAACGCCACCCCGAATGTGCTTAAGAAGAACTTAAATGTAAAGTCATATTCTCCCTTCTTCGATCATCATACTTTAAATTTAATTATTTTTTAGCCCTAAAAGCCTATGAACGTTCCAAGCAAACCGACAAAGCCATCAGTTTCATTCGGTTCTCAGCAAACAACTTTGTGAGGACACTTTTCGCGCGTCTGCAAAAATAAACACTTGTGCACAGTGTTTAGCACCTGTACAAGTGGTTTCTTGTAAATAATTTTGTTGACAAAATATTAATTAGCGTTGTAAAAAAATGTCATTTGATCAAAGTTTGGGAGTGGTTTCTCTCAAAATAACTGAAAAAGTACAACCCAAAATCAAAAATTCTTGTTACACGTTTTGATACTCAATTTTTACATCTGATAGCAATATAGGGTAGGATGAAATCAAAAATTTTGATACTCCTGAGGTTTACTCCAGTTTTTTATATGACGAGGTTCCTTAGTGCATAGATGGCTTACAACATACGAGTAGACAAAAATTTACTGAGAAGATTCCTGGTGAAAATACTACCTCAAAGAAGTGTAGTATAGGTAGGTATAGGTTTAAGAAGAAAAATGTTTTATAAAACATCAAAAAAGTGCACAAATTTCACTCTTCTTTGCCAAATGATATACGAGTAACAAACTGTGATATTAAGCATCAAGTAACTGAATTAAAATCACTTTTCACTCTTCTTCATCTTAGGCACATTCCGATTTGCAAAATCGCACCTTTTAATCAGTGCTTTTTTGAGAAGAGTATCGACCAGTTGTGCCCAACAAAAAACTGAAAGAGTAACTCTAGAAACCACTGTGTTTGAGGTTTTTATTAGCATGGAACAATTGTGAGCTAGCATTTCCTAAATGTATGGTTGGTCAAGAAAATCGCGAAAAAAATCTGTACATTACACAACGAAATTGAATTTTTCGACTTGTTTGGCTCTCAAAATTTTAATATGTTAGCATAGTTCTTAAGCAAAATATAGTTTTGATTATGTTCAAACTTAAAACTATATTATTCTTTTTTGCGGAAAGGTTCACAGCTCTTTGATATTTCGCTAATTTTTCCGACTTATCAAATCGGCTGTGACTAAGTTAAACCATAGAAATAATAAAAATCTCTCCATGTATGTGTGAATGTGTTTATAATATAAATATATAAACTAGATATATTTTTGTCTTATTTCTTCAACCAAACCCAAAAATAAAATAGAAAGATCCATTGATTCTAGCATGACTGGGATCAGATTCGTAATCTACGCACTCAACTAATCAAGAAAAGAAACTTAATTTCGTCGATATTGCAGATACGAAATTTTTCTTAAAAGTTTCCTTAGAGTGACAAGTCCTTACCAGAAAAAAACTCTATGAGTATGTTCACTGGCGTATGCAGAAAAGTTCTGGAGAGGGTTCAGTAGGTTTACACCGACCGATTTTACTCGGTATTTTTTGGCTACTCATTTTTCTCAATATTTTGAGATGTTTCACAATGCAGAGATCGCCCCCCTGTTTCTCCTAGTCGTTCTTGTCTTCCATTGAATCGAATAATCGATATTTGGTGTATCACCGACCCTCTCCGTTTGTAGCTACCTAGAAGTATGACGTAAAAAATCGATATGTCATTAAAAATCGGTACATACGTTAACTAGTCCATGCCACGCCCACTAGCTGTGAACGCGTTCCATGGAGGAATTCAACAACAGCCTATAGTATAGAATTTACAGCTTAAACCATAGAAGCTATAAATGGCTGCGGTAGTGCCACCTCAGCAGATGTACCTCAAGTCTCATGACGTTTAGGAAACACGGACAGCTAGTACAAGTTAACATGAAGTTCCATTCCATCAGTTCCACATTGATTCTTTCCAGATAAGATGTTTTCAAGTTTAGATACATTTATTAAGAAAGATAACACAGGGTGTCCGCAAAGTTGGGGTTTTCCTTTTCAGATACAATTACGCTTGATATAACAAAGCTGATGTATGGTGAAACGTGAGCGAGCAAGTAAAAAAAAGAAATGAAAAAGTACTTACTGTTCAGTTGAATTGAAATTCCAAGTACGGCTCTGTCGTAAAATCCGAGGAGCAGATGCAACAAAAATAACAAATCGATCGAAAATATGACGTCAGTGTCACTTTTTCTTGGTGAACGTATTTTATAAGTACTGTTAGAAGTTATCACCGTTGGATTCAAAAACGTGCGTGCTCGACGTAGCCAAGCATCGGTGCAGGCTTTTAAACTCTAGTCCCTTCCCTGAATGAATGCAGCCGCTTGCCCAATTATCAGACGTAATTCGTCAAAAGTGTGCACCTCAGTTTTGTACGCCAAGCGTTTCATTTCGCCCCAAAGAAAAAAATTACACTGTGTTAAGTCTGGAGATCGCGGAGGCCATGCTACGTCCGATAAACCTATTCGGAAATGATTTATTTAAGAACTCACGCACTTCGCGTCTAAAATGGGGCGGTGCACCGTCATGGAGAACCCACATTGATTGCCTTAAGCGGCATTTACATTTACGAGTATTCGGATCCGAGTTTCGCTTCTCGGACTAAATTTCCGAGCCCGGATCGAAGTAGAATACAATCCGACGAGAGCATCTGTTTCTGGATAATATAAAATGGCGGAACTAAAGTTTTCCAGCGAGCAAATGGAACAATTTATTGATCTTTATAGATCATTTGAGTGTTTATGGAACATTAAATGTACAGATTATAGAGACATCAACAAAAGGAACAACGCGTATGAAGCTATTGCCGATATTATGAATATTTCAATAGAAAACGTGAAGAAGAAAATAAACAACGTTCGATCGACGTACTTGCAGGAAAAGAAAAAAGTTGAGTTATCAAAAAGTACAGGTATGTAAAAATAATATTGTAGTTCAATACTATTATACAGGGTGACTTTGAAGTTGAGTCATTAATTTTCAGATAATGATTGTAGAAGGAAGATAAACCAGAATATGTGTGTAAAAATAAAAAAAAAATAAAAAAAATGTTTTACCTTGTTTTATAAAGTATCCTCCCGACAAGTATTTCAGTGCGGGCCTGTATTTGATCGTGAGGTCCCCTGTGAGGTCTTAAGTCACCTGATTCACGAGCCCGGTGTACTACATTAACAAAGGCACGAGGGGTTGGTTGCACTCGATTGGGAAATCGATCCGTATAAACATGTGCCATTTTTTATTTCGTTTGAGCCACGCAACAGATACTATTCACACGCTAACCGACTGACACTGACTGTATGTATAACTGAACTGAATAAAATAATTTATTGTAAAAACATTCCAAATTCACTATTCACTCACGCGTTACCGACTGACACTGACTGTATACAACTGAATAAAATAATTGTAAAAACATCGTTCCAAATTCTTTCGCTTTTTTGTTTCCAATGCGATGAACCGATAAGGCGGATTATATCCGTTGTTGCCAAACACGAGCACATGATATTATTATTGAGACAGGGCGGTACTCAAACTTCCAAAGGGCTATAACTTTGTTACTTTAATTTTACCAGAAAAATGGTAAAGGAAAAAAAACATTTCTTTTTATCAGATCTACTCACTGTTAAAATAAATGACTCAACTTCGAAGTCACCCTGTATAGTTTTCGTGATTTTAATTAATTTACAGGTTTTAAACATAGGCTATGTTTATATCATTGTATATATATATATAACTTGAGACGTGCTCATTGTCGTCTAGACCAGTTAGGTGAAAAATTAAAGCTTCCGCCTTTTGTTGGGTACTTCGACAAAATTTAAGCAAAGAGGACTCTTTATACTTTTTTTAATTCTCTCTAGCTTTCAATGGACTTTGCCATCATCATCAGGAGAGTAGTATGTGAGGATGTTGCTAATTGTTGTTTGTTTGTATAGGATGAGGGAAACGTCCAGTAACATGGTGAGAGCTGGATACATGGTACAATGGTCAAAATTATATAAAATATGACAAGACAAGTTAAAAACAGATTAAAAATGCTCTAATGTTTTTAAATAATTTTTAATCTATATAAGGTAGAATTTTTGAATATACCTCCATCCGACATGCGTCCATTGCACCCAACATCTATATATAAAAAATTACATTCTGCATCTGCCAAAGCTAAAAGAACGATACTATGTCTGCCTTTATAATTAAAGTAATAAGATCCTGCGTTTGGGGGAGCTTCTATTTCAATATGTTTTCCGTCTATAGCACCAGTAGCGTTGGGAAAGTTCCATTTGTTTCTAAATTCGTCGGCAATTTTTTTCCAGTCATCTTCAGTGCAAGGTACCTAAAAAATATTATTTTTTAACTTGCAGGGCAAAAAATCAACAAATAAGGAATGTGATAATACTATTACACCTATTACACAAGGAACGTCACGCAGTATTAATCCTCCTCGCAACAAAAAAGTTCGTAGACAGGAAACAGATTCTGAAAGAGGTTTTGAAGATGCCGTGAGTAGTTTGAGCGCGATATGTAAGGAGGAATCAACAGAATTTGACAAGTTTGGGGAGAGCATAGCAGCGCAGCTAAAACAATTTCCTTTGGAAGATGCAGTAAAACTGCAATTAGAAATTCAGCAACTTATAACGCAAACCAGATTACGAGTAATTAACCGCCATAAAACTTCGCCAGTTTCGATAAATACTTGCAACCCAGGATTAACTGCATGTATGACATCTCCATTTTCCCCAGATGACTATAATATTCCCACACCATCTTCTGTTAATTCTTATCACTCAGAATCATACAGTGAATGTTCTAACATAAATAAAAGAACTAATGATTCAAATACCATTTTTCTAGCAATGCGTGGTGCTCAGATTATTGACCAGTCTAGTGAAGACACAGATATTTAATATTTTTGTAGAAACCTTAATAAAATTACTACTAACAAAAGAAGTTTTTAAATATTATTATAAGAATTTAATTTTGTACATACCTTCATATATTCTGGCTGCAAGTGTGAGTAGACAGCTTGACATACATGAGGGACAAGTAAACTAATTGTAGAAGCTGATACTCTTGTTAAGTATTCTAAGGACCTGTAGCTATCTCCAGTTGCAAGGAATCTTAATGTTATTGCAAGACGTAACTCAGAACTTATAGAACTTCGCAGGTAAGTATCTTGTTTTTCGATGTCTAAACGAACCTTAAAATTAATTTTATAATAATCATTAAAAGCTATTTTATAACAAAGTACTAAACTTACCTTGTCTTGTAACATCATAAACGTGTCATAATCCATGCGCATAAAGTTTTTAAAATCGTTTCCGTCTTGTGCTAGTAAATCAGTGAGCAAAGTTTGCTCAATACCCACTCTGTGACGCTCTTGTAAATGTGGTTTCACCCAGATGCTTCTATTCTGTGTAACCTTTTTCTTTTCTCTTCTTTTTTTTAGAATATTTAATAATATTAACGCGACAGCAGCTCGTTTATTCTTGGAGGGAGCCATTTTTAAAATTTCCAAACTATACGAGCTGCTCATACAAATCTAAACCTTCACATTTCTACTCGTAGTGTTTATCCGAGTTGCTCGGATCCGAGTACTCGTAAATGTAAATGCCGCTCACTCAAATGCACATCTTGCAGGGTTGCTAAAATGTTCTGTAAAAGGTCTAGGTATTGTATCCCGTCCAACCAATTTGGAAGAATAAATGGTCCAATGAGCATGCCGTTTACCATGCCAGCCCAAACATTCACAGAAAATGTTTGTTGAAAGTGTGAGCGACGGACAGCGTGAGGATTTTCTACTGACCACACGTGAGTATTGCGGAAGTTATTCACCCCGTAACGCGTGAACGTGGATTCGTCTGTGACTAATATGCACTTCAAAAAGTCCGGATCATTGTCATGTGGGTGCAACAACCACTCACAAAACCGCGCTCTTACAGAAAAATCCTCAGCTTGGAGGGTTTGTATACGTTGCGCGTGAAACGGGTACAATCCTTCATCATATTGGTGTGTGATTGTGCTATTTTTTTATTTTTTGAATAGCAATCGGTTACCAACGTAATGGTTTGTTGACTTACACTACCGGCGTCTGGGTTAGGTTGCGTATTTACATCGTAGTCATACGTCGTATAACTGTACGCTGGCGCTCTGGATGTGATCGAGGGATAGGACCGGCTTCGGTTTGGTTCAGGTTTGATTTAGCTTGCGGAGCCCAATATCTCGGTTCTCTTAAGACATTGGTGTATAATGCTACTAAGAAAATCCGCTCATTTTCTCAAGGTAAACACGCCGTGTAAAGGAAAACCCCAACTTTGCGGACACCCTGTATCCTATGAGTGTAACATCCTGTGGTTTTCACGTTTATAATCCCCCACGATTGTCTGGCCAACCACATTTGTGTAAAATTCCTGTTCACGTTTCGGTCCCAACTGTGACGAGGGGTGGGGGGCTGACCAAGACTACATTTCTTCTGCACTACCAAGACATCAAGAAACGACCCGCAAGTCTGTGTTGCAAGAGTCTTGCAAAAAATACTTGCTCAAAATATTGACATTTGCCAATTTCTAAATTTAATTTGTTGAATGCTTCTAAAAGAGTAAGGTTTAAAAATCAAGCAAGAAACTTTCTTGTAGGTATTAACTAAATAGTTGAAAAATTATAATTTATAGTAATGTATTGTTGGTGCACACCAAGTTTTCCGCACACATTTCTGCAAGTTTGAACTTACTTTCCCAAGTTTTACGTAATTATATTGTATATTATAGATAGAATGCTTATACAAAAAAACTTCGGCTTACATACATATACTAACCACCCAGTGAATTTTTTTAGGTACATGCTAAAATTTTGACTGCCTCTTAATTTCTTGCTGTATAGCAAATTGAGAGCCGAAATTTTCAATATGCATATCCTGATATTTCAGAGGCATGGTAAATACATGTTTACCCTTCATATAAGCACAGAACGCTATTTGTAAAAAAATATTTTGTAGAAACATTTATTTTGCATCCTCTTCATAACTAGAAATTGTGTCTGGTGGTAACGGAATAGTTCATTTTTTCGAATATATATGAGGGCTGATGAAAATAATTATTTGGCAAGTATTCTGAAGTATTTATCGGTGGAAAGAGATACAACAGTAAGCCTTATGAAGAACAAAATTTAACATAGGAACGACATTTTAACATATATTACATTCTTTGTGTTCATTTGAAATTGTTGGGTTGCATGTTAGGTTCAAATGCTTCATTTTGATCCGAGCTGTCACTCATTAGCCTATGCTCAGTTAATGATGAGACACCCTGCGACATTGTAATATTACCATTAACCAATATACTAAAACTAGGTTTCAAAAAAGGTATAGTCTTTTTTTATGGTCGAAGTTGGAATTATTTATTCACTCCACGTGATTGTACGACTTTAGAACGTCATAAGTCATTTGTTTGAGATTTGCACGAACTGTTTATCTGATCTAATTGAGTATACATTACAGAACAGACTCACGTTTATTTTGTGTCATTATCTCTCAAAACAAAAAAGTTAAATCGATATTTATGCGCAACCGCAAACCGCAAAAACGATCATATCACGGTAACCGTAGCCCTTAGAGCATTGTGGTTTCCATAACAAATCATCAAATAGCGTCCCCAATCGCCCAAAAAATGTTTTGGTTCATGTACCAAACACCCTGTATATACAAAAACTCTTATTCTAAATTGCAAGCCTTACTATTTATTTATGTTTATAAGTCAGAAGTAATTATCACTAAGCTCCATTATTATTATAATCGATTTTTGTAGATATTAGCTTAGTAATGTTAAAAAACGTAGATAAAAAACTGCAGTTGTATAACATTTCTGTGACTACTATTATGTGTTAAAAGTAATATGGAGCTGTTTTAATGGATTGGCAAAAATTGCAACAGCAAGACAGACTTCCATAATTTTGCAACACCAATACTAAGCTAGTATTGATGATATTGCAATACTAGACCAAGACTTCTGTTGTTTCAAGACCAAGACCACGGAAGTCTTGATTTTGGGAAGCCCTATCGAGTGGGTGAAAGGTGTTGTGTCGAGCCTCTAAGATCCCACCTTGATACGCCCGTCGAGTATATTGCTGAAAGTGTTAAGTTGGCTGCTTTAGTTCTACTGACAGTCCGCTATTTTGAAAGCTATGATTTATTCTAGAGCGCCCAGTCACTATCTTGAAATTTTCAACTTCTACTTTTACGTTCAAATATGCTTGCTTCGCGATTTCAAATTTAAGCTTCATAACTTGACCCGCTCAAAAGAAAAGGAGGGGGTGGAGGGGTCGCTTCTGAAAAGTATTGTATTTGATAAGTTCTTGATACCACGAAAGCGTTCGATCAGCTGTAGCACGCTGCCCTCTTATGCAAACTTTCATCCTATGGCTTCCAAGAGACGCTTTGCAGACGGGTGGCTGACTTTCTCTCTGGCCGCAAGATATCCATCGTAATTGACTGGTTCTCCTCTTCATCCCACAACGTCAACTCGGGTGTTCCCCAGGTCCTGGCTCCGATACCGTTCCTCTTACATATCAACGACCTTCTTTCCTGTACGATCAACCCAATCCACAGCTTTGCTGATGACAGCACTCTACATGCAGGAACTGAGAGCGACAAGCCGTTCTCTGCCGCTGAGCTGGAAAAAAGACTAGCGACGACTTCCTCTCTGACGAGAGACTTGGAGGTTATCACTGCATAGGGACGCAAACATCTTGTACAGTTTAATGCTTCCAAAACACAGTACTGCACATTGAAGTACAAAAACGGTCCTAGCGCTCCTCCGGTTTCGATGGATGGCCGAGTTTTGCAAAATATCCGTTCATTTCGGCAGGTCGCAGTCCATATCACCGAGGGCTTGATCTGTCACGAACACATCTCGTCAATAGCGTCAACTGCAGGGAAAAGCTAGTCTATTTGTTTAGGGCTAACAAGTACTTTCTCCTCATGACCTGCTCACTCTATACAAGGCCCAGATAAGGTCTAGCCTCGACGATTGCTCACACGTTTGGGGTGCCGCCGCCCCGACTACATTATTTATGCTCGATGCTGTCCAGAGAAGGGCAGTCCGACTGATCAATGACTCTTCTCTAACAGACAGCCTCGGAACACTGTCGCACCGGCGGGCCATCGGCGATCCAGCTCTCTTCTACCGCTACACCAACGGCCTTTGCGCCATAATGCCGCCGCGCGATGTGCCTGCCAGACAGACCCGCCCGACTTTGGCCTCACATCCTAACCGTGTCGACCTTCGTATATCCATAACTGGCCGATACGACCGCTCCTTTGTGCCGAGGGTGTCGAGATTGTGGAACAATCTACAAGAAGACGCTTTTCCCAGTTCTATCAAACTTAAGCAGTTCAAAAATAGGATTAACAATTTTTCTTTGGTATCCTCATAGCAGCCGCGGTGCCCTGGCATTTAGGCTTTTGTCTGCGCGGTTGCTTCGGTATAAAAAACCTCATAGCAGCCGCGGTGCCCTGGCATTTAGGCTTTTGTCTGCGCGGTTGCTTCGGTATAAAAAAAACCTTTGAAAAAATATATAAAGCCCGACTGCAAAGGAATTAATTTCTAATTGTGATATAAAGACAAAGGACACCTCGAATGACAAAATCCATCAGGCCGTTTAGGCAGTAACCCGTGGAATAGACATTAAAAGAAGAAGATTAGAATCCTCCATTTTGGTTCTACGAAATTCTGGAATACCTAGTGTCACTGGCACTGTCACGTCAAATCTAGAGACACCTTGTATGCCGAAATCCATCAAATCGATTAAGCTATAGCGCGTGAAATAGAAATACATATTTCAAATTTGAAAGTTTTGTTCAAAATCCGCCATTCTAATTTTATGGACGGTAGCCCGTGAAATAATCTTTTGTACACATATGTACCTACGTGCAGAGTAAACACATAATAAGACAAGTAAATAAGAAAAACAAGTGATATACATTATAGAATAAGTTTATTGAAATAATGGCGTAGCACTAGGAAGCCTCTATCATTATACAGTTTGGTAATAAATATTAGAATTCGGTAAATCCGCTAAAAGCAAAGTATCACTTAGGTATCTATAGAAGAGAGCTTTGATCTGCATTTCCACTTTTTGAATAGCATCCTGTATACAACTTTTTTGAAAAATACAAATTCTCGGGGAAGCAGTCAACTGCAAAACGAAGTCAGGCCAGAAAGGTGATTCTTTGTTCAAGCCAAGCTTTCGAAAATATTTATTTTCTTGATCAGGACATATCACAAACAATAGTGAATTTCAATTAAAGCCATTACAATATAAATGAAAAACTACTTACAACGTAAAGAAAACGGAGGAAAACCATAATAATTTTGTATTGCTCGTCCTGAAAGAGGACTTCACGTTGTCAGTAGTTTTTTTATTGTTATCGTAATGACTTTAATTGACACTCAACATACTTTGTAGTATGTCCTGATAATGAAAATAAACATTTGCTAGTCAGCCAAGACTACCCTCCTCCTCCAACTTTTGATTCGCACTACGAAACGTTTAAAAACAACAGTGAATCTTGAGTCTATATTTATATTGCATATCTTTAAATCTCTGGAGCACTTTACAAAAAAATATTGAATTCACAATTTAAAAACTATATAAAAATGAAGGTGCCTTTCTATGGCAATGAAAAAAATAAAAATTGTATGTAAATGTAATCTAATGGTTCCATTATGTCGCTGGTAGATAAGAGCAGAAGAATCGGCGGTAAAGCTTGAGACTTGATCGATTTTTCAAGCAAATAAGATAAAGACCTCAACTTACTACAAGTCGGTAGCACAAACCAACGCTCTCTAAGTGTTCACATTCACAAAAATACACTTTGTAAGTTTGATTATATCAGGAATAGCTAGATAGTGCGAAAACGCTTGTATTTTCACACACACAAACACATATATTGCTATATTTGTTTTTTTTTTCAAATGACGAAAAGCGCTATTGCACTTCAAAGTGAGATATGTTTATTCCAACCAACATTGCACCCCTCTACAAAAAAGGCTAAAAAATTAAGAGGTAGGTGTAAATTATATTAAAATAATAGAAACTTATAAGATGTTAACTTATATCTAGTACAGAACAATTCACATAACCTTACTCCAAACTCAAAAATTTTGATGAACTATACTAAAAATTTGGTGCCAGAATTTATCAAACATAACTACGAGTATTAAAGAAATTTACTAGGGCCTATTCTAGAAAATAAAATGGATAGGACCCTTGAACCGCATTTGTAAGTTAATAAGAAAATTATTATGGCACTGCTTCATATATAACTCTTGTATTTCACATGTAAAACGAGGTAGAATTTCAGAATTTTGTTGATAAAATCATAGAAAATTGCAAAATTATCAATTGCAAATTGTATCAAGATAAAATATTATTGGAGGTTCAGCACCTCCTATGAAAACACAAGCCTTCTATAAATCTGTGTGACAATATACAAAACAATACAATAATTTTTTCAACTTTTGTGGGTCTGTGTCGTCCAAAAACCTTTAGCTGTTCGAAGATGGTTACAGCAATGTCACATTTTTAATGAGCTTATGTTTTTAATAGAAATAGCTGACCTACAATTTTATTATTTTTTATTTATTACTTCTAAATTAAAAATAAAAAAGATCATAGGATGCATCATATTTTTTTATATTCACCACTCTTAATAGGATCATTCGCAAATGATAACTACAAAATTGTACAATATATTTTATCAAAGGCACACCTATTACAAGACAAGAAGTTTTTTCATATTATGCAATCGTCATGACAGAAACGATTAGTTTTGTATACATAGATTTAGATTCAATAGTTTGGCTTTTGTATCGACCTAGCAAGTCTGAATATTTTTTGTAGCTATACGATTGAGGTTCGATAGAAAAATTTCTATGCACTTGAAAGAGATAATAGGGAATATGCTTGAATTTTTGTATTTTCTGTCGATTATTTACGTTAATATAATATCGTAAACACACGTTTCGTTCATAAAAATGTCTACCTATTTTAAATTAAATGAAATGCCAAAGAAGTTAAAATGCCGCATTTTTGGCGCGCTTAGCAGTGACGTCATAACCCTCGACATGTCATTTGAGTGTCTTTTTGGTTAATTTGTTGTCGATTTTACAAAGTTTCTATTTTATATCCTCCAGTTTTAATAAGAAAAGCATGGCGGAAGAACAGAAAACCAAAGCTTATGAGTACTGAATTGTATCTATGTGCAAAGATACGATACGGAAACCACCTGATATCTTTTCATATTCCTCGAGATGCTAGCTAAGCTGAAAGTGCTCTAAAATTACGAAAAAGGACAACATATTTCCAAAAAGAAATTCACATTGTTGTGAACATCATTTTAGTGTAGGTACAGAACACAAAACTTCCATTTTTCCCAAATATTAGTTAGTTACATTAGATTAGAAGAATTATGTATCTTTTTTCCGACTGTGCCTTTTGAAAACCACTTTCAGTCATTGTTGACTGCACCCAGAAAGTCTTGAGTCTTTTTCACGAGTATGTATTACGTCAGACGTCAGAGCAAATAACAGCCGATATCTAATAACATTTCAAAATACCCCATATTGATAACAATTCTGACGGATCTGTCAATGCTAGATTTGTAGACAGAGTCGTATTTTGATGTGACTTTTGTACCCTAGAGATTCATACTTCATAACAACGCTTTTATCACGTTCGCACAAGAAAAAACGCTACAAGCATAATTGCTGTTAGTAATAATAACTATATTTCAAGTCACCTAGGAATGAAACAAGATGAATCGGTTTTTTTTTACTATGTTTGGCATAAACAGTTCTGAATCTGGCAAGTTTTATCCCGTTCATTAATGCCATCACTACAGGCTTTAATACAAAGATCGTACCCACCATTTTGAATCGGACTGACCAATCAGCAGCGGGTTGACTAGTCACAAGTCACAAATGGTGACGTCACGCCAATATCGTTGCGTTTCGATATTTGAAATTTACTGCGTTTTTCCATTTTTTTATTAATACTAATTTTATAGCGGTCAAGTATAAAAAGAGGTTCAACGTGTCATTCTGTTGCAATATAGACTGTACATAAAAAAGTTACCTATTTTTGAATCACGTGCATATTCCCTATTGTTTGAGAACATATGGTTTAAAAGCTAGTGCAAATATAGAGCTTGGTCTATGGAGTCTCTACCATAAGAAAGGTATCGAGTTTTTAACATCAACTACATTTTCCCAATAAAAACTTCGTTAACCGAGGTATATTGTTCGCTTTGTAGTGAGGTCTGCATCTAATGACTGATACTCCTTGCTACATGAAATACACCAAATAATCTAATTTTGCTTATTTTAATGTTAACACGCTTTTAGACGTTTCCTTGACAACAGCGAAAATATAGACAACCATTATGAAAATTTCGTAGGAATTGTTTTCGAAGAAAACTAAAAATATGAAAAATATCCCATAAGTGAGGTATCCTATTTGTAACAAAAACCATTCATTTGGTTTGGTTTGCATTTTTTTTTAAATAAGAGCCTACTTTTGGGATTATCATAAATCAATCAAGCTGCTGGATGCTATACAAAATTTCCAATAGGTCTCGATATGTTTCGCCTTTGGTATCTATAAACACCGGACTATGAATTTACTTGCTAATCATCAAACTGGACACATTGAAAGCGATTTTCACATGACAAGAACGGCGTATGTAGAAAATTTCTGTAGTGCTCCGAGATTTATAGACAGCACTCGATTCAAATATAAAAACAAATCAGACTAAAGTAAAAACAAAACCAAAATTCAATAAAAGTGTATATAATTGCACTTTGTGTGTTATTGCATGTAGATTACGTTTCTTTTTTTTTGAAAAATAGTTCGTAAGCTGTACATACTAAAATGAAAAACAAATTATTGTACTTGAATTTGTAGGAATTGATACCTTATCCAATCAGTAGGTAAAAATCCTATAAATGTAATAAAAATTGAAACACTTGTACTGACCCGAGATTTCCTACGTTAAAGAGCAATATTAAAGTTGATCGGCTAGAAAAAAGGCTGTATAGTCTGAATTCTAAATGATTTATTGAGAAACACATTCCTCTGTATTTTTTTCTGCAGGGCTATGCCTACCGACTGGATAAACGTGCAGCATCTTAAACAAAAATATGAATAGCGACAAATTTTAAACTAGGCAACAAAACTAAGGGTGTGAAAATGCACGAATTAATCAAAAATATAACTAGGATTCTTTTTTTGGTTACTCACACAATATTAATTAAAAGTGGAGCACACATCTCTGTACACATTTGAGACCATGAAAAGCACATACCTGCAATCTCTCTTAATTTTCACAGTACCTCAAAATTAGTCAGGTTTGTTGCTTTCATTTTGATCTCAAATACGCTCATAGATTTTTTCGATAAACTTAAAAAACTTGGAAAATAAGAATTATGACTTCCCCAAGGAAATTCAATACAGAAAACACTCAAATGCTGCTTTAGTATAAGGGATAAGGAAGCAACGAAGATACTTAACAACATAATACGTCTTATTTAATAATTATTAATAACAAAAAAGAAATTAGTAACAAATATTGGAAACAGTGTACATGGTACACAGACAAACTCGCACATGCAAACATATATACTTACAGACACGCATAAGGTTACATAAACATTTTTATATTTTTGTGATCATAAGCTTTTGGCTAGATAGGACTTCGTTTTTAGGTACAGGGTATTTCGTAATAATTGTTTATGTTATATCGAAATAAACAATGAATATATTCACTACCTCTGAAAGCTACTTGAAGGATTAAATGTTGAAATATGACCATATTTAAACCAATAATTAATGTCGACCTGAAGATGCTAATCATATACAGAGAAATCCAAATATCACTGACCAGGTAACGTGTACGAGCGAGAAGCGACCTCGTCTCGGGTTGCTAGGCAACGTGGTGCTTTTATCTCTTTCTAGCATACGTATTGCACGCTTCTCGCGTACAGATTACGGGTTTCTGTGTATACTACTACTAGCGCCGAGTAAAAGACATTAGCAAAACACAAAAATTAATTTAGAAATCTACTTTGAATTAAAGTATAGTTCTGCTACTGTATCGTAGATAGCATTTTTGGCCTCTCTAATCCGTATATTCAGGTGGAATACGCTAATCGATGCCTGAAGATACCCAATTAAAGTAACACATCATTCAATAAGTCTCAAGACTAACCTACAGATGGGGCTGGCAATAACGAATCCACTTCGTTTTTTTAAAGAACGATCCTTGAAATGACACTTGTTTAATTTGTACGTCAATCTGATCATCAACGGCAAAGCTTCTGTGGTGAAAGTGATGCTACTTTTGTATGTGTTGAAAATGAAAAAAAAATGAATTTCAGGTGTTGGTAAATTATTGCAATCTGGCTTGAAAAATGCGGCGAAAACAACGATTTGCCGGTGGTATCTTGATTGCAAACGCGGCCGGAATGATACAATGGATCGGAACGCTCGGGCAGGCCAAATGAAGCAGTAACGTAACGCTCGTGAGACAGCCGAGATGGTGAACATATCAAATGTAAGTGCGTAGATTTATTCACGAAAAATTGGAGACAAAAACGGTCTTTTCAAAATGGGTGCCGCATTTTCTCACAACGGAAAAAGGCAACGACAAGTCGACGATTCAGAGTTGTTTGTCACTGTTTACTCGTAATAAACAGGATTTCCTGCGTCAGTATGTGAAATTGCACGAAACATTGGCCCAACGTTTTACTCCAGGATCGTAATCAGCTGAGTGACTGAGTGCAGCCGGTAAAAGCCGCCCTAAGAGTCCGAAAACGCAACCCAGACGCAACGACCACACATGAAGAAACAAACCATCTTTCATTAAGACACACTGTGCTACAAGCCAAAGAAAACAATTATCAAATTAAACCAGTGGTGCTTCAATCTGCAACCCCATCCACCATACTCTCTAGATCTAGCAACTAATGACTTCGCTGATCTCAAAAGAATGCTTCAGGGAAAAGATATAGGTCCAATGAGGAAGTAATCACTGCAACTAAAGCTTATTTTGAGGCAACGCCAAATCATTCTACAAGCATGGTATCGACAAGTTAGAAAAGCGTTGGAATTAATGTATTGCACTTGAAGGTGATTATGTTGACGAATAAAAATGAATTTGGTGAAACAAATGTTGTCTAGACTTCTAAATGCATTTTTGTTTTCTGCTACTGTTTCACAGATGGCGCTAGCGAATTTCCAATCCTTTTTGGAGCCAAAATACAATTGATTGGCTGTGTTCAGGTATTCATTATTCAATGCTTAAACCTAAAGAAGTAGCTAAGCAATTTTTGAAAATGTTAAGAAAAAAGTGGCAACAGCTTGTTTGATAACCTCATCATAATGAACTTTGAATGTAATTTGCTTAGAGAAAGCGATTTCACTAGTTATCTCTAAGATTTTTACATTGAAGTTCAGTAGAAATAGTTGATATTCGCAAAAAACCTGATAAATTGACTGAAAAATAATTTCGTAGATAATTTCTGTGATGTATTTTACAGAAACAACATTCAAAAGTTAGTGCTTCAATTTTTTGTGCACTTTTAACTATTTCAACTATTCCAATCATTATTCAATACATATATGTATATTATATAGAATATTATTACGATACACCCAGTTACTTTATGAATGTTCAAGGTATACCCTGGAATGTAAATTTCTGAATAAAGTACGTATTTTCAGATTTATATAACATTTTTAAAATTAACTCCAATATGATAATCATTTGTATATAATATACAAATTTGCAATAAACCATTTTTCTGTGTCATTAACATTCGCAGATAATTTCACCTAAAAAATTTGTACCAAATCACTTAAATGACTTTTGCAACAGCTAAAATATGTTTCACGATTTTGATCATTGAATTCGTTGAAATATTTCGAAGATATAGTTCGGTAATATATAGTACAAAATGTTTGGCACTGTATTTTTCCATGGTGTTTCTTTGTGATAAAATATTTAAGCTGTTATTTCCATCATTTATTGAATAATTTTTGTTGAAACGAATATAAGCTGGTATAAAATTATGTGGATATATATCTCTTTCCATGCTGGAATCAAAAACAAAATCATTTCAAGTATAATACAAAATTAATTAAAAAATTAAGCAACATATGGATTCCTAATAATCGTATGATGTTAATTCCTGACCTTGCATAAATCGTTAAAAAACAAAACGAAATTGATTACAAAGAGGCAAATATATAACTGGTGAAATAGTTTTCAAATCCTGGGTATAATATACAAAGTGTTGCCGTCGAAAAATACGTCTAACTGTAACTCATCCTAGCTATGAATCTATAACACATAGGAACTGAAAACTTAAGGGTTAGAAACACTAGTTATACATTACATGTAGTGAAAATGATATTGATAAAAAGCAATAATGATTTCGAAGTTGCCGCAGTTGTAAATTTTAACCATATCTTGTATCGTAATGTTTATCACGATTTCTAATTCGTGAACATTTTGTTGTCATTTAAGGTTTTAAAAATGACACGTCCTGGAATTTTTGTACAGTACGTACACCATGCTTAACCACATATTCAAATCGCTTATAACATATAGATAAAAATCAAGTCACAAAGTACCGCTTTCTCAACGACAACCCTCTTGACGTGTAAAATTATATATTATATACATATAGATAGATATATAGATCTACGTGACAGTGAAGTTTTACATATACATATAGATACATTGAAATATCTCTCTAGTACTGGCAACGGATGGCACCCTTTTAAGGCGGCGCTTTGATACATAGGAAGTTGAGGGAGTAGTAAGGGTAGGGGGGAGATTCGACAGATGACAGAAGTCCCATTGATGATGATCATGATGATTATTATTATCCTACCTGTCTTAGTCGCTGTTGCTGAAGTAGTCTGAGGCATTGCCGCGGCATATGGGGCAGGTTCTGTTCGACTAAAAAACAAGACAGTTGTTGAATTTGATAAATATGATTACTAATACTATAGGATGCTTTTTTCATAAAGGTGCAGAAAGATATTCTGGATGATGAAGCTGATGCTTGAGTGCCCTTTAAAAGATGGCACTTGGCCGTCATCTTGAAATTTTTACTGTCACTTTCGGGTTTTGAAAAGTACTGTATAGATGTTCTAGCATAGACAAATACTACTAATATTATGATTGACAAAGTGTGGATGTTTATTACTCAGTCACGCCTACATGGCTGAACAGATCTAGATGAAATTTGGCACAGAGATAGATTTCATTGTAGTCTGGAATAGAGCATAGGCTACTTTCCATCCCGGGAAATGATCTTGAAACATCTATTCACAAGCTACAGCCCAAACGGCTCAATGGAATTTGAAATGAGGTGTCTGGTGCTCACTCGCTGGTCCAACCGAAATGAGTAAAGGCATATACGGTAGCAGACAAAAGTTTAGAAACATTCTTAGTAATTTTTAAAAGTGCGCTAATTTTTTATTCTTTATTATTAAGGACTATTTTTTCTCATATAGTTTGCTTCAGTCTTGAGGGTACAATTAACAATTTGTGTTTGCTGTGGTACTACAGACTAGCATTAAAAAACCTTCATAACTATTTCATGAATAAAAATGAGACGACAAAAGTATGGAAACATAAAAAAAATATTTAAAAAATACTGTTTAGCTAATATTTGATACCACAGCCTTTAGCATTCAACACTGCCTGACATCTGCTGCTCATTGAAGACACCAATTTTTTACAGGTGTCTGTTGGGATATTTTGCCAAATATTTTTTACATAATCAAATTAATCGGTCATATTTTTTAAAGTTTTTCTTGCCAGTTGTCTTTTAACATGCTCCCAGAGATGTTCTATAGGGTTTAGGTCCGGGGATTGCGAAGGTCATGTAAGAACATTAACATTTTTTAGTCTTAACCAGTCCTTTACGAATTTTGAGGTATGCTTGGGGTCATTTTCTTGATGGAATGCCCATCGTAAAGGCATTCGTTCATCAGTAAAAGGGAGCATGTGTTCACTAAGAATATCTGTGTAAAGTTTTTGATCCATTTTCCCAACAATTTTGACAATCGGACCCGTTCCAGAACAGAATTTTTTTCCAAAATTAAGTATTTTTATTTCGTTTGGTACTACATTATATAATTTAGCTGCTAAGAACTTAAATGATTTTTTGAATAATGTTTTATGTGGTCTTTGGATATTATTAATTAACAATGAATATTTTGATATCTGTATATGGTAGAAAACACCAACTTTATCACTACCTAATCAAATTTGCAGCATAAAAATAACACATGTTGCAATTACAGTATATCAACCTGTTTTCATTTCAATGCAAAATAAGTCTATAACGCATAGGTGGCTGTGACAAATAAAAGCCATGACAATTGTTTTTATTAATCACAGCTGTCAGAATACGTTTAAAATAGTTTTGGGTAGTTAAGGTTTTCAAAATGGGTAGAGGAAAGGTTATTAGTGAGAAAATTCGGTTACTGATAATTAAATTTTTTAATTCTGGGAAATCAAACTCAGAAAATGCAACTTTGTTAGACTTATCGCGGTAGAGTGTGAGAAATATTGTTAGAAGATATAACGTAACTGATTCAGTTAATATTAAGTCACGATATGTGAAAAAAAGTAATATCACAAATGCCGACCGAAGAACATTAAGAAGAATAATCGTGAAAAACAGGCGTGCCAATTTTTTACAATTAAGTGCTCTGTGAAGTGACGCTGTTGGAAAGAGAATTTCGAGGTCCACAACTCATAGAGAGGCCCACAAACTGGGATTTAGCACTAGCAAGGTAAGTTTTCTTATAACAAAAGGTGAAGTAAAAACCCTAAAGTTGCACAACTTGTTTATATGCCAAAGAAAAGCCACCATTAACTCCACTGCAAAAGTAAAAATCGGCTTAGATGGGCTAAAGAACATAGACAATGGACACCTCAACAATGGTGTGCAATACAATGGATTGATGAGGCCCGATTCGAAGTTTGTGTTGGTGACAGGCGCAGAAGTTATTCGCAAAAAAATTGAAGCATTCCATGTTGACTGTCTGAAGAGAAAAGTGAAATTTCCACCATCCATTATGGTCTGGGGCAGTATGTCATCAAAAGGAGCAGGGAAACTTCATTTTATTGATGGAAATGTGGATACAAACAAATATTTGGAATATTAGAAGAATCGCTTTTACCAGTGATGGAACAATGTTTGACATCCGGCCAAGATTTTGTGTTTCAGCAAGATGGTGCAGCGTGCCACACCTCAAAAAAGGCTATAAAATGGATGGAAGAAAATAATGTACCACTTTTGAAATGGGTTTCTAGCAGTCCAGATCTGTCACCTATTGAAACTTTGTGGCACGAGATGAAAAAGGTTCTACGACAACATCCTGCTCGTACGATCACCGAACTGAGACAAAAGCTTCAAGAAATATGGGATTGTTTTACACCAAATTTTTGCCAAAACTTGGTTAACACTATGCCCCAAAGAATTTCAGCCATAATAAAAAATAAAGGGACCCAATGGTAATCTTTCAATTGTTGCTTTGTTAACTTCGCGCATTTATTCGCACATTGTTTATTTGTTAAGATGTTCTATTAATAATTATAAGTCTAATATGTATTTTTTACGACTAGAGTGTATCTAAAATGTTTTTAAGAAAAAAAATTGTTTTAGAAGTAAATAGTTTCATCATGTTTAGTTTATAAAGGCATATTTTGATACACATCTTGAAGTGGGCCAACTGAAGTGGAAAGGGGCTCGTAGATGAGCCTATTCGATATCGTGTGTTATGCTCGTGTTTATAGGTTTTTTGTTCATTACAATACTTGTGGTATAAGGTGGTGGCATGTAAGAAATAAAGTTGTCTTGTATCAAGTATCCCTGTTTCCTGATAATAAGTTGTTCGTCGGATATACTCTTGACTTATGGAAAATGGCTTTCATAACAGTTTTTTGTGCTATATTCAGGTCAGAAATATATGTCTTGCAGGCGGCACCCCAGGCTGTGATGTCGTATATTATATGGGTTTCAACTAAGGCATGGTACAGGATTCGCAGATAACTTTCTGTAAGAATGTTAGGAAGCATTTTGAGTTTATAGGCAACATTTCTAATTTGTTTGATAACATATTTAATATGGTTATTCCGCCTTAGATGTGAGTCCATAAATACTCCAAGATATTTCAAAGTGTTAACTATATCGATTTTGGTCTTTTGGTCATGATAATTAACGGAAATTTGTTCGAAGGTAGGTAAAATTTTTAAAAAAATAAATTTGTTTTTTTGAAGTTAAGTGTTAAAATTTAGTATCAAACCAGTCAATGATCCTTATAAAATCCTTTTCAGCTATTGCTTCAGTACTGTTCCTTGAGCCACACCACACTTGATGTACATTTTTTTACTGTAAGTGTTACTGATTTTGACAGTCTGTGCCCGACTTGAAAGGTAATTTTTTAAAAGGATTTGTGACGTTCCCCTAAATCCCAATCTTCCATAACTTTCAGAAGCTCGACGTGGTTTACCGTATCAAAGGCATTTTTTAGATCAACAAAGATACCAATAAAGGTATTTTTTTGACATTAGAGCTAATTTCATCCATTGCAATCAAATTGCATCTGTAGTAGATTTTTCTTTTCTAAATCCACATTGGTCAGAACATATAACTTTGTTTTTGTCCCAAAAATTGTAATATCCTTTCTTGTAGTAATTTTTCGAAAATTTTGGCTATATTCGACAGTACTCATATGGGTCTATAATTTGATGTTTCCATTCTGTCACCGCTTCACCGCTTTTATAAACATTAGTAATAACTGTTGTTTTAAATGCATCAGGACAAATTCCAGATTGGAAATACCAATTAATGACGTAAGAAAGTGGTTCGGCTAAGTCGTAGGCTATTATTTTTAACCATCTACACCAGCACTTTTTTTGGTTTTAAGTGACAGGACAGTTTCTTGTACTTCAATCGGACTAACGCTTTCTAAAAAGAATGAATTGGGAAGTTGGGTTTTCGGGAACATGTTGGTCAGTCATCGCCCCACTGAATCTGTGATAGTAAAGCGATACAGACGTTTTATTCTGCACCAGCTGTTACACGCGACATCGTGCGCTTGAAGCTGTTACTAACTCAAAGCACAATGCTACGAACTTCCGACCACGTTTTGTAAATCAGACGGCATTAGTAAATTGACAGCCAACTTGCACGCTTGGAAAGTGTAGTTACGTTATTAGTGGCGCTACCTACAGGTTCCTTGAGGCAGAAAGTAAGTGTTTTTAATAGCTGTGAAAGAGAGTATGAAGATTCTCACCCTGAGCCATTTGTCGATGCACCTGGCATGGAACTCGTGAGCGCAAGGCAGAACCCTGAGCATGTTACCAGCTTCGAAGTCGCACATGCACACCACGCAGCTGGTCTGATCGCCTCTGTGCGTCTCCTCGTCGAAACGATACGACGCCAATTGATCGATCTCCGTACGACCTACGACATAAATACATATAATATCGAACATAAAACTGACAGGAAAAAATTAAAATGTTATTTAAGCATTATTCTCGTCAAAAACAACCAGATGACTACGACTCGATTTTAACCTTAGCAACTGGCAACCTCGTTTGGAGGTTGTGGAGCAAGTCACTGAGTATGTATTCATTAATAATGATGCGGAATATAAATAGACTATTTTATTCTTAAAGAAACTTGACTGAAAGAAAACCGTATAAGCAGCGTATTTCACAAGTAAAATCTAGACAAATCACTTAGTCGACATTTTTCATTTGCAAAAAATTCAATACATAAGAAATACATTCAAAATCAAAATAAACGCAACAAGCAAAATCTTGATCAAATTCGTAACGTCATAACTTTTTTATTTTTTTACTCGAATTCACTGACTACCTCGGCAGGCGGTAGGACACTCCTCAGCTGTATTGTGTAAATATGAGTTCTTGATTGTAGTCACGGTTTGACTTGTTGTATAGGGTAAATCAAAATGATGTTTCATTACCTCAACTTTGAGTCACTCTGTGGTGTGACCCCAGTTGCCAAACAGTCCGCAACATCTTCCATTATCAAGATTTTTTCTATAATATTTTTTTATTCACCTCAATATATACAGTGGTTCAAGTTTTAGAGGCAAATGAAGATTTTACCATCAATTTTGCTTCTTCCTTGCATAACCTTTTTAATTCAAGAACGAAGTCAAAAAATGTTTTCGTGAATTTATACAAAAATCTATTGCTTCTCTGTGCTGGTTTCACATTTTTGATATCTACAGTGGCGAAGAAAATGAACACTTTGACTTAATTTAAAAACACGGTGTATAATAATTTCACGCTCTACATTTTTGAAATGTAATGTAAGGAATTTTGGGTTCATGAGAATTCGAGACAGTTATTTTCAAGCAGAATGAATATAACAACAATTCTCAAATTTTAATCTGCGTTATACTTTTCAGATAGACGCCTTCTAGCCGTTCTCGGGTCGAATATTACTCCTTCATTACATGTGTAGGATGTGAAGGTGATGGATAACCAACCTGTAACATAACGTTTATATAAACGCAACCAGAAGAGGACAAACGCCAAGGGTCAGCTATAATACTGTTTCTGTTCGATGAAGCTACTGATCCACATCCTCTCAGAAGACAGCTCCGTGCATGCGGGCATTCAGAATGTCAATCCGAGTGGTGGCGAGTTATGGAGGAGACTGGTATCGATACAATGTGAGTTCCTCTTTGACATAAGTCGCGAAGATTACCACTGATGTGTTTATTTGCACCACCATTTTACTGCCATAGTACTTACTTTAGCCAATAAAACGTGTCGTCAAGAATATAGCTTAACACGAATACGTCTCCTCAATCGAGGCAGCAGTTGGGAAAAAACCTGAGTTATGCGTATTTGTCTAGAAGCTGTAAAACTGTTGCGTTAACAAACTTATCAGTAATAACCTTCGTGTTTAATGCCAAAGAGGAAGTCACTATTGCATCGCTGCCAGTCTTCTCTCCAATCTTACAAAGCGCAGTTTCACATTCTGTCTGTGACACGCGAAGTGCTATCGTCCATGAGGATGTGAATAGGCAGATTTACCTCACAGAAACAGTATTGGAGTCGAACTCTGGCGAACACTCGTGTTGCCATTATGGGATGCAAAGCACCTCAGAAAGTTCATAGGATAGGGGTACATACATCATATTGTCCTCTTCTGGTTGTGTTTATCTAAACGTTGTGTTGCAAGTTGATTATCCTTCAGTTTGCAATTTGAAAATGAACCACTCTGTATATTAAAACTTGTAAATTGTTGTGTTACATTAATTCTCCTTAAAAAAACAATACTCGCCTTAACTATCATGAATCCAAAATTAGAGAATTCGAAACCTGGTTGTTACCTGACTCTGTATTTCAAAAGGGTAAAGCGTGAATTATCATAGAGCGTGTTCTTAAATTAAGGGCAGAGTTGAGAAATTTGTTAATGGTTGTGTTACATTAATTTTGCTCAAAACGAACAATCCTCGCTAGGATTTTCAAGAACACAAAATTGGGGGATAAGGAAGATATGGTTATTGCTCCGTGTCGCTGTATTTCAAAAGAGTAGAGCGTGAAATTAGTATACAGCGTGTTCGTAAATTTAGTCAAAACTTTTCATTCTCTTCGCCACTGTATATAAACGGAATCAATGACGATTTAAAGAAATGTGTACCCAACGCAGAGAGGCAATGGATATTTCGTACAATTTGTTAAAAAAAATTGAATTTGTACTGGAATTAAAAAAGTGATGATAGGACGTAAAATTGGTGGTAAAATGTCGACTTCCCTCTAAAACTGCAACCACTGTATATATTGACATGAATAAAAAATCAGACTATAAAGAAAAATGTGGTACTTGGTAAAGGAAAGCATTGTGGTGTGATTGGCAACTGGATTCACACCACAGAGTGACTCAAAGTAAAAATGTAAAATTAAAAAAGTTATGATGTTCCGAATTTGATCAAAATTTTGCTTGTTGCATTTATTTTGACCTGAGTGTATATGTTAAAGATCTGTGGAAAGTAACACCTTGTACACAAACATATGCCTTGATTCTAACGATCTCGATCACATTACTAGAAAAACGAATTCTGATTGGTCCAATTTGCTCCCTAGATAGTAAATTCGGGCCTAAATGTCACTAGACCAACTGGACCTGACTATTATCGAATAAAATTAGCTCAAATCCTTTTTTCACACTACACTTACCCAATCCTCTCGGCTTAGCCTCCCCTAACCTCTCAGCCAACCTCAGCAAAGCTTCGTAATTCTCCGTGGACTCCGCTGCGGATACGCCACCATCCGAACCGGCGGCAGACAAATCAGTCTGATGGCCGAACGGCGACAGAGGCGGATTTGAGAACATTGCGAGGAAATGCAGTAGGAAGCCTGAGTATTGCGCTGGGGCAGTCACTATAGGGGGCGGAGGTGGAGGCGGGCCGCTCTGGTGGTGCCATCTGGCGTGGTGGTGGGGCGGTAAACGCTGGCCGCCCGGTTGGTGACGTCTGGCCCGCGCGGCATGCAGTAACTGAGGACAAAGACATGTTTAGGCGACATGAAGACATGATGATTATAAATACAGTGTCCAAGAAGTATTAATACATCAAAATATCTCAAAAAAAAAATTTCCTAGAGAAAAATGTTGTTGAATAAAGTTGAAAGGTTTGAAAAGGTTCATCAGATGGTGACCATAAACGTGACCCTGATTAGGACCTCCAAGGTTACGTTCAGGGTCACCATTTGATAACAATTTTCAAACCTTAAAACTTTTTCCTATAACTGTTCTTTAGAAAACGTATTTTTCGAGAAATTTTGTCCTTTTCACATACTTTTTTGGACATCTTGTATAAGCATATGACCACTCACAAAACTTATATTTTTCTTAATACAGCTGCTTTTGATTGAGACTAAAAATTCTAAGTGACAACCAACTTGGCTTTCAAAAGCAATAAAATATCATGGAAGTTATTTTAATATTACATCATCATTTATACTCAAATTCAAACGATTAATTGAATTTCAATGTAAATAAGACAAAATGTATGACTTTCAAATGGTCCATTGATTTAATGAACGTAAAAAATGAATTGATACATAAAACAGACAAAAACAAGGTTTCAAATTAATAGTGTTTAAATCAGCACTTCTGAAAAACAACAAATTTGAAGATATCCCGCAGCGAACTTAAAAAAATTCTAATAAATAAACCATATTATACATTGTGTGACTTTTTAAATACATTTACTCAAGATCCACATATGTAATTTTGTTAGTTTCATGTTAGCTTTGTAAATAAGAATCCCGTTATTTTTCAAACAATAGAGCATATTCATCTAACTACATACTTGTTAAACATCGGCGTTTTAAGATAAAAATTCACCATAATTTTTTGACATGAACATTTACCCTACAAACCTCGAAATCCTGTATCTCACCACAACCAGCGACAAAAGGCATATTTGGCTAGATACTCGTATTTTCACGAATTCAATGTAGATTCGCTTTGCCTCGCATTCATTATGGGCCAAGATATTATACAAGGTCTGTAAATTAAGTTATGAGAGTGTCTTTTTTTATTTAAATGTTATTACAACTTTATATTGTCAAAATCAAAATAACTTCCCTCTGAAGCGAGACGTTTCTTCCACTATTCATAGCAGTGCTGGAACTCCGATACTGTTCGGTTACAGCCGTTTGAATGTTTACCCAAAATGAGTTCCCCTGAGATGATTTTTCAACTACGTGGAGAGAAAACAGTCACAAGGACTCAGTTCAGACGAATAATGAGGCTGAGAAGGCACCGGAATGTTTTACTGGCCAAAAACTCGTTTAATGACATTGCCGTGTGACAAGGAGCATTATCGTGATGCAACATCCAGTTGTGTTGTGATAAACGGTGGTGTGAGTCAAATGTAACTCTTCCCCGATCATTATGTCACAAGATCCCGGATTCTATCGATATTTGCATCGGTGCTTGAAGATGACGGTCTTCCGCTTCGTGCTTCATTTTCAATCGACTCTCTTCATTCTGAAAATGCCTTAAATCACCGAAAAACCTAGGCTCTTGCCAAAACACTATCTCCGTAGGCCTGCTGAAGTTTAGCAAGACTTTCCGTTGTACTAGGTCAAAGTCTGAACCAAAACCTGATATCACACCGTTGCTTGAAATTTTAGTCACTCATTTTGTGTTTCCCTGTCTCCCCTCCAAACCCGGCGCCTGCTGTGTTTCCAGATTGAACACTACGTTACCAGTCTCATCAGTTAATTTACAGACCAGGTAAACTGTAATCAAAAAGGCGTTCAACACGTCTGACACAAGATTAAACAATTCTCCATAAGTTTAATTTGTAGACGTAGACCCATAACTCAAATGACAATGCTTGTCGCATTTCAACACGATTGAAACGTTACTCACCTCAATCGGTGGCTGTTGCGCGGCATGTTGAGCCGCATGCGCGGCTGCTGCCGCGTGATGCGCCGCCTGCCTGTCGTTGAACAGCAGCTGAGCAGCCGCGGCCGCCGCAGCCGCGTGGTGGTGGTGGTGGTGGTGGTGATGGTGATGCAGGAGGCCGTTACCATTGCTGTTACTGCCGTTGGAGGCGGTCGAGTGACGTGGAGGCGGACCGTTGTTTGATGGGAGATCACCGTTGGCAAGGAGTTCGAGTTCCAGCGTGTCGCCACCGTTCGTACGCTATAAATCATAGAATACATGTTATGTCGTTGATTAGGAGGACTAACACACATATAAAGTGCCGTGCAATATAATACCAACCATATGAAGCTTGCAGTTAACATCTGGGATGGGAAGCTTGACCAACATTTTCATTGTGGAAAATATAACATTGTCGATTATTCTTTACCTTTCAGGTTTTTAGGCTCATAGTTCGAGAATGCTGTTTGAAGTTAACATGAAATAGGTACCCAGGGAAAGCATTCTTTGCAATTTATCAGTACTTAGCGGAGAGTATTACAACATGCATGCAACACGGAAAACGATGATATTTAGGACTATTTCAAGATCATTTCGATCTTTGGCTGATTGGTTGACTGAATGTGGAAAAACATATAATTACACTACCTCACGTTTATACATAAATTAATAGTGAATTCCATACTATCTTATTTATTTGAAAAACCTATACCTAGAAGAAACATACATTCTCTAAATTTATTTTGACAATCATTGTTATTTTTATTGTTATTATTTTTATTATCATTATTACTATTATTACCATAATTACCACTATAGTTATTATATTATATAGGATAGCCGTATTTTGCCTTAAATAGGCTAGAAATGCTGTTTTCTCCTACATGAGCTGAATAACGCAATTCTTAAGCATACATCGCCACCATTTAACGCTATTCGAAAGATATTTCAATCTGGTGAATAATGAGGTAAAAAATACGCACTATCATTATTCAAATAGAATTTTAGGCACATGCTACTAGATTGATATAGCTAGTTTCGCCTTTGATTTTGTAAGTAATTTACGTATAATTCTCGTATAATCTACTTTCTCAACAGGGTTAAATGTAAGAGGCTTATGTAATTTGCTAAGCTTCGCCCTAATAAAGCCTGAATTATTATTATTATGATTACTTCGAAAGTTTTATTGGCAAAATCTCATGTGAAGCTTCTCAATCTCCAAAACCTGTTCAAAATCAACAAATCTTCAAATTCCCACTAGAGTTGTGTCACTTAATAAATCTGCATGGCCCCATAGAAACGTAGGCGGTCTAAGCCCGTGGATCCATGTTCTCTTTCTAGTCTATGACAGAAAGATTGTAGTTTGACATTATTTTTTTGGAAACACTAGTTATTTTGAACAGTTTTTAATGATTAAGAAGCTACTCATAGAATTTTCCAATAAAATTTTGCATAACAAAACGACTAGGGTTGCAGCGGATAGTGAAATAGCTGGATAATGGATACCGAGTATCCGGTTCGTTACTTTGACGGATAGCCGGATACCCGGCCGCCAGATAGCCGACCCCATCCGAAACGCTCTTAGGTGCATTTTCCTTATAGTGAAGATTCTTCCAGCAGTGGTGAACATACGTCCCCACCCAGCAAGAAATACACAACTTTTTGGAACTGTTTCAATGAGGTGGCGGAAGAACCATGAAAATATCACCCAAAAAATGCTATTGCTAGAGAACTTGACATTTATGTGAAAAAGCATTGAATTAAGCAAAGTGAGAATCCATATGCATGGTGGGCAGACAATAGCATAGTTTAGCAACGATTTTCTAACAGTTTACAACCATCATATTCAGTTGACCAAAGGAATTCTCTAGAAACTCGCACTCAAATCCATGCAACAAACAGTGGTCCAACTGATTGGTTAACTGTTTCCAACCGTCCACAAGTACATATCTCGTCTCCCTGTAGCAGCGTTTACAGAGTATACATATTATCTTCTTAAGCTGGAATATTGTAGGAGCAGCAAGAAGGGCTTTAGCCAGCGAACGCAGAAAAACTCGAATTCATAAGCCACCATTTGCCGTTTATTTACTAATTCAGAGATAATGGCGGATTATCTTGTTAAAGTTTTCCTTACTTGATATGGAAACGGAGTAATTCTAATAGAAAATGACATATTTGTACTCTGATTTATTTTGATCTCAAACCTTTATTAGTTCATTTCTTTTTTAATACAGAATAAACATTTTATTTGGAATTCTACGTTCTTTGATGAAGTGTTAGCTAACAGCCATTGGCTGTTTTATTTTACTGACTGAAGGCTGATAGTAGCAATAAAAATAAAGTTCGTATATTTTGCGGTTTTTGTTTTACTACTATCAGCTTTCGCCGGATACTAATACTAGTAATGGGTATCTGGCCGGATATCTGCTGCAACCCTCCTAAAGTCCCAAAACCTTCCATACCTGCGACATATGATGGTGCGCAGCTGCTGCGGCAGCAGCCGCCGCGACATAATGATGCTGCCCTTGGGCGGCCAGCGCGGCAGCCGCCGTGCATTGGAACGCTGCTCCGAACCCGCCCGCCGCAAACGTCTGCGGATGCGCGGCCGCTGCAGCAGCCGCGGCAGCTGCCAGCTGCTGATGGTGCTGAGCGGCGGCGGCTGCGGCGGCGACAGCGTACACGTTGTGCACGTGGTGGCAGGTGTGCACGTGCGGCGGTGCACCTGGAGGGGCGGCGCACAGCGAAATGGGCGGCGGTGCATGATGTGCATGCGCGTGATGAGGCGGTGGGGCTGTTTGAGGACCGCCAGGAGGCGGGTGATGATGCGTTGCGTGAGGCGGCGGTGGTGCCCCGGGGTAGGACCACACCGCGGCAGCTGCGGCGGCTGCTGCGGCCGCTGCAGCTTCAGGACGACTCATCGGGATCGCTGACGGTACCTGAGTAAAATACCAACACCGGTTGAGAAACATCAAGGCCCGGTTTTTCAATTGCAGGTTAACTTTCTGGATAGTTAATTATAACCAGGGAGTTAACTTATAGTTGACTACAAATGCGTTTTTGAAGTATTTTCACGGCGCCAGTTAACTTAACAGAAGTACGTCATATATTTATGTTGTGTCATACCCTCATACCAGTGATCCGTGTCATACATGACAGCGCGTCTTTTAGAACATTTTATATAAAATAGTCAAAATTTGAATAAAACCTTCGTCAAGCAACGTAAGGTTTTTCAAACATTGCTTGTACAACTGTTTATTAGCAGACCCTATAGCAAATGCAATGTGCACCACAAAAGAGCTCAAAATTTCTCAAAAGATGAGAAAATGATGTTAGTATCAATGCTCAGTAAAAATAAAGCACAAGAGAGAGCAAAAAAGCGACAGTTTTCTGAAAAGAGAAAAGTTCTGTTTCTACAGTTGTTGTAAGACGAAATCTTGCAAGGAAATCCAGGTCTTCGTCAAAGTAATTCGGCCGATGGAGGGTTATTTTTGGCCTTCTTGCATCTTCGTCTCTGCTATACGCGTTCACGTCGTAAACCATACACATGTGAACTTTATATTTATCGATAAATTGATATGAATTTGTGAATGTTTAAATAAACGACAAAGTCTGCGTCCACAAACGTCAACTATTGCTATTTAACTACAGCCGTTCTAGTTTACTCATACATGGTCTTCTGATTAAGGATAAGTAGCGTTTTACTATATGATATTCAAAAACGCTTTCATTTTAAGTTTCAAGTTAGTAGTAGTTAACCTGCGACTGAAAAACTGGGCCTAACAGTTACAGAAAATTGGAAATACTAATAAATCGACGCTCAAAAGTTTATTCTTTTTGCTACAATATTTGTACATAAAGTCGGCAAAGAAACCTATACTATATCGAGCAATATGAAAGATATGATTTGATTCTCAATTATGTAACTATCAAGTAAATTTGATCATTTCCTTATATGACACTGATAAACGCCAGATAAGCACGTCCACACTTTTAGACCCAAAATCATCAGTGCTAAAATATAATATGATCCGAAGAACTAGTTTTTGTTGGAATATTGCCAGAAGGTTGTTAGAATCATAATATGGTTGCTCTAGTCAGGAAAAAAGTAGAAGTAGAAGTAGAACAATTACCATAACCTCAAATACCTTATAAACAGGAGTGATGCCAATAATGCTAACTCATTATTTAAAGTTCTTTCGTATGCAGTAAATTTTGCACACATATTTTGTATTAAATATTTTATACCTTCCTAATAGCAAGTAGATAACAAATATTTGAGTCCCGTCGTGGGCCCAGAGTGCTTTTTGTAATTTGAGAAAAGGTGATACAGGACATATTGTCCATTTCAATTATAGTTATTCATTATATTCTTGTAAAACGTATCCATTAAACTGAAAAAAATCTGCTTAACGTTTACCTGGTTAATGTCCATAATTACAGCCGACTGATGCGGTACGGGCGGCGGACTTGGGATGAACGTTGGAAAATGAGCAAAATCATTTCTATCTCTATAACGTTGACGTCTCAATGGTGGGCTGCCCTGGTAGCAAAAAGAAGAGCTATAGTTGTTATTTGCTACAAAAACCTATATCAAGTCATAGAAAATAAAAACATGACGATAATCATAAAACAAAATTCATGCTGGAAAAAACTCAACACAACAAATTGCGAGGCCCATATTTCAAAGGTTAATAGGTAAATTAATGAGCCTTGGTGTCGCATAGTGGAAAATGAGAGAATTAAAATTCTCAACGAATTTTTGAAGTGCAAACAAATTTGAAAAATGTATTTTGAAGGTTTTTTTATATACCATTACATTCTTGGACTCAAATAAGTTGCTATCTGAGAATCAGTTTGGTTTTAGACAAGGTTTAAGCACATCACATGCGGTTTATGAATTAGCGTCTAAAATAATGTATCATTTAAATAACGGTGATAAGTGCATCGCTTTGTTTTTGGATTTAGCAAAGGCATTTGACACGGTATCTCATCCTATGCTCTTCCAAGCACTGGAGGGACATGGAGTTAGGGGTGCTGTGTTAAGTGTATTTAGAGATTATTTAATGCATAGGATTCAGTGTGTCAGGATTGCGGACGTTCTAAGTGAACCTAAGACGGTTGGAGTTCCACAGGGTACAGTACTTGGGCCAATCCTTTTTAATATACAGGGTGACTTCGAAGTTGAGTCATTTATTTTAACAGTGAGTAGATCTGATCAAAAGAAATGCTTTTTTCCTTTAACATTTTTCTGGTAAAATTAAAGTAACAAAGTTATAGCCCTTTAGAAGTTTGACTACCGCCCTGTCTCAATAATAATATTATGTGCTCGTGTTTGGCAACAACGGATATAATCCGCCTTATCCGTTCATCGCATCGGAAACAAAAAAGCGAAAGAATTTGAAACGATGTTTTTACTACAATGTACAATTTTATTCAGTTGTTTTCCGTCAATGTGTCAGTCGGTAACGCGTGAGTGAATAGTGGTGTTTGTTGCGTGGCTTAAACGAAATAAAAAATGCACATGTTTACGAAAATGCTGAACTTGTGGACATGATTCTTATTTACGGGGGGGAGTCTTTATGCGGATCGGTTTCCCAATCGAGTGCAACCAACCCCTCGTGCCTTTGTTAATGTAGTACAAAGGGCTCGTGAATCAGGTGACTTAAGACCTCACAGGGGAGGCATGCCGGTGCTCCAAGACCGCACGATCAAATACAGGTCCGCACTGAAATACTTGTCGGGAGGATACTTTATAAAACAAGGTAACATTTGTTTTAATTTTTATTTTTATTTTTACACACATATTTTGGTTTATCTTCCTTCTACAATCATTATCTGAAAATTAATGACTCAACTTCAAAGTCACCCTGTATATGTAAATTACCTCTGCAGTCTTGCAGTTGATGGCGATGTAATTGCCTATGCTGATGACACCGTGGTGGTGTTTCATGGAGAGACATGGGAATCAACGGGTGAAAAATTGAAGACTGGTTTTACAAAAATTAAAAACCTTCTGGACACATTTAAATTAACTCTGAATATAAAAAAACTCATTACATTGCCTTCTCTATAACCATGGCTAATAGACCAGCATTTAATCAAATTAAACTTGATAATATTGATGAGCCTTTGAAAGAAGTAAATGAAATTAAATATTTGGGGGTTGTTGTTGATAAGCACTTGAAGTGGAACCGACATGTGCTGAATTTGAGCAAAAAAATTAGATTTTTCATCCATAAATTCTACGCTCTTCGTAATATACTGAACATTAAACTACTATTAATGATTTACAAAGCACTTGTGGTGCCACTATTGGTATATGGCATAATTGTGTGGGGTGGGATGTACGGTTCAAATCTTGGGCAGTTAAAAGTGGTGCATATTGTAAGGATTATTCTAAGAAAACCTAGACTATATCCCACTATGCAACTTTATTCTCAAGAAATAAACAATATTAAAATCTTATATATCCTTGCAGTATGTAGTTTTGTACATGCAAGTAGGAAATTAAATACAAATTATGTGTCTCACAATTATATGACCCGAGAAAACACCACTCATAACCTGAACGTCCCGCAGTCCAGGCGAGATTTAAATTTGCGTTTTGTGACATATCTTGCACCTAAATTTTACAATTTGATTCCTGCTAATATCAGGAATATTGGAAATAATAAAAAATTTAATGTTTCGTTTAATATGTTCTGTTGGGAAAATCGTGAACAATTTATGCGTCTATTTTAAGTTGCTTTGAGGTAGATTGATCTGCCTATTTGTTTCTTCTCTTTCTTTTTGATATCATTGTGAAACTTTTTTTCTGTGATCTTAAGTTAAATCTATGACTTACAAAAATATGAAATTTTCTTTCAGTTTGTGTATATCGTTTATCATGTTTTGTTTGCATAGTTGAGTGATTTTATACAAAAATATATATTGCACGATATTTATCAATTAATTACTGTTTTGGTCTGTTTTTGCGCATACAAGTTTTTAAACTTAGGCGCTCATATATTATAGAGAAACCTTGTTTTTGTTTCGTTAATGTATATATATATATATATATATATATATATATATTATTTTTATATCGGTAAATTTTGGTTCAGCTGAATAAATGTGGTAGAGTTCAGGGCGTACTGTTCTCTCCAACAAGAACAACATATGACTTAATCACAAACCTTCGTCTTTTTAGAGGATTTTGACAAAGAATTTATTCAGAAACCAATTTATAAGATTTTATTAATGTAATATGACTAAATTCAGTACCATTCATTAATAATTTGAAAAACAATATTTATATTATGTGAAAAGGCTTGCAATTCAGTGTTAAATAGAATAATAAATTCATATTAGTACTTCCAGTTTGTAGTAACGCGATTTTAAAAGTGAAGGAAGATGATATATTGTTCTACGTTTGCAAAATGAATCAATTGCCATTGTGTTGGAGATAAGGAAATGGAGGATTCTAGTTGATTTTTCCATATTGAATTCTGTCATAGGCGAGGTTTTTTAGATTGCCGTATTTTTAGTTTGTATTTTAAGTGACACTTGTCGGATTTATTGGATCAGGTATTGAGGTAACTACATAGTATAAGTATGGAGGAGACGACTGAAGAGGATGGAGTTGGTGAGAAAGTGGAAAATGTGGTCTCACTAGGTGAGAAGGGACTTTGTACAGATGGCATTTGTAAAAAATTAATAAAGGAATTGTAAGAACAGATATATCAATTAAACAAACAAATTGAGAAGATGCAACATCTCACAAAAAGTAAGTAAGTCTGCAGGGCATGAACATTCAACCGTTAATTCGCCTACAGCAGTGCAGCAGTGGTAGAATATAAGCAGTAATGCTTACCACTGCAAACACATACAGCAAACAAACAGTCAAAAGTATTAAAACAGTCATTGTTAAGCCTATTAACCAACAAGAGTGTAATAACACAAAGAAAGACATCGCAAAATTTGTGAATCCTAGTTTAAAGAGTACAATTGAAAAAGTTTATCATCTGAAGGATGGTGCGATGAACATCCAATGTAAAATAAAAGATGATATCGAGAAGCTACAAAAAGAAGCCAAATCAATAATGCCAGAACATATGGTGATAAATAATGTAGAAAGCGCCTACGCAAAATCTGAGGGATGAATCGAGAAGATCTTGTCCCAGAATGAATTTGGTATTTTCCGTAGTGATGATATAAAAGCTGGAACCACTTTCAGACGTTCCGAATCTACTTTAAATGTTGTCATTGAGGTAAGCCCAAAATTTAGAAAAACGTTGCTAGATAGATGGGTTGGCAAAGATGTCCTGTGCGAGATTATGTACGAATTATACGCTGCTATAAATGTTCAGGTTTTGGCCACATGGAAAAAAATTGCCAACATTCTAAAGTATCATGTCCTTTATGTGCTGGAGAACATTTAGAAAAAAAATGGCTTTTAAGAATCAGAATTCTAAATTCAACACTCAATTTGATACTAGTCATTCTTCTAAAGACCTATAAAAAACATGTTACATACTTGTAATCTAAAATTGAATATGACTAGTGATAAATTCAAGGTTTTAAAATTTGGTCATATAAACCGCAGATCAGTTTTATCAGGATTTCATGAAATTAGTACTCTGGTTCAAAACAACAACCTTGCTATTGTTGGAATATGGGAAACGTGGCTATCAAAAGATATATCTAACGACCATATAAGAATGAATGGATACAACTGCTATCACTGTGATAGAGATGGGCAAGGTGGTGGGGTTACAGTCTTTGTGAACAACCACTACAACTCTTCCATGATTTCATTTGGGCAAGGCCCAAGTCTTGAATCTATATAGTTGAAGGTGTAGCTGCCAAAACAAAAAAATACTATTGGTATATTCTATCGGCCCCCACATAGCCCTGTTACAGAAGCCGGTAATACCTTTGATGACATGTTGCCTGCCGAACATTATACCATGCACTGATTGAGCCTCATCTCACATATGGTATATTAGCATGGGGAGCTGCATGTTCCTCACATATCTATAATTTAGATGTTTTTCAAAAAAGTATTATAAAAATGATATTTAAAAAACCGAAACTTTATCCCACTGAAAAATTATACGCAGATGTTCGAATGTATGATATAAGACAGCTTTATTTCTTACACAGTATCACTCACTACCATAAATTTGTAAACACCGACCAAAAAATTAAACATAATCATTATACCAGGTACAAAATTCGTGGCACAGTAGTTCCTCAACCGCATAAATCTATAATGCAGCGATCATATCTCTATTTAGTGCCTAAATTTTATGAAATTATACCTAAAGACTTAAAAGATTTACGTTTCGGAAATTGTTTCAAAAGAAATTTAAAAAAGTGGCTACATTCTATATCTAGGACTGAAATTCATAAACTCATAAATACGAACATCAACTAAATACATAATCTACTGTAGCTAATTTTTGTCCTTTTTTGTCATTTGCATTCTACAGTTTCAACTTAAATTTATTGGTCCATGTACAGGCGATGCCTTCTATTGGGCCTGTTTTGATTTTATATTTATTTACTCATATTGTTTGTTATCTTTGTACATTGAGTAAATAAATATTATTATTATTATTATTATTATTATTATTATTATTATTATTATTATATTAGCTGAATATGATGATATCATCCTTGCAGAGGATATTAATTTTAATTTGCTTTTATTTTGTAACAACTTGACTAAATGTCTTGAATCTTATAGTCTGAAACAGGTGATATCTGAACCAACTGGGATAACTGAATCTACACTCACTCTCTTGGATCCTATTTATTTGAGCAAGCCTGAAAGTTATCCTAGGAGTGGCACTATTAATGCTGATATGATTACTGATCATTATTTAACCTTCTATGATATAATTATTGCACTTCTTAAAAATCAACAGAAATTTGTGACATTCAGAGATTTCCATAGTTTAAATGAAATAGCATTTGAGTCTTAGGACCCCTATTATTTTCATTATATATTTAGAAACAGAGGTAAAATCATGCAGCATGCATTTTTTTGCAGACGATACTGAAATTTTCTATTCATTTAGATGTAATGACTTGGAGACATCAAATAATAAAATTAATCAAGATCTTGCTCAAATTGAAAAGTTCAGTAGTAGTCATAATCTTCGTTTGAACCCTTTGAAGGCAAATATGTTGGTATACGCAAATAGAACAAAAAAGAATACTTTAAAAAAGGACATAGACATACATTTAAAAGGTAATAAATCAGTTCCTGTGGATCATTCGAAGAACCTACGTATTATGGATGATGACTTAAAATTTGTTGTACATGTAAACTATCTAATTTCTCAGTGCTATGCTATTCTCAGAGTTTTATTTGCAAATAAGGCTATATTACATAAATCTACGAGGAAGCAATTATGTGAATCTCTCTTGTTTTCAAAGATATCGTATTGCTTAGTGATCATGAAAGTATGATCATATATCGAATGCCATTAATGAACTCAAATGGATGAAAATTGATAAAATGTATAAGTACCAGCTCCTAAATCTAACTCATAAGGTTCTTTATTCGAAAACACCGTCATATTTAGTAAACAAATTCATACGTAGAGGGAATTTGCATGGCATTAATATTAGATATACAGGGTGTCCGCAAAGTTGGGGTTTTCCTTTTCAGAAACAACTACCCTTGAAATAACAAAGGTAATGTGTAATGAAACGAGGGCGACCAAGTAAAAAAAAATAAAGGAAAAGTACTCACTCTCCAGTTGACGAGAAGGGCTAAGTACGTCTCTGCCCGAAATCATACCGCTCCAACAGAAAATTAAATCAGCTGATGCGCTACCGAGCAGACGCAGGCAAACAAGGAAGGCAAAATGTTGCGTAAAAAGTCTAGGTATTGCATCCCGTCCAATCGATTTGGGAGAATAAATGGTCCAATGAGCATACCGTTCACCATGCCAGCCCAAACATTCACCGAAAATGTTTGTTGAAAATGTGCCCGACGGACAGCGTGCGGATTTTCTACTGACCAAACATGAGTGTTGCGAAAGTTATTCACCCCATTACGCGTGAACGTAGATTCGTCTGTCACCAATATGCACTTCAAAAAGTCCGGATTATTGTCATGTTGATGCAACAACCACTCACAAAACCGCACTCTTGCTGGAACATCGTCAGGTTGAAGGGCTTGTACACGTTGGACGTGAAACGGATACAGCCCCTCTTCACGCAGCGTTTGCCACACTTTAGTTTTTGATACTTGCACTTCTCTAGCCACGTCTCTAGTGCTTGTTGTTTTTTGAAACGCAATCGATTATACGGGTTCGTTTAACTCTACACGCGTGACCGTAACCGTCGGTTGAAGGTTGCATACTGACCTGACACACTGACCCCGACCCAGTACTGTCGACGGGTTGAGCTAGTGTCCTAGTACCACTTGGGGATGTCGCGGCTACAGGACGGTATTCAGATATTTTGGATGTTGCAGAGCCCTATCTCGGTTCCCTTAAGACATTGGTGTATATGGTACTAAGAAAAATTGCTTATGTTTTCAAGATCTACACGTCGTGTAAAGGAAAACCCCAACTTTGCGGACACCCTGTAGAGAGACTTTTTCAATTCCACGCCACAGCACATCTCTATTTCAGAATACATATATTTACAATGCGATCAAATCATATAATTCTTTAGTCCGCAGTTTAAAAGAAACCAATCCATTACCCATATTCAAGAAAAAAGTGAAACAAGTTCTACTTGATCAGGGGCGAAATCTATTGTAACCCATAAGTGGCCTCATATTTTCCTTATGCCTTTACTTAGATTATACTTTATTCTGTCGTTATTGTATACAGGTATTAATTTTCAACAAATTCTGTTTTTTTACATCTCGTACTGTTAAGTGAATACATGTAAAGCGAAAGCTCTGTAAAAATATTCAACCAAATATTGATGGTGAAGATATTGAATTCATAGATAATTCTAAATACCTTGGGGTTTTTATTGACTCTGGATTAATTTTTGATATTCATTATGAAAAAATAAGATTAGTAGTAAAGTGGGATATTTATCAAGAGTTTCTGGATGTCTGAGTTCATATAGCAAAAAAATTAATACTATCATTCTTCCAAATTTCTTGTACTGTTCCACTATTCTATATTTAGCTAATAATTCCATTTTTGAAAGGCTGCAAATTTCACAAAACAAGGGCATCAAAATAATACTGAATAAAGATACAGAGACTCCAATTAGACAAATGCTTAGCAAATTGAAATGACTCAATGTGAACATTTTTATCAAATATCTTGTAATGATGCCGACCACCATTTACATAATACAAGAAATAAAGATGTCTTCTACTTAATGACCAAAATGTATAACACATGCTACAAATCTGTATTCCATTAAGGGTTGATTGGATATAATAAATTATATACAGAGACTTTGACAATATTCAAAGTAAAATTGGGGAATCACTTATTGAATCAAATTATAGCTTGCCCAACATTTACATATGGCTTAAATTTACTAATTGTAAGTTGTTTATAATTATTCTGTTTATGTAGCCAAACGGGCTAACTAAATCTATCTGCCACTACTACCTTCATAAAAAACTTCCCACATTTCGCCGTTTCTCCCGCGATGAACAATAGTTATTCTTTCTTTAATTCAAGCTTTTAAACTCTAAAACGGTACTTTAACCAACCTGCATCTGCTGCCTCTGCTGTCCCTGATGCCCCAAATGCTGCCTCGGCGACCTCCTCGGCTGCTGCATATGCTGGGGCGGCGACGGCGAGCCCCCGTTCGCCTGTCCGCCCAGATCCACGTGCAGAGCTAATCCAATCGCGGGACTGCCTGCTAGCCCCGCCCCTCGGGATAGGCGGCGCCGCTTCCTCGACGGCGATTCACTCTTCACGCCATCCTCCCCGCCGCTCTGCTGACGATAGAAGGAGGGGGGAGAGTGCATCTGCTGCGAAGGACCGCCCACAGACATCGAAAGGGACGCTGATTGGCCACTGTTGTTACTGAGGTGGTGGATTGGGCTCACGCGATGATGATCTGGTGGAACATTTTAATAGTCATCAGCATTCTGCAGCTGTGAAGCCGAAATCCCGTGAGAAACTCGGTAACCAGCACTACAGTCATCATTGGCGGGATATAAATTTTTAATATGAGTGATATAGATTTTTTTTTATATTTTATAAGCATAACAAAATGGAGGTTTATACGAGTTTATGTCCCAATTTCCTTGATTTTCTCACCTCTACCGTGTCTTCCTCTAGGCTGAAAGTCAACCTGTATGGGTGGACCCCCTACGGCGCCCATGGATTCCAAACATAGGGGCGGAGAAATATGTCTACCACCCCCCGTAGACTGGGCGTGGCCACCCCCTCTTCTATCTAAGCCTCCCCCACCACTTATTGACAGCAAACGACGGTGATCTCCTGGGTGACCTATTACAATATTATACAATTGATTCAGAATTAAGATAAACTTTAAAGAAGCATATCACTTTCCTTGAAATAAAAAAATTACCAATAATTTACTACAGTGACTTTGGAGTTATAAGCAAAAAACTAGAATTGAAGAAGATTACGAACTTTGAGTAGATTTTTGTTCTGTATCATAATTTTTCATATTTATACTCATAGGATTTCTTCATATTTTTACAGCTGAACATACTTCTTTAAGTTTACATCCAATTTTGAAAATCCTATCCATTGCTGAATCATACAATTAAACCTGGGTAGGTAGATAGGCAGCATAAATAAAAATGAAGAATGTTAATCCCTTGTTGTTCTGCATCAAACTCATTCTGTATCTTAGGGCAAATAAATATAACTTTTTAATTTCAGTAACTTCTGTAACTGTCACATGATGTACAACTTGTCAATAATCTGATAGAATTAAGATATTCACATACCAGATGCCTCGTTGCCATAGATGTTTCTAAGTGCTGGACTCAATTGTGAGCTTTTTGGGTAACCATGGAGATAGTTTTGTTCCTTAGGGCTTGTACTTGACACTGAGCACTCCCTGTAACAAATAAGGAATGAATTTATCTATTGAAAAGACAAAATTAATGATTTTTTACATAAAATCAGTATGAGTGAATCTGTCCATCATAAGAGTTTAAAGTATATGCACTACAAAGTTTTTGCTTTCTTCACAAAAAAGGTATTCCTCATGCCATTTTTCTTGTAAGAGTTTTGATACTCTTGCTTACCATCAACACGCTAAGGGATCATACAACTCTGTATAATATATTAAATAACAAATTAGACTCTCCAGACTTACAATTCACAATTAATTTTGAAGTACCTTCAAAAATGGTATGCTTCAATTCAACTTTTTACATGTCAACTGATAGAACAAATGTAGCATATGTCTCCAATAAATATAATGTGTAATAGTTTTGATAAGTGACACGTGACAAGTGGATGTGACAGCTTTGATAATTTGCAGGTAGTTTTGAGTAGGTTTTATAGAAATTACATGATTTTTTATAAATTGTAAGACTACTATATTTTCTTATTGTTCCTTTATTGGGTGGATTGAACTACTCTTATTATGATTCCAAAACAAATATTGTGATACTGAAGAGGCTTGAATTTTATTTATATATCACAAAATTTAGGTGACAAAAACATTGTTTCAAATATAACAGTTGCCACTCTATGTAAACAAATCTCATTTTTTTGACAACTTGAGATGAATATATAATAAAAGCATGTAAGTTTTGTCACATCATAAAACAATGTTTTAAATTTTTTGTGCAGTAACTAGAACACTTTTGACAACCTGTAGCAGTTTTGAACAGAATTTATTATCGATCAATCAATTATGTCGTACTGTTGAACGAGTTTTTCCTGAGACATGGAATAATATCCTTTTATCATATTATAATTTGTTGTGAAACAAAATGGCCACTAGATAAGTGAATCATACATTTTTGAGGAAATAACAAAAATTGTTAGTATTAAATACTGATAAGATATTCTATTTACCAATTATATTAATGCACTGATATACACAATAATAATAAACAATTGATTCATGACATTCTATTATCAACCATTTTTCATTCAAGTAAAAATTTTTTCAAAGGTGTTTTATTGAAAAAATATTTTTCTTCTGGGTAAACCTTGAAAAAAGTAAAGAATAAATACTCTAGGCACAAATACATTTTACAAAAATTTTATTATTATAGAATATTTCTACCTTGTAAACAGGATGCACCACATGTAACATGTATAAAAAAAAACAAATTGAAAGATTATAAAATTACTGGATCCTTGCATGTTACATGATAACAATAAAATGCTAGTTACTAGCTTCTACTACGAGAAAATACTATTTTACTTAACTTTTAAGTAATACTTCTACAAAGTACCAAAACTGTCTCAATGTTATATTTAAATTAGACTTAATGCATTGAACTAAAAATATATTTATTGCCTATAGTGTTTGCAGTATGGAAGAGATATCTTCTTTCACTCACTTTCCGTAGCAATTTGTGAAATTTGTCTAACTCTGCTAATTCCATTGCCATATTTGCTATTGTTCCTAGTATTCCACAACTATCCATATGGTTACTATTTTGCAAATGATGTGTTTCATCACACTGTTTAAAAATTGACATTCATATTTGACCCATTCTGTTTTATGTTACATTGAAATTACATTAAAATTCTAACTCCTAATAAAAGAAACCAGTACTTGTGATACATTTCTGAATAATACTTGTACAAAGTATCAAAACTGGCTCACTGTTATATTTATAGTGATCTTAATTAATTATACTAAAAATATTTTTGTCACCTAAAGTGCTTTTAGATCCAAAAAGTAAAAAAGCTTAAAGAATCTACACGATATAAAAAAGCCATAGTCGCATAGTCAAAAGTATTGTTGCAACATTTTGCACAGCAATTTTCACAATTTGGACTCATCCTCTGCCAAATTCTTTGTCATATTCCCTGTTGTTCCTAGTATTCTACAATTATTTGTATAGTCCAGAATTTGATATTTTGTAAACATTGCTTTTCATTATATTGTTTGAAAATTACATTTGGCACAGCCAGTACTATGTTACACTATACCAACAAAACTACATTAAAATACTGATTGCTATTACAAGAAACTACTATTTATATTTAATTTTCATATAATACTTCTACAAGGTGCAAAATCTGTCACACTGTTATATTTATACTGATCTTAATTCATTGTACTAAAAATAATTCTTTAACCTAATGTGCTTATAGCTTCAGAATGTAAAAAATGGAAAGAATCCACAAGATATACGAAAAAGCTTGCTGCTAAATGATTGTTTAGCATAAATCCATGGTCAAATGTATGGAGGTGATTTTTCGCACTTATTCTACCCAACAATTTTTGCAATTTGAACTCACCCTCTACCAAATCCGTTGTCATATTCCCTGTTATACTCCTTGGGGTACCTCCCAGACCACCTTTGGTGATTATTATGGTGATTGGAGCGATTAGAATGGTTGTTCCCGTGCCTATTAAAGCTAATAGAGTTTCTACGTGGTGGGTTATGATTATTGGGATTCATTATTCTAACACCTAGAACACGCAAAACTGGTCAGAACTTCGTAAAATCAGCTGATCGGGCGTTTTTACAACCTTGTAGCATATAATACAGGATCACTATATCACTATTGAGCAAGAAAAGGAATGAGTAATTTTACTTTTATATGCGCTATTGATCCACTGGTAGCATTTCACTTGAACATTAGCGATGGAATAGTAGGGAAAATTATTACGTTGCACGATAAACTGACGTCGGAGGGTGCGTACGAGCCTATATTTACGATATTTTGGTGGAAATTAGGGGAAATATCTACAAAAATATTACAATATTGTGAAATCAGCTACGTACACCCTCCCACAAATAAACACCAAGGAAAGCTAACAAATAAACAAAGATAAATAGTGGGGAGAGAACGGAAAGAGTATTGTCAAATGGATGACAGTTCAATGACAAATCTGTCAACCGTCAATGCATAGGTATGTTTCCAAGATGGCGCACTCTTAAACCGGTCCCACACGATGTTGCGAATGCCTTATAACGTTGGACAGATGGCCATTCGCCACATCGTGTGGGAGAGCGCATGCGTCCACATGGCACGTTCGGCCTCGTGTCGGTAAATTTGACCCGCGTCAAAGGACGTTACAACGTTGGAAGCCCGGTTCGTTACGCTCCAACACGAGATATCATGAGTTTGATTGTTTTAGGTTAGAACCAGTAGCGGCGAAAAACATTATTTACTTATCACTTGTTTGGTGTGATTGTGGTGAAGTAGTGGTATGTGGGAAGTATTTTGATTTGAATACCTACCTATTCATAATAATGTATGTTCCGTAACTAACTTTTGAGGAGAATGAATTAAATTAGTGTACATACAAAGCATAGGCTGCCATAACAACACTTTTTTCATATTGCTAATATTTTGTACGATTCGCAGGTGAGTTATGGCTGGCCTAAGGATATGTATTTTAGTAAATTATAAATTATCAAGTGCTTACAGTTGTTTGATTATAATGTCCTGTTGCAATGCAAGACTAGTGGAGAAATGTGTTGACTTGCATTTCATAATCATAGCTAATGAAAGAGATTAAATAAAATAACTCTAAAGGTACTATCAGGATTTTAATGTAATTTTGACCTTAGGTTACTACTATGGAAATGACGAAAAATCTCTACAGTTTTTGAAAATTGGTACAGTGGTGGCGTCAAAAACCAAACAAAAAACGGTCAAACTTTGTTTTTCGACATTCTGAGGCTTCTGACAGACTTAAGTTTAGGCCGCTGAAGACAGATCTGAAATTACTTTTCGGCGCTCGAAAAACTTGTTTAATCGTTCATTTTGTATAATTTTTCCTTCAGTTGTAAAAGTTCAAGCGCGTCACTGACACCGATAATAGACGTTGGCGCCACCATGCGTCGAACGTCCGAGACTAAAAAGTTCATCCCATCGTGTAGGAGACACACCTGCCAATTGTGGGGTGTCGAACGTTGTATACAACGTTGGAAGCATCGTGTGGGACCCGCATTACAAGGAGGGGTAAGCCAGATCAATGGCGTAGAAAGTATTTCTTTTCTTGTACATTTTGTTTAGAAATACCTGATTTCTTAAAAACAAGTGTTTTCTATAATGCATATACGCAAGTAGTTTTGAAAATTTAAGGGAGAAACGCGTTTTTTCCAAATTGCCATTTGAATTCGAATACGGTTAAAAAAATGCTGGAATCTAGTGAGGCCCTATTTGAAGTAGAAAAATGCGATACCAGTGTATCATAAATTTATTAATATATAACTTTACAAACTACACACAATCAAATTTTTTAAAGATGAATATGCTGAATCGCTAATTGTACACACTGCAAAAAATTTCTATGAAAAAGAAATAAGATACCATCATACATACTGGAAAACAAGTCAGTCATGATCAAGTAATGTAACTCAAATCTAAAATTAACTGAAATATTTAGGAGCGCCGAAAATTCTCTGCCAAACAGATGCAAAAAGTGTTTAGCTACTTTGTTGCAATACTCAATACTACTACTTTTTCAAAGCATTTTCAACTTGCGAAAAGTACAAGCAAAAGTATTTCGGACCTCTCAGGTCTATTCTATATTACTAATGTAGTATCAAATCCCTTTTGTTTAGCGGTTTTAAATCATCAAAAAAAGTTCTCCCCATGTGGACGATTATCATTGATTAACGTATTCTGCCTGAAGGTAATTTGGTAAGGTTAGTGTCTCATAGATGGTGCTATATATAGGGTGTTCATTTGAAAACTTCCCACCACAGATTTATCGAAAACCACTAATTAAAAGGAAAAATGCGAAGACACGTCAAAAGATTAGTCGAGGGGGACAACTTTTTAACCCAAAACTACTTCACCCTCGACCCCCCAGGGTCATTTCCTTAAAATTTTTAAATGGTAATGGGTATCAAGTGATAGCTTGTTTGAAATGTCTTTCGGCTTTCTTTATTTTGACGTTTGACTTTTTAGAATCAGTCGATACGTTTTCGAGAAAAATATTTATCTTAATTTGTTCAGATGGAAAACAAAAACACATATATACACAATATCACTTTTGATTTCGATAAGTGTTCAAAATGTTGCCCGTAAGGGTTTGCCAAATATACAATTCGTTTATAATTGAAAACGGAAACTACCAACATAAACAGCAATTCGGAAGATTAGGCGTGGCAACAACCAAATAACCCGATTTTTTTTCAGCGTTCTTTTCATCAACACAGATATGCGAACTGCATTTATTGTTATACCTGTTTAGTTATTTGTTGCTAATTTATTGATTTAGATTTTACTTCCAAAATCGTTTACACGCTAGTCGAAAGGGTGGAAATGTTTCTAACTTATGGTGCCCAAAATCAATGTGCTCGGCAAACTGCCAGACATCCGGGAAAGATAACTTCGCGTAGTTATATTTTGGACCTTGTTACTAAATTTACTCAAACTGGGTTTGTTGCAAATTAAAAACGTGATCATCGGAGAGTTTTGGATGAAGCCGCTCAAGTTGAAGTTTTGGGTCATTTCGGAGTAAATGATAATAGGTACTTCATTACGCAAAATTGTTGCTGTGACTGGTATTTCATTAGGCTCTGTACACACCGTTACTAAACTCCATAAATTTCATCCATTCAAAATGAAAATATTGCAAGAGTTAACTGCAGATGATTTCGATAGGCCGCGAGTTGAGTTTTGTGAACAAATGACTACAGTGATTAATGATACTACCATTTCAGGGATAAATGCACATTTTATCTAAATGGATTTGTTAATAAGCATAACTGCAGGTATTGGAGCAGTGAAAATCCCGATGCTTTTGTAAAATGGCATATCCAGTTCCCCCAAAAAATTAATGTATGAGCAGGCATTTTACGAAACAAAGTAGCCATTGTTTATTAATGGAAATTTGAATGGAGAAATACCATCAATCCGCTTATCACTGAAACCAAATCGAAGAGAATGGAAATCCTATACTTGATGAGGCTGAACTATATTTTCAGCAAGACGGCGCTCCTCCTCACTATGTTCTTCAGGTTCGGCAATGGCTAGACGAGTCTCCAGATAAATGGATAGGACGTAGAGGGCCTATAGAATGGCCTACTAGATCTCCAGATCCGACGCTATTAGACCTTTGTCTATAAGGCCATTTGAAATCTATTGTGTTTACTCCCCAACCTGAAAGTTTGGATGAACTTCGTCAATCCATCATCGAGAGCTGCCATGATATCCCAAAACATGTTTTTGAAAATGTCCGTCAGGAATTTGAACATCGCGTATACCGTTGGCCAAGAACAGGCAACATTTTGAACACTTATTGAAATAAAATGTGATGTTTTCGTGGGTTTTTGTTTTCTATCTGAACAAATTAGGATATAAAGATGTTTCTAATTTTCTTGAAAACGAATCGTCCGATTTATAAAAATCAAACTTCAAAATAAAGGACTGCGAAAGACCTGTCAAATAAGCTACTAATCGATACCCCTTGTCATTTATAAATTTTTAAGGGGATGACCCTGGGGGGTAGAGGGTGAAGTAGTTTTTGGTTAAAAAGTTGTCCCCCTTGATAAATCTTTTGACGTGTCTCAGCGTTTTTTCTTTTAATCAGTGGTTTTTGATAAATCCGTGGTGGGAAGTATTCAAATGAACACCCTGTATATGAGCATATACAAAAGCATATAGGTGACTTCAACTAAGTATATACAGGGTGTCCGCAAAGTTGGGGTTGTCCTTTACACCACGTGTAGATCTTGAAAACATAAGCAATTTTTCTTAGTATCATATACACCAATGTCTTAAGGGAACCGAGATAAAGGGCTCTGCAACATCAAAAATATCTGAATACCGTCCTGTAGTCGCGTCATCCCCGAGTGGTACTAGGACACTAGCTCAACCCGACAACAGAACTGGGTCGGGGTCAGTGTGTCAGGTCAGTATGCAACCTTCAACCGACAGTTACGGTCACGCGTGTAGAGGTAATCGCGTAGACGAGAATCCCTCAACAGGCACTAGAGACGTGGCTAGAGAAGTGCAAGTATCAAAAAGTAAAGTGTGGCAAACGCTGCGTGAAGAGGGCTGTATCCGTTTCACGTCCAACGTGTACAAGCCCTTCAACCTGACGATTTTCCAGCAAGAGTGCGGTTTTGTGAGTGGTTGTTGCATCAACATGACAATAATCCGGGCTTTTTGAAGTGCATATTGGTGACAGACGAATCTACGTTCACGCGTAATGGGGTGAATAACTTTCGCAACACTCATGTTTGGTCAGTAGAAAATCCGTACGCTGTCCGTCGGGCACATTTTCAACAAACATTTTCGGTGAATGTTTTGGGCTGGCATGGTGAACGGTATGCTCATTGGACCATTTATTCTCCCAAATCGATTGGACGGGATGCAATACCTAGACTTTTTACGCAACATTTTGCCTTCCTTGTTTGCCTGCGTCTGCTCGGTAGCGCATCAGCTGATTTTCTGTTGGAGCGGTATGATTTCGGGCAGAGACGTACTTAGCCCTTCTCGTCAACTGGAGAGTGAGTACGTTTTCCTTTATTTTTTTTTACTTGGTCGCCCTCGTTTCACTACACATTACCTTTGTTATTTCAAGGGTAGTTGTTTCTGAAAAGGAAAACCCCAACTTTGCGGACACCCTGTATAGTAAATAGAGAAACTCCTATAAAAAATCTCGTAATGACCCTACAGTTACTCATTTTATCTCAGATAATTTTCTGGACACGCGAATATAGCATTAGGTTTGCTGTCTTCAGGAATGTTAATCAACGATTATATAGTTTGGCAGGGATTATCGAAGCAGCTATTGGAAAGAAGATTGGATAAATTCATTGGAAAAGGATTCCGCTGACATAAAAGCCTAATTTTATGAACCAAATATCTCACTTTACATTTCAATTAAACTATTTACAAAAATAATATCAATAATGAAGTTATTTTGTTGCAAGTTTTAAGAGATTAGCCATTCCCCTTGCAAGCTATATAGGGTGTTTCCTAATGAATTAATATTTGAGGGGGAGATTTTTGGGTCTATTGTAAGAATACTTCATAGGAACGTATGTCCTAAATGTCTCAACTTTTCCAACACAGGGTGGTGAAAATGTTAAAAATAAATCACTTTAATATAATTGATATATGTAATACTACTTTAGATATTTTGATGAATTTTGGCTTACATGTACTATGTATCAAGATGCATTTTTTAATATACCAGTGTCGTTGTTACGGAATTTCACCTGATAATTTTAGACATTGAGAGTACGCCACTCTGCATGATCATAATATCGTTAATATAACAATACCACAATGCTGAGAAATAGATTTTATTTTTTTGTGAAAACCGTGCGTAAGACTAATGAAATTTAGGAGATTAAAATTTGTTCATATATGAATACGGCTTTGAATTCTCTATTTTATTTGATGAAAAGTCAGTGGCGTGACAAATGATTTATTTTTACCAATTATATATCGTCGCTTTCCGGAGAAAATCACGTAACTCCACATTTTACCAAAAATTAGATTTTCATGCCATCTTTTAGTTCTAAAGGTAACTTCTCCGTGCACAAAATATCTAAGTCCTGAAACTATTATTTACACGTTAAAACTCGTCAACGCAATATACGTATCTCCTGATACTGTTTAGTGTCCCGCGAAAAATGCGTAAGCGCCCAGTCCCTATAGGAATAGTGCGGTTTGCGTGTCAGTACTCGTCAGTCCGCACATTTTGTTATTCTTAACGTGTCTAATTAACTTTTTGGAGAGCTGTTTTTTGCAAGGTGGATGGTAAGTACTACAAATATGTTATATCAGCGTTTTAAATATTCAGCATTCGATCATAATCTTTATAAATGCAATTGTGCATGACACTGGAGATACGTAGTTTTCCATAACCTTCCATATTTCTCTACAGATGTCATTTTAGGGAGATACATAGTTTGCGTACAATCCACTAGAATAAGTTCATAGATTATCATTTTGTTTTCTAATATTTGTTTTTTATCAAACCACAATAGCTGTCTAAAATAGTTTACTGACATTTCGGCTGCCGCATAATGAATTACATGAATTAAAGAAATCAAGAAACCAGGTAAATAGATTGATGAAAAATGATCCATAGTCATGTCTTAATTCAAATGTGTTTTTATAAAGGCAGCCGTGGAGGGTTTTTATATTTCAAATTAATTTTAAATCGTCATTCTATTATTTGAAAAAGGATGTGGAAGCCTCACTAAAGTCCTTACCACCTATGGTTTTGATTGTTGCCCAGAAAAATCAAGATAGATTAACCACGTCTTTTATGAGGTTAAAAATCCTTATTCCCAACATTGTGATTATCTTTTGTCCACAGATCATTCAGAATGTCTAGCAGAGCCAGGAAAATATTAGATATGGCAAGAGAGGGAATCTATGAGGTTGGAGATAACGGAATATGTAATCTGATCAGCTGTGCAGAAAATAGTATTGTGGAACCAGGCTTTGCCACCCTCGAGGATGTAGTTTACCCCCAACCAACACATGATCTGTTTGATTCAGCTATACAGGAATTTCACCAATCGGTACCAGCACTAATTGACGGCATAGGACAGTCTGGCAGCACACAATGTGACACATTACAGTCCAACGAAGAAGTTAATTTGGTTGAAGGGGAAAATGAGAACGCTGCATATGACACGACGCCATCAAATGAAAATAGAGTTGATTTGATGGAAGAAGAAAAAGAGAACGCAGCATATGGAATGGAAGAACAAACAGAAGAGTTGTTCCAGAGAAAAAGGGCTAAGCGGCATAATCTTGACCAATCAATGTGGTTAAAAATTAGAAATCAAGCGAACCGCGAAAAGGGCTTAGCATATAAATGCAAAATGAAGGTTGGTGGAAAATGGAAATATGACATTCCTCGAAACAAGAAAATGTTATCTAATGTTTGCGACTGTAAGATAACAACTAAATCTAGTAAAATAGAGTGTAGAAAATTGACTCAGGAAAATCGAGAATATATATTCAATATATTTTGGAACCACATGAATTGGCAAGAGAGAAAAATTTATATCCAGAGTTTGGTGAAAATTGAAAATGTAAAAAGAAGAAGGGGAGCCAATGAAAATAGTCGAAGAAACTATTCACTAAAGTACTACCTTAAAGTCGAGAACAAAGAATTAAGAGTCTGCAAGAAAATGTTCCTAAATACTATGAGCATGAAGGAATCTACAGTATTAAACTGGACGAAAAGTGACAAATTGGAAGAAAATGAAAAGAGACTAAATGACAAAAGAAAACAGAGTAGGAGTAAAATGTATGGAGGAAGATACGAGGCACTAAACCAGTTTTTCGATTCATTACCGAAAGTCGAATCACACTATTGCCGAGCATCAAGCAGCAAACTGTATTTGGAACCGATATGGGCTTCAACAAATCAGTTGTATGGCTTTTACAAACGTCATCATTGCCCTGACAGCGGTGATGAACCCGTATCACGAACGATCTTTTTCAAAGAGTTCAATAAACGAAATCTCTCTATATATGTTCCCAAAAAGGACCTGTGTGACACCTGTGTTGCATACGATGCAAAAAATCTTCCAGAGGAAGAATACGATTTACATCAGGTAATGAAAAAAGAAGCTAGAGAAGAAAAAGAGAAAGATAAGAAGTCATGTGCTCCAGTCTTTACGATGGATTTGCAAGCAGTTCTCCTATGTCCAAAATCGACGGTCAGCGCAATGTATTATAAGACTAAGTTGATCGTGCACAATTTTACATTGTATAACTTAAAAACCCAAGACGGATACTGTTTTTTATGGAACGAGACGGAAGGTGGCCTTACGTCAAACGAATTCTCATCTATATTGGCTGACTTTATAGAGAACACTATAATTCCTTCACTACAGGAAGAGCAAAAAGAAATAATCCTATATAGTGACGGCTGTACAGCGCAGAATCGAAACTCTATCCTGGCGAATACTTTGGTTAACATCGCAATGCTCCATAAGATCACTATCATCCAAAAATATCTCGAAAAAGGGCATACGCAAATGGAAGTCGTCTCAATGCACTCTTGCATTGAGAAGAAGATTCGGAACCGTAAAATCAATATACCTGCTGATTATGTGCATGCCTGTGTGATTGCGAGACAAAATCCAAAGCCTTACAATGTAAGATACATTACATTAAGCTTCTTTAAGAAATTCGATACTCTTAATTACTACAAATCCATTCGACCCGGTAGAGATACAGTAGTTAAAATACGTGCTTTAAAGTATGACCCATCTGGAAAGATCTACTACAAATTGAGGCACACTGACCCCTGGGATCAACTAAATCAGAGAGTTAAGCTGTCACCACCGAGACCAACACAGAGCTTACCAAACATGTATCAAGAAAGAAGGAAGATAAAAAAGGAAAAATATGATCATCTCCAAATTTTGAAGAAAACTCTACTTCAAGATTACCATACCTTCTATGATAATCTTCCCTACGAGGAAAATTAATTTTTCACTATAAACTATGTTCTATGTAAATACATAATATAATACCTAAGTTTAGGTTTTTCTGGAAAAATACGTATATCCCCTACCATAAGGACAAAAATTGCGTAACTCCTTAAAGAAACATAGTTTTATAGTTAGCACATTTTTTTTTGTTTTCATCGATGTGTGGCAGTTTTTCCAAGAATTAGTATAAATTTCGATAAATTATTACATAAACTCAATCTACAGGAAAGTTTTTTGTCTCCCCTGAAAAATTTGCCTTTTGGGAGATAAGTGATTTTCTCCGGAAGGCGACGATATGTAGATATAAGGGATAAAGTGATTGATAAACCAAATTTTTCTCTACATTGTGCTGCACAACTCGTAACGTACATACATCTCTTAAATCATATACTTATTATAAACTATGGCAGATGAAAATGAACAATGTATCATACACAGATTTTATTCATTTATTATAGGTACATTACACTGGATGAAATTATCATTTGATTTTTGTGGTTTCAGTTATTTTACCGGATAAAGAGGTTGAAATCAATTTTTTTACATTTATAATGATAAAACTCAATTCCGGTCAAAATGAAGTAATTGTACTAGCAAAGCATAATAAAATGAAAATGACATTAAAAACAACTCAACTTTATTCACTCGTATTGAAATCTGAATATATTCGACTTTCCTTAAATCCTGGTACGTTTTATGTATGGTTATAGATTTATAAATGCGTTCTGAGTCAACGAGGGGTGGTTTGAATCTATAGCATGGATTTTTGTACTATAGGGTATTTCTAGAATTTGGCCCTCCTGCGGAAATTTGCCGTCCCCGCGCTTCAAAAGGTATTTGGAGCTGATACACAAAAAATTGCCAAATGCCGATAATTGTCCCCCCACCCCTAGCAAAAATGTAATTATAACCGTCTGATGACATTAGGAACGACGACGAGATTGCTTTGTTGTGTAAAGTTTGTTAGACTCTAGTCAACAAATTTCCAAGATATTCCATAAACTTCATAGCTTTTGATTATGTAGCCATATCTTCATAAGTAGATCAGATGAAGTTTTAATATTTGGAAGTTATGCTAAGGGATGCCAGGATGTTAATATCCCTTTAAAGAAAGATACTGCATTCAAACTTGAAAAAATAGTATTGTTACTGACTAAATAGTAGATTTCGCAACAGCACGCCATTACTTTCTCGTCCAAGATGATTATTTATTGCCCTGTTCAAAATTAGGCGGTTATCGGACCAGTACTACCCGAAATATTGGAGCGTTTTTTGACTCTCAACAATATTGCCACATCTTCATAAGTAAGCTGGATGGACTGCTAGAATTTGGGTTGCTAGAGAGTTGATATAAGACAATAAAAATTACACCACTACATTCAAAATTTAGAACGGTAGAGTTACTTCCGAAAAGTGGTAAAACTGGCAATAACGTTACCTCTATTTGATTGGGTATGATCAATTTTGGAGGATATCGGTTCACTAGTTCCCAATTTAAGAATTAAAATAACTCAGTAAGGAAATCAAGATCACTTAATAAAAATTTACTCCACATCACTGATAACCGCGTTGCTGGTTGTTGAAATATTCATGGGGTTTTGGCGGCACAGCTACAAAACGTTGATGACTCAGAACACGTTATAAATTGGCTGTATAATTCCAGTAAGCCTATGCATCTTTAGATTGATTGAACGTGATTTTAGGCTACACAACAAGAAAACCAGGCAAAAAATTGCAATAAAAAATATGTCAATTTAAAACATGAAATAGACTGTAAACAATTTTAATACATAAAACAACCTGATGGAGATATTTAAAATAAAATTGTATACTTTTCTGTAAAAAATATTCAGCAAATCAAACCTCATAACCGCTTCAACGTGCGTTTTTTGTCTTTGAGGATTTTCTTTTTTTCTGCAGTGAGCTTCTTATCACCAGCGTGTTTTTTCGCCAGAGGTCCATCGATATCTCCTTTGCATTTGTGCTGTATTTCATCAAAATGTGGAGTTAGTTTATGGGAAAAGTGGAAAAAGTATTAGCACTGATTGACAGTTCACCAGAAAATACCCAACCCAATTGAAAACAAATTTATGCTTAGAACTACACTAAGTAACATAGGAAAACGAACACACAGTAATCATGAATGTATAACAACAATTTTATGTATACATGTCTCAGGGTTAGGTAATTGGTCAAAGTTTCAGGAAAATACAACCGTTGAAAAAATGTAAAGCATTGATAATGTGTTGGGCCTCCAAACACGTCTGGGCATACTTCTAATAGGTGTTTCATTTTTCTATGTCACTTAGTATATACACGGTGTCCGAGATAAGGATCATATGCATGGGGATCTCAGAGTTACGGATTAGGTTGAATTAGGAAAAAGTTGCGTTCTTTGGGGCGTATCTACATGCTGTTGAGAAACTTGTAAAAGCTTCATGGCTTACTAAAATATTTGGGAAAAACTAAAATTTGGATAAATCATTTTCATTTTTTCTGGCTTCGTTTTTAGAAATATCAAAAAACTAATGAATCTTTTCCAATGGCACTTTTTAGGCACTACATGATGGTGTTTTTAAATTTTGTGACAGATGCAGCAGGTGCAGGAGGCGGTCAGTCAGCTGATAGATGAGCTCCCAGATGAGCGGCCTGGAGGAACAGGTCTGGCTCTGAACCAGGGGTCTGACCAGCCCGGACCGACGGGAGCTGCGACGGTAGACCAGGTCCCTTCACAGGGGACGGGTCAGCCGGGGCAGGGATCTGGCCGAATATTCGGTATACCTTCCTTACGATTCAAGGAACTGGGAGACCTTGTTACATATTGTAGGCATTCTGGACTTGAGGCGACAGCAATGCTCACTATGTGTGGCAGCTCGAACACCAACAAATGGGGCGAAGAGCTGGGAAGTTTCTCTAATACCCTGATACCCTCTCTATCGGATCACAAGTATATACTGTTTAAGACTGAAAGAGAGATTCCAGATAAAAATGCTCGGAATCCTGGGCATACTAATTGGGCGTACTTTAGGGCAGATTTTGATAGAAAGCTTGGGAGAGTCTCCATACAGCCTTTGTAGGGGCTCTGATATAGAAGCGGCTATGGGGTCTCTGAGCTTGAACTTGACAGCTTCGTTTGAGGAAAACTGACAATCACGCAAAGTTCAAAGTAAGGCAAAGCAACCTTCTGGTCCAAGGAGCTAGAGGATAGGAAACGAGCTATGCGCAAACTTGGTAGAGTTAGGCACAGGAGATGCTCACCCCAATTGGAAGAGTACAAGAAGGCGTTGCAGGAATACCAAAAGAAGATTAGAAGGGACTCCAGAGAATCCTGGAGGAACGTATCTGGGTCCATTAATGACATTCCTCCTACAGCTAGAATACACAGAATCGTATGCAAAGATACCAAAGCAAGCTTGATATCTGTCAGATCCATTGGGAGGTAATACTACTTTCGAGGAAGGTACTCGGAGACTTCTGATGGATATGTACACTTCCAAAGTAGCGCATTTACAGAGTGCATGCCGTTGCCAGGCCCTCACGGGAGGGCTGGCGCTTGGCAAGGGTGATTGTCACCTTCGATAGGATGGTATTGGCAATCGGTTCGTTTGCTCCATACAAAAGTCCGGGTCTGGACGGCGTATTTCTGGCCATGTTACATCACGGGCGAAATTCAGTTGTTCCATATCCGTTGAAGGTGATTCGAGCATATGTGCCCACGGACTTCACACCTAGAAGCTGCAGGCATGCTAAAGTGGTATTTATTCATAAGCGGAGCAGAGCTAAAATATGCCCGCCCGTAGGATTATCCTTTCATCTTTTGTGCTTAAGACATTGGAAAGGGTAGTTGACAGATTTTTTAGGGATGGCCCGCTGGTGAGAGGTGCGTCATAATCTGGTCGGTAGGCTCGAGAAGACTCTAGATCAGCGAGAAGTGGCACTCGTGGCTTGTTAGGACATTGAAGGTGAATTTAATTGCACCACAACCTACTCTATCAGACATGCCTTGGCTAGGCACGCAATTGGATCAATCCTAGTTGATTGAGTCCTATCCACTCTGGATGGTCGGGTAGCAACAGCTATGCTGAATGACGAATGCAGCGTCAGTATAGCTCGGGACTGTCCGCCGGGCGGAGTTCGATCACCCTTAATGTAGTGCCTCGTGGTGAACGAGCTCCTCATTCTCTGGCTCTGGCTCTTGCGCCGGAGTCTGGGCCTAGAACTAGGCTATCTCTGCCCCTCTTCGTGAATACACCACTATTTTCCAGGTGATTCTGGCTACAATGAAGGCACTAAATTACTGTAACATTACTTTGATGTAATTCATTCGTAAAAAAAGTTGGTTCGGACCATATAAAAAATAAAGTTGATGATGATTTCTCAGTGAATTGGAGCTCGGCCGGTTGGTGTTGTATACTATCTCTCGAATTTCTTAGTTTGTGTGTTAAATACTGGACATTAATTATCAGTTTTTTTCGTAAGTGATGCAAGAGGTGTTCATAGATAACATTTGATTGAGGTGACCAGATAGCATATGTAAGTCTATCAGTTTCTATTAATTTGCATCATGGTCAACTGTGAAATTTGCCAAACATTGGTAACTCGGTCAAGGCCACCTATTTCTTGCGACGCATGTAAAAAGCAGTTTCATTCTTTGTGTATCTCAAACACAGATATACTGGGCGTCATAAATACTGTTCCTGGGTTGTTTTGGAGATGTAAGAACTGCATTCCTAACTGCATTGTAATAAACCAGGATGATGTTAAGAATCTACTGAGTGGCAAAATTGACGAGGCCATGGCTTCTTTCAAGAATCAAGTCACGAAATTATCTGCTGATATATCAAGATCTATGAAATCATCTCATGCAGTACCTTCTGTCAACAAGCCTGTAGTATCTTACACCGAAGTCGTTAGAAATAAGACCCAGCCAGCATTAATTATTCAGCCAAAAAATGGGAATCATCAAAGCAAGCAAACCAAAGCTGATCTAATACAGCATGTGAATCCTTGTACTGCGGAAGTTCAGTTAGCGAAAGTGAAGGATGTTAGGGATGGTGGTATTCTTATTGGCTGTAAGTCAAAGGAAGAAAATCAGAAGTTGAAAGCTATTGTTCAGGAAAAGTTGTCAGACAGTTATGTGATACGTGAAATTACCGGTATTAACCCGCGGTTTCGGCTAGTGGGCATGTCAGATAAATATTCAGATGATAAATTACTGCACTTGTTATTAAAAGGAAATACTAATATCTTCGAAGATGATTTTGAATGTAAAATTGTTAAGCACTTTCCTACTAAAAAAGACCCTTCTGTATATCAAGCTATTGTTCAGGTGGATAGGAGTAGTTATGAGAAAATTGTTAAAGCTGGTTACTTGTTTGTGGGGTATGACAATTGCGCTGTTTACGATGCTATTGATGTGTATCGTTGCTTTAAATGTAATGAATTCCATCATTCTTCTAGCAAATGTAAAAGTGCAGTTGTTTGCCCACTCTGTAGCGAGAATTATGAGGTCAAACATTGCAAATCACAGACTCGTAAATGCTCAAACTGTATGAAACTTAAACAGAAAGATGGTAGTGTGCAAACGGATCATGCTGTTTGGGATAAGCAGAAATGCAAGGCATACAATGAAGCCCTTGATAGATTAAGACACGATCTACTCAGTCAGTAGCAACCAATGCATCCCTTCGTCGTAACTCACAAGGGAGTAGATTCTAATTGTAGTGATAGGCTGCAACCTCTAATATACTACCAAAATGTTCGTGGACTCCGAACGAAAGCTGCTGTTTTTTATAATGCTATTTGTAGGTGTGAATATCCTATCATTGCAATAACTGAAACCTGGTTAGATTTCTCATGTATGAGTAGTGAATTTATTCCAACTACATATAATGTGTTCCGGACAGATCGAGATTATGTAACCACTGGTTGCTCAAGAGGTGGTGGTGTGTTGATTGCGATTAATGAGCGTTTTACAGCATCTTTGATAGAGATACCTGAGTTGGCAGTACTTTCCGCCCTAAAGATTGATGTAGTAGCAGTCAAGGTTTGTACCAACACTTTTTCAGTTTACATTTGCAATGTCTACAAACCACCTGATAAGCCCAATGCTGAATATGAGCAATTTTATGATGCTATCTTGTCATCGCACGTCCTATTTGATAAGAATTTAGTTATAACAGGGGATTTTAACATAGCTAACTACAATTCTTATGCTAATAGTCATGGACGCAACGCAAAATTGGTATCGTTGAACAACTTTGCTGAGGGTCTTGCTATTAATCAGTTTAACAATATTTCAAATTCTATGGACAATACCCTTGATTTAGTTTTCTGTAGTGGTCTGTGTGAGGTTGAACATTCGTGGGATCCGCTGCTAGATGAAGACCCATATCACCCTGCCCTGAATATTTGATGTAATGTCAACAGCAGTCTCAATACTAAGCATAATTTTCCGGTTTCATTTATAAATTCTTATAATTTCCGCAAAGCCAACTTCCCCCAATTATATAATTTAATTTCAGACATGGATTGGGCTGCTTTAGATGGCTTTCATGACGTGAATGAAGCGTGTGAGTTCTTTTATAATAAACTGTACAATGCTTTTGATACCTGTGTTCCAAAATATGTCCGAGCAACGAAACGTAAATACCCACCCTGGTTCAATTCAGCAATAATTAAGCTTATCAAACGCAAGGAGAAGATTCACCGATCTTACAGACGCAACAATGATCCTAAAACGTATCAGACATTCAGGGAACTTAGATCAAAAATTAAGATAGATTCAGATGAAGCATACAAAATATATGTCAGACAAGCTGAGAACGAAATACAAAGAGATTCGAATAAATTTTGGGGCTTCTTAAATTCTAAGCGAAAATCAACAAACTTATCAAGTAGGATGATTTACAATGGTAATGAACTTTTGGAACCGAACGACATATTAAATGCTTTTGCGGATAACTTCTCCAAATACTACTCGTCTTCATCAGCCACCGAAGAAACTGATGACTTTTTAATGAGCAATGAACAACCACTCAATATTACTAGATTTGAGGAGGATGAAGTTGTCTTAGCCTTGAAGCAAATAAAACCTAAGATGACTACCGGACCGGATAATGTACCAGCTTTTATTTTGCGTGGCTGTGCCTCTGTGTTGGCGTGTCCTTTGACCGTTTTATTCAACTTGTGCCTTACCACCTGCACAATTCCAGAATTATGGAAGTTATCTAAAGTATGTCCAATACACAAAAACGGCAGTAGGAATGATGTATCAAATTTTAGACCTATATCAATATTGTGCAATTTTTCAAAAGCTCTAGAGATATTAATATATAACAGACTCTATCATCATGCCAGCAGAAAAATATGTGTTCAACAACATGGTTTCATGAAAGGGCGCTCAACAGTATCAAATCTGATGAACTTCACACAGACCATAGCAGAAAACATTGACAGAGGATAACAAACAGATGTGGTCTACACAGACTTCTCCAAGGCTTTCGACAGAGTTGATCACAGGACGCAACGCAAAATTGGTATCGTTGAACAACTTTGCTGAGGGTCTTGCTATTAATCAGTTTAACAATATTTCAAATTCTATGGACAATACCCTTGATTTAGTTTTCTGTAGTGGTCTGTGTGAGGTTGAACATTCGTGGGATCCGCTGCTAGATGAAGACCCATATCACCCTGCCCTGAATATTTGATGTAATGTCAACAGCAGTCTCAATACTAAGCATAATTTTCCGGTTTCATTTATAAATTCTTATAATTTCCGCAAAGCCAACTTCCCCCAATTATATAATTTAATTTCAGACATGGATTGGGCTGCTTTAGATGGCTTTCATGACGTGAATGAAGCGTGTGAGTTCTTTTATAATAAACTGTACAATGCTTTTGATACCTGTGTTCCAAAATATGTCCGAGCAACGAAACGTAAATACCCACCCTGGTTCAATTCAGCAATAATTAAGCTTATCAAACGCAAGGAGAAGATTCACCGATCTTACAGACGCAACAATGATCCTAAAACGTATCAGACATTCAGGGAACTTAGATCAAAAATTAAGATAGATTCAGATGAAGCATACAAAATATATGTCAGACAAGCTGAGAACGAAATACAAAGAGATTCGAATAAATTTTGGGGCTTCTTAAATTCTAAGCGAAAATCAACAAACTTATCAAGTAGGATGATTTACAATGGTAATGAACTTTTGGAACCGAACGACATATTAAATGCTTTTGCGGATAACTTCTCCAAATACTACTCGTCTTCATCAGCCACCGAAGAAACTGATGACTTTTTAATGAGCAATGAACAACCACTCAATATTACTAGATTTGAGGAGGATGAAGTTGTCTTAGCCTTGAAGCAAATAAAACCTAAGATGACTACCGGACCGGATAATGTACCAGCTTTTATTTTGCGTGGCTGTGCCTCTGTGTTGGCGTGTCCTTTGACCGTTTTATTCAACTTGTGCCTTACCACCTGCACAATTCCAGAATTATGGAAGTTATCTAAAGTATGTCCAATACACAAAAACGGCAGTAGGAATGATGTATCAAATTTTAGACCTATATCAATATTGTGCAATTTTTCAAAAGCTCTAGAGATATTAATATATAACAGACTCTATCATCATGCCAGCAGAAAAATATGTGTTCAACAACATGGTTTCATGAAAGGGCGCTCAACAGTATCAAATCTGATGAACTTCACACAGACCATAGCAGAAAACATTGACAGAGGATAACAAACAGATGTGGTCTACACAGACTTCTCCAAGGCTTTCGACAGAGTTGATCACAGGATGCTATTGCATAAGCTGAAATCTAATGGATTATCCGATCCTTTATCCTTTAATACAACTATTTAAGTCCTACCTCACTGGAAGAAATCAATCTGTGATGTTTAATGGCATCAGATCGTCGAAGTATGTAGCCAATTCCGGAGTGCCACAAGGCAGTAACCTATGGCCTTTATTGTTCGTCATATTTGTGAATGACATAGTTAATGCTGTTGGCGAGAATTGTTTACTTTGCGCTTATGATCTGAAGATGTTTTGTCGTGTAGTTGATGAATCAGACTGTGATCAACTTTTAGAAAATCTGGTCAGGTTGGATGCTTGGTGCTCACAAAACAATCTGTCATTAAACATCAATAAATGTTACGTAATGTCTTACACTTTGAAGAAAAATCCTCTGTTATTTGACTATACCCTGTCAGGTAGCTCTATTCAGAGGACTTCAACTTTATGTGACTTAGGCGTGACATTTGACTCCCAACTAACATTCGTCAAACACATTGACAGCAAAATTTCCGAGGCAAACCGCATGTACGGCTTTATTGTAAGAAACTGTCGTGACTTCACTCAGAGTACCACCTTGAAGTTGCTGTATTATGCATATGTTAGGTCGAAGCTTGAGTATGCATTGCTAATTTGGAATCCGCATCATATTATTCATATAAGTAGGCTTGAATGTGTTCAAAGACGTTTCTTAAAATATTTGTCACTGAAAGTGGATGGCGTTTACCCGCCCATAGGTATACCTCATGATTCCTTACTTGAAAAACATCTAATCAGCAGTCTTGAAGCAAGGCGCACTTGCCAGTCAGTGATTTTTCTATTTAAATTGACCAATAATGCTAGTGATGATTTAGCTTTCTTGGGTCAGTTATCATTTAACGTATCTAGGCTGAGATCCCGACAAAACGTTACGTTTTATTTACCTGCGGCACGGACAAATTATTTACACTATTCCCCTTTACATGTGATGTGTAGGAATTACAATTCTGCAAGTAACAGGATTGATATATTTAACTGCAGAATTGCAGACATAAAAAATACTATTAAGTAACCAGCATGTATCTTTTACACTTTGTAGTCTATTACTTATTACTTATTATTGTCTTTTATATCTGTGTTATGTTCTGTGTTTCCTCACCCTGTAATTGGTATTTACTGTAGGGTGTTGTAATGAATAAAAATAAAAATAAAAAAAAATAAAATAAAAATGAACCGTCAGGCACAAAATTTAAAAACAACATCATGAGGTGCATAAAAAGTGCCAATGGAAAAGTTTCATTAGTTTTTTGATATTTCTTAAAATGAAGTTAGAAAAAATAAAAATGATTTGGCCAAATTTTAGTTTTTCCAAAATATTTTACTAAGCCATGAAATGTTTACAAGTTTCTCAACAGCATGCAGATACGCCCCAAAAAACGCAACTTTTTCCTCATTTAACCTAAGTTGTATCTCCCACAGGTATTGAGATCCCCATGCATAGGATCCTTATACTGGACATGCTGTACCTATATAGTATATGTCCAGACCATCACCTTTAGGTGTCTGCATTATCACCTCTCCTACTGTAGCTGCAGGTTATGGATTTCATTTCTTATTGCCAAGAAGTTCTGAAATCTTGGAAATAATGGTGAGTCAGGAGTTAGGTAGAGAGGTGATCTGTAGTTGGAACGTTTAGGGTCACATTTAGGGATGATCTCTCCCTAAATTTCAAACAATAATCCTCGTTCCTTGAAGAATGTTCAAGTGAGAATCTGCATTTCACAGTAGGCTGTAACAGTTGTCATCACAGTTTTTGAAAATTTAGAGTTTTTATAATTTTCACGATTTTCGAAATTTTCAACACCACTAAAATTCTTAATTTTGGTTGGGCATCTTCTTGTTAATCCAAGATCTTAAAGTCTCACCTGGGCATGTATTTCAGTCATCATTTTTGCTCTTTGGTAGTAATCTTCATACTGCTCCAGCAGAAGTTTGCCAGCTTCCTCATTCAATGCTGATTCAGCATTTGGTACAATTAAAAGACACTTTATGGTCTGCAAAAAATTTTGTTACAATAAAAAATATCTTTCATTTCAATCAATAGCTCACAAGTAAAATATGTTTGATTCCAAGGTCAGATTTCCAATCTTTCTTGAGTGTATTAACACAGATTTCTCCATTAGCTGCTACGTTAGGATGGAAAATTTTTGTTAGGAAGTAGGCTTTAGGAGGCTCAGCAGGAAAACTTTTACCCAGAGTTAATTTGACTTTGAATGTACCTCCTGTATATGGAGTACCTAAAATAAAAACAAGCAGTTAGAAAAAAATTGCGTCAAGCGCGTTGACTCTGCAGTTCTTACGCAACACCGACATCAGTTCATAAAGGATCAAGTTCAGCGCAATTTAAATCTTCTGAGATGAAAACGGACATGTAGAACAGATAAATTAAACAAGTCGGTCAACCAGACCCATAGAATTAGTCTATAGACATTGTTTCCATGCCCTACTGGTAGTTACCGACCATGTGGCAGCGATGTCCCTTTCCACATCTCCGCAACATCGCTGCGAGGGGTTATCTTTCGTTTCGTGGAGAGTCTATATGTTTTTTGCGCTTCAGTACGGTACGGGTATTATGAAAAAAACCTATAAAACGCCAAAAAAACCTATAAGAAGTCATCTTACAGACTAGGTAGTTTTTACAGTGCAAGCAGTCATTCCGCGTTTGCACACTAGGATCGTTGTGAGCGTCCACCTATGGAGGAATGGCTCAACTACACGTACACGCATTGTTGGTTGCATATGTTTTGTGAAGCCGAGTGGTCTGTACTTTTTATCTGTAAGAAGAAAGTTGGTTGGATAGCAAGATCGCATCTGGATGATTGTGTGTATTGGTGTGCATGTGTATAAAATCAGTGATATTTGTTGTGTGAGAACATCATTACTGAATATGCTGCCAAGGAAGTATATCTATTATCTGTGCCCATCTGGTTATTTAAATGTTGTCCTTTCGGAAGACAGATTATGTTTAAAGTCATCAATAACGACTTTTTACGTTTTTTTGTGTTTTCAAAAACTTCGAGGAGAATTACGGGAAATCACCACCACCCATATATATGACTTGTAATTCGACAGTGTATATTGAATATAATTATTTCTTATCTGTGTCATTTTTGGAATTCAGCAAATTTGCATATTTAATTTCCAGAATGGATAAGAAATAGTGGATACGCTACTTTCTAGCTTTGAATCTCAAGTAAGTGTATTTGAGACAAGAATCCAATGGAATTATCATCAACACATATTATTAGCACAGAAATCCTCTCTATGCCATCTCTGAAGCAGATTTTACATCACATCACAGCCAAGCATTGATAACTGAAGCCTCATGACGTCTAGGCAACACGTACAACTACAAAACGAATTTACAAAAGTGTCCATCAGCTTGCGAAGTTAACATATTGTCACGCATCCACGTTTTCTTATCTATTCTAGAAATTACATATTCAAATTTGCTGAATTTCATAAATTAGAGAGATAAGAAATAATTATATTCACTGTACACTGTCGAGTTACAAGCCATATACATGCTAACAGTAATTACACACAACGCGGCCGCGGTGGTAATTTCCCGTAATTCTCCTCAAAGTTTTTCGTAATTTATAACTTTGAACATAACCTCTCTTCAGAAAACACAACACAAATAACTCGTCGAGCACTGCTAATAGATATACTTCATTGGAAGCATATTCAGTAATGATGTGCTCACTCAGCAAGTATCACTGATTTTATACACATGCAGACCAATACACACAATCATCCAGATGTGATCTTGCTATTCAACCAACTTTCTTCTCAGAGACTCGGCTTCACAAAACATATGCAACCAACGATGCGTATAGTTTAGTTGAGACATTCTTCCATAGATGGATGCTCACAACGATCCTAGTGAGCAAACGTGGAATGACTGTTTGTACACTAAAAACTATCTAGTCTGCAAGATCACATTTTATAGGTTTTATTGACGTGTTATAGGTTTTTTACATAACACCCGTGCCGGGTTGGGAGCGTACAAATATACTATCATATACCCTAACCACCCCCTACAATCCCCAACCTTTAATTGGTTATATGAAGATCGAATAAAGGTATTAATCAATGCTGAAAAGACATCCATCTGAAATAACCATTAGAGAGGCCAAAAAGGGAATGCAGATGTTCGCACTAGCTATGCGAGTCTCACAAAGGATGCCAGGAGCCTTCAGACCTTCAAATGGGATACATTAATTAATGCCAAAATCCAGCAGACTGGGGTGAATTCAGATGCTGATTATGAAAATCACCATCAAAAGTCTTAAAGTATCGTGAAACCCTTATTTGAAGTAAGGAAATTGGGGTTTTCCATCAATCTCAGCAAAAAGCTCACTTGAGTTTTTGTCAGTAATGCAGATTAGCAAAGATTCCTGTAAATTCCCCCTTTTAAACCTAAGTTTGACAATGCAAAATTTCCATTTACTAGAGAAGTATCGTTGCAGATAACTTTATTCCATTTACCAACTGATGCATTTTACTTTGAAGATTTGAATGTCGGGCTTGGGTGAATGTCAAGCAATAAATTAGTAATTACTGTGGTTCATACCATCAGGGGTCCAAGTAACTTGTAATGTAATATCATACATGGTAATGGAATGTGGACTTGTAGACTGACAGATGAAATCTTACTCTGGAATACTGTGAAATTTTATTTTTAGAGTGCCTAAGTAAATTAAAGGTGATGACACTTGATGACATCTACCTAATTTCTACCCATGTTTTCTGCAACCATGGAATTCATTATAAGAAACACTATGGATACAAGGTAGCTCATTTATCCTGCAAAATATACATTCTGCCAGTTTTGAACACTTTTTGATGAACAAATAAAGTAAACGAACAATGATCCATGGTACCCTCAAGTGACAACACTATGGATTCCCAAGGTTACAAGCACAGGAAGAAAAGTGTCCTTTTGACATCCCAGAGGTGTTATTGTCTTTTTCATTAGTCCATTACTGTAGAATAATAGCTGATTATCTAGTAATATTTCAAACTTCCCCATATACACAAATGACATGATTCTGATGGATCCATTAATGCTAGGTAGATAGAGCTGTGCTTTGTTTTTTAGTATGCTACAGATTCATTTTGTACTTGCTAACAACTCTTTTATTAAGAAAAATTCATTTGACTATAAAAAATGAGCAAGTTTTACTAGATTTACATCTGATTCATTATTGCCAATGTTATAGACTAATACAAAATGTCACTCGCTGATCAGCTGTTCACCAAAGTAGATCAAAACATGATGGGTACTCATGAAATAGACTTTACTTTGTTCTATTTCCAAACACATGGAACAGGTATGTCAAACAATTTACAAATGCAGTATTTATTGATTTAGTCAGTGTCAGTAGCTCCTATGTTTAAGGTAAAACATATACATACTAATGTCCAGGCTACATATAATCAATCAATATCACATTCCATGGTAAATACTGACAAATCACAGTAAATACTAATTGTGTGATATTGGCCTCACACACAGCTTTTTAGATTATAGCTATGATTGTGTGTATTCTCATAGTTTTGAGGAGCAATTCTTGATTATGTTACCAACACAATGTTTTAGTACTAAATTCATAGTTACTAGAAGACATGCAGGAGCTCAAGAAGAGACTCATAAAGATGCTACCATACAGTAAATTTACTAAAAAGAGAATTAAGGAAGCACCCCATAATAACCATATCTGGTTTGTATCCAGTTCTACCTGCAGGTCCATCTATGAAAGCCTGTATATCAGTCACATCCTCTTCATTTACTTGTACTTTGATTCCTTCAGGAGGACTATTGACTAGATCCTGCATTTCTTTTACAATCCCTCGAATAATTTGAGGGGACAGATTTTCTACATTGTTCGACATCTAAAACACGAAAAATGTAACATTGGGTGACAATATGAGGGTTGTTTTTTACTTACCGTGCCAGCTGAAGCTATTATAATGGGTTATCACAAAGTTTAAACGGAAAGTTTATCTATAAAAACGGAAAATCGAGATTGCAAGCAATCAAAACAGTGTGAAACGAGGCGTTTTGGTTTTTATTGGCGACAGACATATTTTGAATGAACAGCCAATCAGAACCCAGGCTTCAAACACTCTGGCATCCAGGAGAGTGAGGTTTCATAAAAAAGGCTTTATTATGTAAAAAAATATATTGGGATGTAGTGGCAAGAGTTCTTGAATTGTAATGATGTCCCTGAATATTACTTTGAGAAATTCTGGGCGTTTTAAAATTAAATTAATGGAAATCTGAGGTAATTTGTTGATAGTGTCATCTAGCGGTTTATTCACTAAGCTCAAATATTGGCATTGCCAGATTTCTTATCTCTCAGTAGTTCTACCAATTTGGCTATATTATCTGTGATATGAACCATACTCCACTCTCGGATAAATTGGCTAGATTTTATGGATCTGTTGTTACTTTATTGCTGAGATCGACGAAAGGCTACGAAGAGACTATTTTTCTTCCCTAAGTAGAATATCGTGACACATAATTATTGATCACCAATATTCGAAATTATCTCAGCGTATCGAGTTTAATTGAGAGCTGCTTTCCAGTGGCCCTGGTCCGTTACTCGGAGTAACTCAGTAGTGCTCAGCGCCAATAACGTTCTATTGCACATATTGTATTCCCCTGTATTGTTTCTGGAACATTTCGGGAGTGTATCACCCTCAAACCAAATGCAGCTCAGTTGTACGCACGGGGAATCAAAATGGACATTATTGCGTTGTGAATTTATTCAAGCTTAAACTATATTAGGAAAAAGCTCTAATCCAAATAGGACTTAATAATAATAATAATAATAGCGTTTATTTGCAGAGCAAAAAAATACAAAGAGAAAAAAATTAAAAATGAAGAAACAACATGAATTCCCTGCAAAAGGGACTAGTAAACAGACGAGCTGATCAAAGTACTAGCTCAACAAACAAAATTACAACAGAGGAGTTCTTAACCAAATTATATAAGTTAATATTAATATATACTAATTACAAACGTCTAAAAAAATAAATGTATATAAAGAAATTATATAAATAATATAATTTAACGAAAAATGCAGATTTAACAAAAAAAAAACATTTAAAATATAAAAAGGAAAAATATAAAGTAAACACTACAATTCATCTAATAGAAATTTTCTGTAACTTCTTTTAAAAGCTGACATAGACTTAAGTTTTGTGGGGACGTGATTATACAAGTGGTAGATAAAATGAGAAAAACATCTGTTAAACATAGATGTACGGTGAAGTTGTTTGGAAATCAGCTTCCGATACCGATCATTGATATTTGTGAACATCACTTCGAAATGTAATCTTCGCGCCAACTTTTAGTTTTTTGGCAAATTGCGCCAGCTTAAAGAACTTCGTTCACTTGTAGCATTGATTAACGTATTCCAGACGATGATAGTCGATCATCATGTACTGTAACAGATTTCTTTCCCACGGTTTTACCCGCGGAACGTGCAGGTCGCGTTACTAATAAAGCAATCAAATTTCCCAAGCATACAATTTACTAATGCCATCCAACGTAAACTGAAGTTCATAACATTACTTAAAAACAATGCTTTGTATTAGTAACTACTAACAGTTTCAGAACAGGTTGGATAGGGTGCGCGGTTGAGTGTCGACTTGACGCTAACGGTGGAAATTTTGGTACTTGCCACGATAAAATTGATTTGCAAAATCGACGAGGAGCTCGCGGATATAACCTACCTTGCGTATCAATTAGCAAGAGTAAACAATTTTAGGTCTTCCGTATTCTGGTTCACATTTGATGCTGACAGACTGCACAGACAACCACACTTATATACTGAGTGTTCCAAATTCGACCTTCACCATTGAAATCTTGGAAACGCTAAGAGATAGGAAGGCACTTTAACTGGGACAAAGTTACGTATTCAGATAACTAACAAAATGACGCTCGGAAAGTTCCAAAATTCAAAGTATTTCCGGAGAGAGACCTAAAAAACAGAATTTTCTTAAAATCGTTTTAATTTTTTCTTGACTCTATTTGTAGTAGGATTTCAAAATAAATTGTACATTAACATTGCCACCTTTTCTCCTGTATAAGGTGGCATAATCAGAATTTCAATAGGGCGCTTCGTTTATTTTGTTCTCCAACATCAACTTTATTTTTCTTAAGGATGGATTTTTGTACAAACGAGAAGAGTTTTTCACTTTGATTCCAAAAATTATCAGATAGTCATTTGTTTCGTAAACCAGATTTATGGTAAAATCATTTTTATTTTTTCCTGACTTTATTTGAGATGGGATTTCCAAATAAATTGCAAATTGTCATTGTCACTTTTTCTCCTCTACAAGATGCCGTAGTCCATTTTCCAATTCGAGGTTTGTTTTTTCGACTTCCATCACCAACCTTGGTTTGTTATATGGACGCTTTTTTGGAATTTTGTATATTTTAATGCTACTAAGAAACGTCCAATTGATAATTTGACTTCACCTTCTTGTAGATGAGCAGGAACATGCAATGCAATTTATTTCAAAATCTCATGTCCATGTATAAAATATTATATGTTTTTGAACTCAGAATTAAAAATTCCATTCATCTGTGTATATAAAAATTAAGTTGATGCTTGAGGAGCATAGACGAAACGTCATATTGAAAGTCAGATTATGCCATCTTGTAGAGGAGAAAAAGCGGCAATATTAATGTGCGATGTATTCTAAAATCCCACTACGAATAAAGGCAAGAAAAAAATATAACGATGTTGGGAAAATTCGGGTTTTCCGTCTCTCCCCAGGAGTATTTTGAATTACAAAGCTATCTAGGTGGCATTTTGTTGATTACCCAAGTATGCAATTTCGCCCCCTTTTATGCGAGTTCGTATCTCCTCCCGTTTTCCAAAACCCCAATGGTGAGGGTTGAATTTGAAACAACCGGTATAGAGAGGAAGACACCGAGCCACACCACATTCGAGTTTGTTAGATAAATGTACCTTACTCGCTTAGCAGCATAAAAGATTATACGACAAATAGTCCAAAAACTATTTATTCACAGTATTATACTTGAAATACAACAAAACATAAAACAACTCAGTGATATTTGCTATGTGAGAAAATTATCATTGAATATGCTGCCAATGAAGTATATCTATTAGCTGTGCCCGACGGGTTATTCGTTGTCCTTTCTGAAGACAGGTTATGTTCAAAGTTATATATTACGATTGTTCCAGTTTTCTTTGTGTTTTCAAAAACTTTGAGGAGCATTACAGGGAATCGCCACCGCGGTCGCGTTAAGCCACATCACTTTCATCAGACTATGCGGTATCCAGAGAGAACAAAGTTTGCTTACGTGTAAATGGTCAAGTAGAATTGAATGATTGAACGGTAAATGAAGGTGTAAGGTCTCCTCTATCTGCTGGTATGTCACTCTCTGGTCTTCGTCAAGCATGTTCCTCATCTTTTCCTCGGTTACTGACGTTCTCGGCCGTGCTTCCCTCTCAGCGTCCTCCAGAGTGAAATTGCCCCTTTGGAATTCTCTGTACCACCTGAATATAGCCGTAAGATGAGGACAACCATTTTTCAACGCAAACACATTTGCTCTAAGCACTAGTCTATGCCATAGTCCGCACTTTAGACTGTCAATACGAATGAACAACTAAATCAACAGACGTGCTGCTGGCGGCTACTATGCACTCATGGACATGTCTCAACATGCAGCCTCTTGCGTTAGTTTGTTAAGTCATATTGCAAAACTTTTATAGTGGTACCCTTTGTATGGAATTTTTGAATTATTTTTAATAATTGTAACGTATCTGGAATACTGACCAAAATCACTTTCTTCCCATATATTATACAATTTAAAGGATCCATTACCTGCAATAATCCACTTAAATAGCTGCAATGAAATTCAAGGAGTTTAAATAGTGACTAGAAAAAACTGCGTCCAGTATAGACAGGATTAGTGAAGATGATTAACGGCAACGTCGCTTCACAAACGACATTAACGAAAACAACAAACTGCTGGAGCTCAAGTCAATTTCATGAATTTTCAAAATTATATTAATCTAGTTTTGTTTAGCTAAAGGCGGGTGTTTGCGAAGATGTCAGAGACCGTAAGTACCTTGCAGGATCCCCATTCAACTCCTAGAATAATCCACAAACTCCGCATAACCTTCAGTATTTTCAAGGAGAGCACAGACACACGCAGTCGAACGTTCCTGGACAAATTCGAAAATAACTTTGCACCTGATGTGAACTACGCCAAGTTTCTCAATGATCCTTTTTCCACTACATCCATTCCCTCCGAGTACAAGATCTCGTACGCTCCCACAATGGTATTTTGCGGCTCAATTGTTGGGATTCTTTGTTTCGGTAACAATAGATTTGATTTTAGGAGTCCCAGATTAGGAGATTGCGACTATCAATGGAAACTTATCGGGAGATTTTGGTCCTGACGAATGGGGTGCTCTTGTGGGAGAAGCAGTGGCATCCTACTGCTATTATTGGAGGTGAATTATTTGTTCATAATAACTTATTCGTCAGTACTGTAATATGAAGTGGCTAGTTTTAGTCTTCATCGGGTCTTTATAGGGTAATATTGGAGCATAACTTATAAAAAAGTCACTTCACATACTATAATCAAATCCAAGTGAATAACCAAAATTTCTGTGTTATGTGCCGCGGTTATAATATGGTTCAAGATGACACACGGGTTGATGACGTCAGTTACACGAATCGCTTGAACGCGTTGGTTTTAACCGCGGTTTTGTTGCAAGTTGTTTATTTTAGAAAAGCGCGTATATAATCTCTGATTATTTTTATTATCACTTAATAATCGGTGCTTTTTCGTCTACAACTGTATATGGAAAGTTTAAATAAGAAACCTTACATAATATTCATGGGAGAAATGTTTTTTCAGATTTTTTTTTTAATGATGGAACCATGGCTTTGTAGCTATGATAACTTTCAATTCTCTAAATTTTTCCGCATGTCAAAGAAAACATTTATTGATTCAGCAGAAATGATGAAAAAAGAAATTAGCAAAACCGTATACAGGTGGATATCATCTAGTGAGTTTATATGGCCATATTTTAATATTCTTGTGGTATATGGCTACACAGGATACTTTGTTAAGCATAGGAACTACATTTAAAGTGTCCCCAACAACTGTAATGAGTATAACTAATGAGGTGCTCCACTTTATGGTAAAACTGAAGTCAGCCTATATCATTTTTCTTAAAAATGCAGCTGAAGTACAATAACAATATCAAATACCCGGCAAAATTCTAACTTGTCATATTTCAAATAATAACCAGAAATATAAATCTACTCTTGAGTTGGGTAAATACCACAATTTTGCGGTGATAACTATGACATATAACAGCTGATTCGTGATGTCACGGATCTTATAACCAAACTGATAACTACACTCGCTTGAACGGAATGGTAAATACCAACCCAAAATGGTAAATACCATTTCCATTTGGTTATCCGCTTGAATTTGATTTATGTAATTGATTACTGTTAGATGTAACAGCATGAAAACCTAAGAACCCAGGTCTACTGAATGGAGTTTAAAATATTAATATTCTGTGGTAATACTATTCGGTTTTATCAAATATAGTAGATCACTTTCAGACAAAAAAATATTTTCTGTAAACAAGTAAATTAAGAGATTACAACTAGAAAAGGTCGCCAAATAACAAAACTCCCAAAATTAAACAGAAACTTGTTTATCTGGAGATAACAAAACCCACAGTTTTTGATTGAAGCATACTTACTGTACAAATACTAGAACACAGACTTTATGTGGGTCAAAATCTGTGAGTTCTATTTTTTATGAGCCCCAATGGGTCTAGTAACATTTTACACCTAGTTTATTTCTATGAGTTTCACTTTCTGGTAATTTTTATCAGTTTTAAAATTTCCATATCCATTCCATATACAGTAATGGACAAAAGTATATAGACAAATTCATATTGTGCTGTATTTCTTTTTTAACTTGATTTATTAATACACCAACCTGTATACATAATTCATTATAGCATAATACTCACTTATACATAAATAAATTCATTAGACTCCCTTCAATAAATAATAATTGAAAAAAACTGGAACAATGAAGGACAAAAATATATAGACAAAGCAAAACAATTATAGAAAAAAGAAGCAAAGTTTACTGAATTATAGAAAACCAACCATGTTTGTGTTAATATTTTGTAGCATAACCATTATTATCAATCACTGCCTGGTATCTTCTGGGCATAGATTGTAGGAGTTTCTTGATATAAGATTCATCAATCTGTCTCCACTTTTGCTCTAAAGCGGCAAAAAGTTCATCCTTGTTTGAATAATAATTGTTATCTCGTATTTGCTTATCTAAGTATTCCCATAGATTTTCAATGGGGTTTACATCAGGAAACTGTGAATGCCATTTAAGAACTGGTATTTTTTCATCCAGAAAGAATTTCTTTGCGAGATTTGAAGTGTGCTTCGGGTCATTATCTTGCTGGAAGATTGATCTTAAGGGCATAATGTCCCTCATATAGGGTAACATGACATGCTTTAGTATGTCTGTGTATACAAACTTATCCATAGTGCCATCTATTCTATGTAAAGGTCCCATCCCAAACCCCGAAAAGCACCCCCAAACCATAACAGACCCGCCTCCATGTTTGACAGTGGGCAAAGTGTACTTGGGGTTCAATCTTTGTCCAGTAGGACGTGTAAGGTAATGAACACCATCTGATCCAAACATATTGAACTTGGATTCGTCACTGAAACATACCCTCTTCCAGTCGCAGAAGCTCCAATCAAGATGCAACCGTGCAAATTGTAATTGGTCTTTACGGTTTTTCCTCGAGATTAGTGGCTTCTTACTCGGGCGACTTGCAAATAACTTCAAATCATTTAAACTTCTACTTATAGTTTTCGTAGAAACACTGGCAATTCCTTTTGTCTCAATTTCAGCTTTTATTTGTCTTGGAGTTTTAAACGGATCTTTGGACGAAATTACTTTTATTAATCTAACTGATCTAGCATTTAGTTTTCTAGGCCGACCACTTCTTTTGGGCCCGTATCGTCAGTCGTCCCTACAATTGTAGGGCGCCTTTATGGCCTCCTTGATTGTCATAGTTTTCTACTTCTCCGTGGCAGAACTCTATTTTGAGGTTATGTCACAAACATCTATTTGCATCAAATTGTGCTTGCTTTTGAGTTATATCCTGTTTTATCAGCCTGAAATTTACTACAGTTTGAAAAGAAAACATATCTTCACAATAGGAGAGTGCTGACGCTGACACGCGACAAGTGTAATCTAGAAATTTTTGAAGGAGAAGAAAGAGTATGACAATCAAGGAGGCCATAAACGTGCCCTACAATTGTAGGGACGACTGACGATACGGGCCTTAGAGGCTTCCAAGATACCTTTTTGTTTATATTTGTTCAATATTGCCCAAACTGCTTTACACTTCAGCTTCAAATTTTTGGCAATGTGGACTTGACGTTGACCATCTTTGTACAACTCAATGATCTTAGTTTTCACATCGGAAGAAATGTCTGGACCACGCGGCATAGTCTTAAAATCACTTAACTTATTTCACAATACTTGATGAACACAAACTAATCCTCTTCTGACACGTAACTGTACTAATGTTGAAAAGAATTTGTCTACATATTTTTGTCCCTCATAAAAAAGTGTTTATATTCAGACTTGTATTGTGTTCATTGCAGATAGTGTAAAAACAAGGAATTTAGTTTTTCTACCAATAACGCATTTATTTATGGAGCAATGAAGTATGAATTCGTTTTCTAAAGGTATTTAGGTAAATATTCATATGTGTCTATATACTTTTGTCCATTACTGTATATGTCAATTGGACATTTTTGTTCATCCTAAAATTCCTTGATCCTACCCATAAAGAAAGCAGTAGTTAAATTTCAAAATACCCTGTTCAAATTTGGTAGTGCAACCCCAATGGTAATTTATTGAATGTCACCAATACAGATAGATTAGTTGATTCACATAGTTTCATCTAAATCACTCAAGTAATTTAAGCTGAAGCAGTGTACTGAGCTTCAGTGACCTGTAGCCATGTGGGATGACAACGGAAATTTTGTTTGGTGAACCTCCAGTTTGAAAATTTGAATACTATGGCCTGACATGTGATAGTTTTTATCTAGGTTCTTAAGACATCGATATGATTTTAAATTATCTGTCCATCCAACAGAGTAGAATGCTGGATGTTATTTCCTTTTACATATACAGTAATTCAAACATGTGATTTTATTTAGTGGCGCCACACAAACATCGAGGATAATTTGTTAATAATACCATATACAGGTCATTACCATTCATATATGCGATTATTGAACTATATTAATAATTCTACAGTCTCCACTAGCTTTCATAATGAAATTATTGCATGATGAGGTGATTGTGTTTTCCACAATTGTTTAGGGATGTATCAAAAATGCCATGCAAAAATGTACATTTACATAAGCAAATTCAGCCTGATCATCACCATTGATCAAAATATTCAGCCTGAAGATACATATACTGCATTTCGGATTCTAAAAAGGTATCTGAAAGATACAAGCACCATCAATGAGACATCAATATACAAAAATGAAATTAGAAATCCAGGTTGAAAAGAGAAGTTGATTTTGCTTCTGTCTCATAGATGGCGCTAAGATCTTCATTTCCTTTTTCGCGCCTCTCTACTGCCTATGTATTAGGCAAATAGGCTGCGACTGATTGAAGATCGTATCACCATCTATGAGACTAACAGTTTCAAACACTAATTATTTTCAGAGTAGCTTTCTAAATTTATTTTTGTGTTCTGCTACTGTCTCATAAGTGATGCTGTATCTTTTGTGTGCTGGAGTACTATACATAGTATACATGCTTGGCTATCTTCGGGGAGAATATGTTTATCAATGGAATCTGAACGAAGCTGCGGCAGACATTTTTAGGACAAACAATAAAAGAATTTTGTTAATATTAATACCCTTTACTCGCCCTGTTTCATTGGAGAACTATTCACTTGACTAGATATTTTTTCATTGAAGGTGTTACAGCATTGTTCATGTTGATTTGGCTCTCTGAACCAAACATATTGACAATCATATCACTGATAGGACTGATCATCACAGTCACTGACTATATACTGCCTGCAGTTGTAACGGCCATATTTAGGACCGAATCTTGGACCAATGAAAAACAGAGGAAATATGAGGAGATCTGCACCAATATCATCTTGTACAAGACTAAATTCGAGTTGCTGGCAACTTCATATTATCGCATGAGGATCACTAATCCGAAATTGGTGAGTTGTTTCCAAGAGTAATTGAATATAGATTTTCCGAATATCACGTCAATAAAAAATACGAATAAATATATGTTCCTACACCACTATAATATACATGTCATACTATTCTGTTTATGATAAGACAATTTGTCTAATATTGAGAAGAGCAACAGGTACTTTTGGCGATATTTCTTTACCTCTACAATCTAATTAAAAAGTCCCAGAAAGGCAAGATATTTGACAATATTCAGCCAGTTTAAGATGCTGCTGTCTTTGAGCCCTGATTTTTTACTGTGACTTTGACCAGGATGTTCAAAATGAAACAAATTTCATCCAAAGCATGGTCGACTTTATGAGAGTAGAGGTGGTCATGTCCATGGTCATAACCACCAAACAGATAGCACTGAAGAAGTGGGAGCTCCACGTTAAACGATATCAACACCGGCGACGTTTGTCAGATGGTGGTGCTGCCTACTTTGCTGGAGATCTGGATTACCTGTCAAAGGAGTTACAAGAACTTCGCCTGAATGTGCCAGGGGTTTTGTTTGTTTATAATTTGAAACCTGCTGAAAATAATATTTACTATTGAAGGATTATTTCATTAATGTTGATTCATTAAATATCCCCAATAAGGGTAATATCTCTTACAGCAGTGTTGCTGGGAACAAGTTTCAGGTTAATAAAATCTAATGCTAAAAGTATTATGCACAAAATACATTTATTTTCAAGAAATAATCACATACTTGAGGCATCTTTTTTTTTACAATTTTAAAAATTGTATTGCACAAAAATATAGATATCCCAAATCCATGTTAATAATAATAATAATAATAATAATAATAATTTATTGGTACTATTACACAAAAATGTGTTTGCACAGGTCATTTAAAGTAGAACATAATTATTATAATTGAATTATTGAACACACTTAGCAAAATATGTGTCTGACTTCATTGAATTGCTCCTAGACAATCTGAAACAATGCATAAAACACTAAAGTAATTTATGCAGACCTTGTAAATAAGCTAGTCACTTTAAATTAGTTCGCTTAGTTCTATGACTTAAATTTGTTGGCGTTATTATATTGTCACGTGCCAAAATCACGTAACTTTTTTTTTACTATTTTGATCACTTACGAGTAGTTTGAATTTCTCTTTATTAATGATAGAGTGCCCATTCCTAGGCCAAAGCCTTTTCAATGACTTTCTTTTGGTCAATTTCATAGTTTATTGATTGTATAATTTCAGACGTATTATATCTTTCTTTCTCAGTGATTCAGTATTGTGTTGGGAAAAACACTGTGGTTTTTCTCTGTTACTTGATTTTCTGTCGAACATATCTTCTTTAAGGCCACTCGTTGAACCTTCCCTGTATGAAATTAGTTGTTTCATATCACTTTCCTCCTGCTGAAGTTGTGGTGTGCGCACCATTTAGTTCATTCCCAGATTCTGGGATCTAAGGTGCCGAACACCAGTTAGTGGGGTAGTACCCCTTTATATGTTTAGTTGTCTTGGTTTGGGTGCTACCCATTCCATATTTTTTTACAAAAAAGAAGTGGTGGCTTCCGGCAATTCCGGCCGCAAAGCAGCTACAAGCCAAGCTGGAGTAGTTATGCTGGCTCTCCGTAATGTCTCCCACGCTGAAGGTTAGAATCCCATAAAAAAAAAACATGGAAGGGGTAGCCCCAAACCAAAACAACTTAACATATAAAGGGGTACTACCCCACTAACTGGAGTTCGGCACCTTAGATCCCAGAATCTGGTGATTGAACAAAATGGTGCTCAACACCACAACTTCAGGAGGAAAGTGACTGATACGAAACAACTAACTTTATAAAAGGAAGTTTCAATGAGTGGCCTTAAAGAAGATATGTTCGACAGGAAACCAAGTAACAGAGAGAAACCACAGAGTTTTTTCCTAACACAATACTGAATCACTGAGAAAGAAAGATATAATACATGTGAAATTATACAATCAGTAAACTATGAAATTTACCAAAAGAAATTCATTGAAAAGGGTTTGGTCTACGAATGGGCACTCTATCATTAATAAAGAGAAATTCAAATTACTAGTAAGTGATCGAAATAATAAAAAAAAGGTTACGTGATTTTGCCACGTGACAATATGAAACTTTTGGCTTTAAGTATATATTATATATTGTATTTCATATAATGGTGTCAACTGCAAAGATTATCCAGAGATGATTCCAGAAATAACCATTCTATGTAAATTTCAAAGAATCTACGAACTACATCATGCAGATGTGTTAAGTTCACAGTCTACCTGTAGCAATTTATGTCGGAGTCATTTTAACTTCTACATATCCCACAATAGTCACAATACCATCACAGCTACTAATAATGTTGCTTTATATGTTACACTCATTTTTGACGAAACAACTCCGGAAGCATACATACGCCATATTTGAGGTTTTTACATTTTACTCGGTGCCGGTAATGCAGTTCACTTGATTTTGCCTGGAGAGGATGACCTTGGCGCTGCCAGTTCGCCCTAAGACGTTTCCCTCTGGTCATAACTAATGCCGGGTCCACACCAAACCAACAAAACAGGGCCAAAACAGCAGCTCAATGTTGTTCAACAATTAAGCAACAAATCGGCAACATTTCGTCAACAATTCGTGTTTTGTTTCTGACAACTTTTGGCGTTCCCGTCGCGAGTCGGTAAAGATCAAAAGGTTTCTGTTTTGTTTTCATTTTAGGCAACATCGTCGGTGCGATGTATACTTTGCTGCGAAATAAATATAAAACACAAACTGTTATCAAATTCGAAGGCGCTGTGTGAAAAATTAAAGTGGAGTGTAGATAGCACGAGTAAATTAATTGAACTGTATAGGGAGTATCCTAAATCTTAGTGTTACGGCCAAACAACTACGTTAATGGCATTTCTGATATTGGTATCTTTTTCATAAATTTCAGGACCGATCTGCTATATTAATTCTTCAAAGTTTTCACTGGACGTTCTTAAAAAGTTCTCGAAACTAGAACGCAATCCAATATCATCTTTACGCAAATCGGACAATAGTGTTTCAATACCACGGTCATCTCTTTCACGTAAGGATGGTTTCACGAAGGAGCGTTTTTTATTTTTCCGGTCACAACTTTGGGGAAACACGTAACCAGCAGACATTATGATTTGCGCTTCTAACTTTCAGCATAAAAACGCCACATATTTTCACTCTGTGCTTTGTGTTGATTCCAAAAAGTTGCTTACTTGTTGCGTTTCTGTGTTGTTCCTTGTTTTTGTTTTGTTGCTTTGATGTGGACCCGGCATATGAGTAAACTTTTCTGTTTTACCTATTTCTGGGACCAAAAGTATCGAATGACTTAGTAAAGCTCAGTTTCAGGGTCATCAATGAATATTCAGGAAAAATTAAGCTTTTCTTGTCAATTGCGGAGTCAAAAGTGTAAGGTCCCATCAAAAAAAATTGTTTTTACTTGATTTGATTAATTATAGTTTATGCTGAATATTCGCAAAATCTAGCCGTTCCGGGCTTTTGGCTCATATTGTATAATGTCAAAATAATCTCGCTAAATAGCAACGTTTCCGAAATATTAGACAGGAAGTTGCTGAGGCATGAGGTCTGTTCTATTTTCTAAAATGAGGTTCTGTTAAAGCTGTGTGTTTTGTTTCATTCAAATTATGGGCAAATTTTAGGACACCCTTTATGATTATCACTAGCCAAAACCCGCGTCACCGCTCGCATAGTGTAAAGTATAAGGTCATTCGTTTCGCATTTGTGTTAAGGAAATTGGTTTTGGAGAAACAAATGCAATAATAAAAGTCATGCAATAGTTACTTTGACAACGAACATTTTTTATTCAACATTTTAAAGCAACAATAAATTAATATCAAATGTGTAATAAAAATCACAATAAATGATACTTGAAGTATCACGCAGAATATGTGGCATATATTAATATATCGTAACCAAATAACTATTTATGCACAGTATTATACTTGAAAAAAAAACTAGACAAATCTAAATCAAGACGATCACGCTAAAGAAAATGGAAAGTCGAAATGCAGTAAATGCTCGATGCAAATGTATGTTCTCATCTCATTTATGTCGGACCCGCGACCACACACCTTATGTCAAATTCCATTAAATCGTTTGAGCTGTGGCCCGTGCAATACATATTTCAAAGTTATTTCCCAGGATAAATGTAGGCTATGTACTGTTCCTATTTCTACACCAAATTTCATCCAGACCTGTTCAGTCATTTTCCGTGATTGAGTAACAAACATCCACACTTTCTCATTAATAGTATTAGTAGGGATTAATTTTCCACATTTTCCAGTATTTCAGCATCACTATTTTCGCCCTGTCTCTCCTAACCTGGTTGGGTGGAACCATCAGCAATCTCTTCCTTGTGTACCTGTTAGTCTTAACCATTCTTCTTCTTCCCGGCATGATGACAAATGGCATGTTGAACCGAAGCTCAGAAACTCTCGGCAAGATCTTCAACGATCTAGTCGAAAACGCCAAGTCTCGAGTCGCTACTACGGTTAAGAAGATAGAGTAGGTTTTTCTTTTTTCATAATATAGTATTTCGTATACTTAAGTTTTTCTCTACAAATTATTGGTGTGATACATTAGACTGATGTTACCTTAATGTAGTTTTATATATGAGTACAATAAACTATGTTTTTATACAATCGCTGTGTTATTTAAAAATGGATATTATTTCGGTGACATGTAGCATTGATTAATGTATTTATTCTACCTGAAGATGGTCAACCATATACAGTGAAAACCTAATTTGTTGAACGGATTGACTTTGTGTACGAGAGAGAAGCGCGAGAAGTGTGTATCCTTACATGTTAGAAAGAGGTACGAGCTGGCTGAAGAGCGAAGGTCATCACCTCATGCAATCTGCCGTGTTGCCAATGTTACATCAGAAAATGTTCGCACAGGCTTCTACAATAGGTTAGGTTTCTGTCAAACCCAAGAAGGAGGTCTGTTGGAACATTTAATTTATTTTGTTTTCATTTTGATTAGAATTATTTCTATTTTGATTCAAAGCAGTGTTTTAATTTAATTTAAAATTGTCTTTGAATTCCACCAAAAACGAAAAAATCAACACATCGTGAGTTATTGTTACATTTTGCGACAGCGACCGGTCGGAAAATGTAGCAATTACCATTACGCAATACAAATTATCACTGCCTGTGTGTACGGAGGTGAAAACAATTTCGAAGCAGAACGTCACTCACCAATGAGCTCTAAATTGATACTGACCAAAATCGCTCATCTATGCTCATGGAGGTGGAAACCTTGCCTTGGAATGTACGAGATGTGGTGTTGCCAAGCGAACTAATGATGCGATGTTGCAGAATTTGAGGCGATCCTGACCTTTCATTTCGACGTAAAATGGAGCGCCGTTAGGAATCGATCGTAAACAGATTCGACACAATTCACAATTCAAAAATGTGTACGCTAAAAATAAAATCATGATTAGGGCGCAGAGAATAAATTAACGCATATTTTCAACATGCATCTTAATTCAAGGAACTGGTGTAATATATTGAAAACGCGGCACATTGCCGCGTCAGTGTTTCTGGGCATTCCGGTGATGAGCTTCGCCATCCAGTAGGCTTCTTTCCCCTCCTAACATAAATATGTGTCTATACACACCTCACATTGAACTCAAACCGTCAGACAAATTTGGTTCTCAATGTATGTATTTCAGCGTCCGAAATGGAATCTGAAAAATTGTTAGTGTGCAAACAGTCATTCCACGTTTCCGAATTTTCCTCAATGGTCTTGGAATAATCTAACAAAATAAATTATTTTTATAGAAACAAGTGCACATACTTTTCACAATTCTTTATTCGCTGGAAGAACTTGAAACATCGTCCGAATGGTTAATATTAATTATTACAGATTCAATTTGAATATCGATCATATTGTCCAGATCCCACATCTTTGTTTCGATTGTCTCTAAAACGTGTCGGATGCAATATTTCTAATGGTTTCCCGTCACTCTGTTGACAGCTTCATAAAACAAATTTTTAACGTCAGAAAATTTGAATGTTCTATTGTTTGAAGCCACATAGTTTTTTTATATTTGCCCAAATCATTTCAATGGGATTTAATTCGCAGTGATAACGAGGTAGCCTTAAAACTGTCTTTTTTTGGTTTTTAGCCATTTCGTCAATAACATTAAGCTTATATTTATATTTGTGCTGCCTGACTAGTTGGATAAGTGCTGCTTTGACCATATTTTCATAGAAACTGAATGTTTTTTGATAGGAGCCATTGTTGAATTTCTGCCTTTCTTGTGGACATTGTGGGAATTTTTTCTAGTGTGGTATGCAGCATTATCAAGTACAATGACGGCATTGTCGTCAAGCTTTGGGAGCGTTTCTTCAAACTATCGTTCAAATGAACTCCCATTTATTTCTTCATGGTAGTCGGTCGTTTTCTTTAACTCAAATGCCCATAGGGCAGTGGGCACAAAGCCATCTTCACTGCCAGTGAGACAGATAACAAAACGTTTTACTTTTCCTGGAAATAATTATTTCATATAATATTGAAGAAAACTAATAGTAATACAAGCAGAGTACCTAACAGGTGTTGGTTCCAAATCTACCAGATATAGCTAAGTTTAGTGTAGCTAAGTTTTTAGCGTGGGCTCATAGATTCAGTCTACTTGACACCACTTTTACAACACAAATGACGAATTGGTTAGATACACGTACCTAACGGATTATTTAGGCCAGTGGTTAGTCCATCTAAAAAGGCTTGCTGATTTAATTGTAGAGTCAGCCCATACTTTAGGTTTTGTATGTCCTGCATTTATCTAAGTTTCATCCAAGTAATAAATGTTCCTGCCATGGTCGCGGTATTTCTTTATTGATTTTAAATAATTTCTCCATAAAATTTCTGTCCATCAAAATACTATTTCTGCCCCATTTTCTATACTCAAGATGAAGTTCTTCGAGTAAACTATAGCATGTGGTCCTTTTGAAAGTAGGTAAGTCTTCATCACTATTAACCTCCTGTAATACTTTGTCTATGCTGGGAAGTTCCTGCCTTTAAAATAATTGATAGACTTTGCGTCTGTTGGCATTCCGATCCAAGTTATCAACTGTATTCAACTGCTTCATGTAATGCAGCCTCTTGTGTGGTGGAGACAATTTTTTGTTTTTTGTATATTCTTTAACAATGTTGAAAATTGTCTTAGGACATAAGTCTGTTTTGTTCGCCACACGTCTTTCAATATCATGAATTTTCATTTCAGGATGCTCTAAAAGTTCGCTCTTATAAACGTTAAGGTCAATTTCTTTTGCCTGAATATTCAAATGTGCCTTGTCACGTTTTCGGGGAGGATACATCACTGAAGACGAAGCATGGCTGAAGGAAGCATTGGGAGAAATAGTCTCAGTTTCATCTGCTGTATTCGTAGACGACATGCTAACGTATGTATCCTTTCGAATCCTGCTCGTGTTCGTTGTGCAGGGGCGTAAATTGACTACGAATAGGGTATAGTGCCATTCACGAGACAGTAGACGAACATAATAATGAATTTAGAGATCTACTTTTAAGATTTTGATTCTGCTACCGTCTCATAGATAGCGCTATAGTATCTCGTCAGTCCCTTTTTGGCTTCTCTAAAGCCTATTTGAATTAGGTATTTTTGGGTAGAATACATGAATCAATGTCAGCACCAGGAGTCCTCGCCTATTGATTGAGTAGTAAAACATTCAACAAAACAAAATATGTGCATCAAGTTGTATTTGAAATATTAAAATAGGTTATATTGCAATAATACAATCACAAATGTACATTTCGATTAGTATAATAAATATATTTAGATACAAGAATAACATCAGAGTTTAAAAAACACCCTAAGTTTATCTGAAACGCCATTATAACCACCTTATATTGAATATTATTCCAAAATATAAAAAATAGACCAGAAAAGTATTCTCGTTTTATGAGAACCATATTTTCAAGAAAAAATGCGATAAAAATAATTATAATATTTCCTTTTCTTGATATCAAAAGGTTTGTTGGATTCCCAAGTATGAAGGATATAAGATGGTTGTAGCTTGAGGAAAAACAAGTTTGTGCAAAGTGTATTTGAAATATGGCACATCAGACGAATACAAGTTCAAAACTCGTGAGAATGTTTAATTGACTAAAACTAGGTAAAAATGCCAATGATGAAGCTATATATACGTACACAAAAAATCCAGAAAGTCGACGTTAAACTAAAAAAAGACAAACGTTTGCCAGACGTTAAAATCACGTAAAAATATTTGGGCCACGTAAATGTTTAAAGGTTCGATAAACTAACGTTTTTCTAACCAGATAGAGCCGACCTCAAATCCCACGTTTTGAAGGGGTAACATTTTCGCGCGATTTCTGGTCCATATCACGTGACTATGGTCAACAACGCTGCCCACAGATGTCGACACTGACTGTCGGCTTGGTCAGTGGTCTTAGAGTATCGAGTATCAGACTGGCATTTATCTGACCTGTAGCGCTTCCAACCAAAGTCGAGCAACACGAAATATGGTATACATGCAAGGGTATTACGTAAAAAATCGATGTCTGCCTTTGAAAATCTCTATGATGTCAACTTGTGAACTAGCTGGTCACTAGTCCATGCTACGCGCACTCGCTGTGAATGCCACCTATGGAGGGATGGTACAGTGAACTATAGTATAGAATTTACAGCTTAAAAAATAGAAACTACAAAGGCTATCTTTGAAGCAGATGTGACATCACATCAGAAACAAATCCTATAGCTCGTGTGTCATGACGTTTAGGCAAAGAACAGCTTCTACAAGTAAACGTGAGGTGAATGACAGCTATTTCCAAGGTGACATCGTTTCGGAAAACCTACATAAATGTCATTAAAAATCGATATATGTCAAATTTTACGCTACGGAATACGGGTACCTCTGTTTTAAAACACGTCATACAACGTAGTCGCGAGAAACAAATAGGGTGCATTAAACAAAAAATTTTATTTTCGCCTGGTCAGTAATACTGCTTGCTCAAGGAGAGTACATAAAATATTCTAAAACTCATATGATGAGACTTTTACTGTGTCATTTTTTCATTTTTGTCTTGGAGAAGTATTGCCTTTGTAAACCTCGATACTAATATCAATGTATTAGGTACAATAAATGGAGAAAATGCCCGTGATTACTACTTCTTATCACCTGACGTTAACCCTCAGGGTTAATGCAGTTCAAATTTCATACAGCCAGGTTCATGAGCATTCATACAATTCTTTACAAAATGAAATGGGAAAACAATACGATGAAAACTAAGGACTCGTCGACTCCCAAATAAATTCTTAGAAAAATGAAACAGTGGAACTGTTTGGAATGTTTAAGATAATGTTTTAATGCCCCCTGAGCTTCATTAATTTTGAACATTTCTATACAATCTAAAATCGCATCTTTCTAATAGGAGCCCATGTAAATGATACATGGATTATCTCAGAAACTAAAGGATAGATTTATTTAAACTCGGCAAAAACTTATATCAATACAATACCTTGAATCTAGGCATTTCTATAAATGTGACCAAACTTTTGTACCAGCTTAACAATAAAAGTGACCTTGTTCCTTTATACTCGCTCTAAGCATTTGTCAAAAAGCAAAGAAACCTTACCTTCGATTTGGGTAATAACCACGCACCAATTTTTCAAACAACTATACCTACTCACTACAGCCACACAGTTGCTCTGTCAACTTCACGCGGACTTTGAGAAAAGGGATGACAAATCTAGCTGTTCAATATCATATAAGGAATGATCTGTACCCTTACTGTACGTGATCACAGCGAGTGCATTGTGAAAGCGTAGTAGAGAAAAAATAACTTATTTTAAAGCATTCACTGTCTTGTCAAGCCTTTCTTTTAGTTGTTCTGCGTTTGAATTCGATGATAAGGTAGTTAGACGTGATGACAGTTCGGCTTCTTTTAGGTTATTAACTATGTTAGAGTTTTCAACTAATTGTTCTAAAAATGTTAGTAGGTTGTCGATGCTTGATTTGTCCATTTTGTGGCCATACTTCATCACGACAAAAGATACTGCTTTTCCAATGTCTGCTGATACCAGTTGCCTGCAAAAAGGATTGAGCATGTTACCGAATGAAATTTTGCTACCAACAAATTCAATTCAATTGAGATATTCAAAAAACTGTGACGTTTCGCAAATCCCCATTTTGAATAGAAAAATTGGCTTTTCTGGGGCTTCCGTCGTTCTCAGGCATCCAGTAACGTATCTAGTTAAAAGTGGTCAAATAGAAAATGAAACAGTAGCGGAACCAAACATTACCAGGCAGCAGCAGCGGTGGCGTAGTGGTAGACGTTATGTGTCTACAAATCAGTCGCCGTGCGCTGCGCGGATTCGAATCCCCTCCCAAGAGAATTTTTCTCTTGGCTTTGGATGTTGTGATTGTTCGTAGATGGTTGATGGTCTGTGACTGTCGAACGCGGAGGTATCACTCGGAGGATCTCGTAGGCGGGGCCAGAATGTGTGCATGTCGCCCTTTCCCTGTATCCCCTTATAGGATTTCAAAAGTTTTAGGAGACAGAAAGGGAACCCTTATGGATCAATTTGTAGAGAATGCCTTTGTGCCACACCTTGTCAAATGCCTTTGAGACATTCAGAAGCAAGATTCCAGTACTTTCGTTACGGGTGAACCCCCTGGTTACTCGTTCAACAAGCCTTATGGCCTGTAGTTCCGTACTATGCTCAGACCGAAAGCCAAATTGCACGTCAGGAATCAAATTGTGGTCTGACGAGAAATTTTCAAGGTGACGTAGAATCACCTTTTCAGCGAGCTTAGAAGGAGCTCACAGTAGGCTAATGGGGCGGTAATCCTGGGGGAATATCGAACTCACCTTCTTTGGAATCATTATGACATCAGCGGTCCTCCACGCCGTTGGGAAGTGCTGGGTCCTTAGCATGGCATTGATTATTGCCACGAGATAAGTAAAGGACTTCCGCGAAAGTAGCTTAAGCGCCTTATTAGTGATTCGATTCTCTCCAGGTGCTTTACGCACTTTGAGGTCTTTAATATGACCTTGAAGCTCTGCTGGTGTGCAATGCGGATTCTCAGGAGATTCAGTTGATGTGCCATGCAGCTCTTCAGTTGAGGAATCTTCTAAAGATTCCTCTGAGGAAAAATCACTAAGGGAGGCACTATTGCCACTGACCGTTGGCCCTAAAATATCTCCTGACGGATCTTACAATATGTTGCTCCTCGTCGAGGTCATTATCAAGGTCATAGTTGGGAGAGAACTGACTTTCCATTGCATCAGCGAAAACCGACCTTTTCCTCTGTCCTACAGACTATGCCCCTAGGACTGTGGATGTGCGCGAGTTGTTCTCGCTTTCCGTTTCTGAGGGACTTTGGAACTTTCCAGAGAGGAATACTTGAGTTAAGCGTCCCCGACAGAAAGTCGCTCCATTGCTCATTACGGAATTCATGAAGAGCATTTCTCACTTCATGAACAAGATTCGTTGCTCTGTGAATGTAATCTGAGTGACAAGACCTCTCCGCTTGCTTAATTGCAGCTCTTTTGTCAGAAATTTTCTCACGAGAGGGAGATAGCATATGATGTTCATTCTGGTATACCATATATGTCTTTTTAGTTAGGGACATGACATGGTACCTGAACCCCAATTTACTGTCTACTTCAACCTCTAAAATTTTAGCTGAATTTGTAAGTTGTAGCAGCAAGCCCTTTATATGCACTTTAAATGAATCAGAATGTCGACTTTTTACATCAAAATAACATTATGATTCCCTGCTTCAATTCAACTGGCTTTACACAAATGGTTCCCTCTCATATCCGCCTAACGCAGCACACAACAGTACTTGACCCTATATTCACTAGAGAGCTTTACCTTTCCATGATTGTGTAGTGTTGAACACAGATCAAATATCTGATCATGAGCTTGTCAAGTGTAACGTAAAGTTAAATAGTTTTAAAAGAAAACAAAGGATAATAACTTTCAGAGACTTTGAACCTTTTGACCATAGGTCCTTCCTTAATGATATTTCTTGTTCATCTGTTGATGATCTATTTTTTATTGAAGATATGGTTGAGCACTTACCAAATATCTTGGTTGAAATATTCAATGAGCATGATTCTCTCAAGACAGTAAGTGTATCTAAACCTCCAGCATCCTGAATGAACAGCGAACTTAAAGAGGCTAAGAAAGACAAATATGATGCATTGGCGAGATATAGACTAAATCATTTTGAAAGCTATCGACGCCTCAGAACCAGAGTTCTTATTGATATCACGAAAGCAAAATAGCCTACGTGAGAGGACTTTCCGATCAAAATTATCAAATCAGGAATAAAGAATTTTAGAATAAACTCTCGCAATAAACCTACTTACCATAAATCATAAGTGACGCGGGTAATATAAACAACAACCTTATGTCTGTTTATAGTGCTGACAGTGTACCGGAAGATACATGCAGATTTTATAAAAACAATCGGCTGAATCTGTCAAAATCTTTGTCATTGAGTCCCCAGGAAATTCTTGACATCATAAAAAGTATATCATATATTGCACAAAGTGAACACATATACAGGGTGTTTCAGTTTATTGTTGCATAACTTTAAGATTCGATAGAACTTTTAAAATTAATGCATAAAGTCTATATAAACATGGGTCGAAAAATGCGTGGCTTCCGAAATACAGGGTGTTTAAATTTACTTTCTAAAATAGTTTTTTTTAAATATTTCGAACAATATTTGATGTATAACAGTGAAAATTGGTATACAAGGGTTTTTTGGTACGACAAAACGAATCATAGTTTTACTGTAGCTGCTAGAGAGCGCTCTCTACTGTACCTGTAGTGTATTAAAATGACCGAAAAATTTTCTTAGTGCAACTTTTTGCTTTTTGAATAAAAAAACTGATTCTGCGCACTTTTCAACATAAAAAAACTCTCTTGTGAAGGTTCGTTATAGTTAGCCGTTTTTGAGATATTTCGATTTTTAAGGTTCGATCCATTTTCAATTATTTATGATAAAATAACGTTAAAAAGTCAGTATCTCGATAATTTTTAGAAGTAGGCTGTGCCTGCAAATATTTTTGAAATTGAAAGCAGAATAAGGTTAAACGTCAATTAGTTGACAGTTAGTTTTGTTGTCTGTTGAAACCTGAAACGTTTTTTGCAATTGTGAATGCACGAAATTTAGTTTCTTTTACCTGTTTTTTTTTGTATGTTTTATAAAAATGCGATACTGTTATCCGAGCTATGGACGAATTTATTTCAATAGATTACTCTAAAACTTTTGATCAATCACAACATATTGGATTTGGTAATGTGGTTGTTCAGTTCAAAATATATTTTCAGCAGCGTGTCTATTCTGACAATCGGTTGTCAGAAGTGAGCATAATACCATCTGGCGTCCCTCAGGGTTTCATACTAGGCCTAGTATTAATTTTGATATACACTTTTGATGTGCACAAACCTGTTGCGAATTCAGATTTGCAAACTTTTGCTGATGACGCTGTTGTTTGCAAGATGCTGCTATTCTCGTATAGCAGAATCTGAGCAAATGAGCAAATATTATCAAGTGTTCACAATCTAACAATTAATCCAGATAAAGCAAGGAGAAGAAATGTGGAAAATTCATTTAAATTGCATATAAATGACTTGCTGCTACAGCTTACAAATTCAGCTAAGATTTTACGGGTTGAGGTAGACAGTAAATTCAGGTTTAGGTACCATGTAAAGTCCCTAACTACAAAAACATATTATATGGTATTCCAGAATGAGAGCATTATATCCCAATCGCTATCATATAAATTATAAATAATGAAGGAAAAATTATGCGAGTCTCATGTTTTGTGGATTTTAAGTTATTGCGATATTCGGTACTATCCATGTAAAGTCCAATTAGCGAAGAAGACATTCAGGTCACCCAATATGCCTACATTTTCGAATTTACTCTAAACTTCAGGCAAAAGAACATCATTATCCTGACACAACGACTATAATTCTTCGAGTCTGTTGTCACAAAATCTTTGTTCCACAAAAAGTAAACCTATTGTAGCGTTTCAATCAAAAGTAAGCAAGAAACGTGATTTCAGGATTTACTTAAAACACATAGCTTTAGTGCCTCATGCCCTTCAATTAATACCGTAAAACCCAACTATAATTACGAATTTCAACTTACTTGACAAGTTGTTCCCACTGGACATTTCCCTCCAGTTCCTTATCATTCTTCTTACACCCAATGCACAACAAACTCAGTGCGATGAAAGCCTCATTTTGCATCACAGCATGGTTGGAACAAATCATGTCCACTATGCATTTCACACACTCTTTCACGTCTAAAACACCTTTAAACGGCTTGAAAGATCTGCAGTTTTTTATCAGCCACGAGATGAGGCGGGGGACTTCGCCTCTTATGCCCAAGTGGTCTGCATTGAAACACCAGAAAACAAGGCGTTGAAGGAAATCGTTGCGTGAGATTAGATCCAGGGCTGCCTCTTCTGCAAATACACGGTGTTACAGAATGTTTTCGAAAAATGTATAGGCAGATTCATGGCATGATACAGCATGGAAAAACTTCATATGAACTCGAATACTTGAAAAAGATGCCAAAACCTATGCTGTATTTAGACGCTCACATAAAATTTCCATTGTCACAGCCATGTTGCCAAGTATAGTTGTCGTCACCATTCTTGGCGGGTCAAAATAAGACTAAGAGTATCCCTTTGTATACCTCCATCTCCCTGATACATACACATGCAACCTACCCCTGTGTGTGAACGTTTGTTCGGTAGGCTCAAAGACGTTTTTTAGTTGTGTGACTCCGTCACCAAAACTTTATGGTTACGTATGAGTGCCCTTCAATCAAATTTGACTTGCAATTCGACTTGTCCTGTTAAGAATCTTCACTATAAAATTCTACAATGTCCGGAAATACGATCAATGGAGAAGGCCGAGAGCTCATGCTAAATTTATTAGAGTATTTCCAGGAAGGAAATGAAAACAGCGGTGCCCTGTTACCCACTTCATGCGTATTGGAGAGAGTAGCAGATGCTCTGAAGATTAGTCTGCGCAGTGTTCCGCCCATGGTATGGAGACTCGGTCTGTTTACTTATTTCATAATGGCGTAACTTCCTTAGAAGTGAAAAAATACTTCATTTTGCCTAAAACTGTTCATTCTTAAACATGACATCAACCATCCAAGGAAAGATCGCCGTTGTACTTCCGTCATAATTATTCCTAAGATTTCATATACTCAGAGTTTCTCATTCTCATTTTTTTCTATTCAAAGTCTAATTTATTACTCTCACACTAATTTATTACAACACTTGCAACAAATTTATTACAAATTTATGACTATGTAGACTGGACTATTGCGTTTCGCGCTGTTGCTGACTCATCGTCGACGAACGTTCGCGACTTGCGTAATACTGGTTGCCCAAGCGCTGATGTGTGAGGGTGTTTTATTGGCATTCAAAGTTCTAGTTACGAGGGCATCACAATATAGTTACGTGCTCAATCTGACCGTAAATTTTTTTTGTCAGTATTCTGTAACGCCCCATAATTGATTAAAAAAAATTGAGATAAAAAAATCTGCTTACCTTGCCCATCAATAACCATCCTGAAAGTACCAAGCAGCTTGAAAATAACCAGATACTGGTTCATCTTTATCATTGGATATATTGCGTCTATAAGGCCTTCCTGCAAAACTTGCGACTTATTTTGTGCAGGGATCACCAAGTTTTTCAAAGTACTCAGCAAAGCATGTTGGATTTTAACATCTTCATCCTTAGTGCTTTGATTATATTTCTTCACTAATTCTAAAAAGATAAAAATTATAATTAGACATAAATTTGTTAATTTTTCTAGCAGACATACCGATTAATTTTTTTGAAATTCCACTTTGCACCATCTGAATACAGTGTAGATCCTTCCGAGCAAAATTACCCAATGCCAAAACAGCTGTGCTCAACAACTTATCATCACTTGTATTCAACCATGATACCATATTTTCATACATTTTTCCTTTTCCATTATCATAAAGGAAATACATGCATTCGTCTAAAAAACATAGTTTTCTATAGGCAATGCTTTTGAAGCTCTGGACCCATAACTTAACAATAAGCTAGAATGAATACTACCTTTTTTGACTAATGAGTTTGCCCAAATAGGTTAAAGGTTCAAGAAACAAGAATACAGGCTAAGATATGTATCTCATACACTATAGAGGATTATGTACCTTCTGTCAAAATAATGACTATAATATCACAAGCACATTGAAAGATTAATTTATGATCCTCATTATCTGTTTCCATCAAATGAATATGGTCATCAACTAACTCATAGATTAGCTCACAAACTCCATTTCTGGCTAGCAATAATTTAATGTCATCTAAAAAATTAAATTTAGTATAAAAAATGATTATATCTGTTGATTAACATATTTTTCCAGAAAATACCCCATCCAAGTGAGCCTCTGCAAAAATATCTTCTCAATCTCCTTTCCTGCTATTGAGAAATTCTGAGAATAGTCTTAGAAATAATTATGAGAGAGATTATCATGTTGAGAATAAACATTTTTTTAAAGGAAAGTGGAACCTGTTTTTATTATTGTGAACGTTCAAATACAGCAGAGAGTTGGGCATATTCTTGGAAAATAAAATAATCAATGTTTACATTCATATACCTTACCTTTTTCTACTTGGTTATGAAAGATTTCCAAACATGGAACCCAAAGTTCCATACATTTTGCTCTTTTGAATACATCAATAATGAGTAGACAAAGGCTTTTCTTGAAAGCCATGTCATGTTCATCAAAATACTCAACAAATATACTCATAGCAGATAGCAGACACATTAGAAGATGTTTATTGTCTTCTATAGATTTAGAATATTTGGTCAGCAACTGTTCTATGATATCAAGAATCTCTTTTTTCAATAAGATTTTTACTAGGCTATCATTTGTGGCCACTATGTTCACTAGTAGCTCTGAAATATGAACACTTCTAGAAATATTCAAGATACAAACATCAAATAGGCTGAAATAAGGCATTCATAACAGTAAGGCCTAGATACCAAAATATAATAAAGGATTCTTGAGGTCAAGGTCATCAACATGTCAGGACAAGATCATATTTTAAGAAATCAATGTCACATTCAAGATACAAGTGTAAAATAGACCAAAGTAGAAAGGCCTAAATAGAAGAGTATCACAAAACTCTCATAGAATTTAAGATATGAAGGTCATGCTCAAGATGCAAACAATATAAAATAGGCTGAAATAAAACTGCTTATAACAGGAACGCCTGTGTAGTGGAGTATTGCAAAGGAATCTCAAGGTCAAGGTTATCTATTTTCAAGGCCAATGCCAGATTTTGAGATATCTAGGCTATAATTAAGGCGAATACAGTCTTCAGTCAAGGTCATAATATTCTTCGATATAGTGTTTTGAATCATCACCATATAGCCAGCAGCCAGGCAGGCACAATGCTAAAAATCAAAATTAAATTTCTCTCTCAAAAAATATCTAGGTGTCTTTCCGGATAGCTGGCTTTGTTAGGAAGTTGAAATTTCTTTTAATACTAAAAAATTAAGATTTCTGTGGTATAAATTTCATTATTTTAGACATTTTCTGACAAAAAAAAACAGTTAATTACACTATATACATAAGTAGAGTGATATCTAACATTATGGTATAATAGCTTGGGGCTCACATATTAAAACAGTTGAAAAAGTACAAAAATATTGAAAATTATTCACAATAAGCCACTGTTATATTCAACCAATATTCTGTACTTCTGTGCAAATTTAAGAAAATGTCAAATCCATACATCAAAAAGAAATTAAAATAATGGTTACACAAAGGACGAAATATTAGTCATACTCAAATAAACAAATACATTTTGGGAAAATCTATTAATGGGATGTTATACATGACTGCATATTTGGTTAAACCACTTCAAAAGAAGAAAATTGATATAACATACTATGGGGTTTTGGTAATTAGCTACTGAGATATAAGGTGTTTTGTCTAGAAAAACCCCCCACTTCGGCAACCCCTTAGTTCGCCATTTTGAACTATTGAGTGCTGAATTTTGTATAAAAAAACTTACACACCTCAGTTTTTATCTTATTTGTGACTTTTTCGAATTTTAATTTTTGCTCATACAGGGTGGTCAAAAACGCAAACTGATTTTCTCAAAAGTTTCAAATGCATCACCCTGTATATTTGTGCAAGTTTGCATTCAATTTTTTATAAGCTTTTTTTATACCAGACACATAAGGGTTTTTACGGCTATTTTTTCGGTTATTAGCAGGTCTTTTATGGAACGGCTTAATTCCCTAAAATATCGCATCATCCTTGGAAACAAATAAATTGTTCATTTGTTACAAACTGTCAAAATTAGCTTTGTGAGCATTATAAGAAAAACGTGTTTGAACATTAATTTTTCTAAAGGCGAAATGATGAATATGGTATTGGTTTTGGGCGAAGCCCAAAGAAATAGTTTCCTAGCATCTCGCATTTATAAGCAACCATACCCTAATATGCGACATCCAAGGCCGGAAACATTTTCCACAATATGAGAACGTTTTTTAAGTGCACGGCAAATTGGAGCAGAAACTGATATATGCAGAACTTCTGTCCAAAGGATTATTCACAAGCATAGGTACCATACATATCACGTATGCTTGCATCAAGGCCTTCGTCCTCAGGATTTCGCAGCTCGAATGGAGTTTAGTAGAATACTGCTAAATAAAGTGAGTGAAAGCACTACTTTCCTGGATAAGGTTCTTTTTAGGGATCATGCAACTTTTAACAGCATAGGTGTTGTCAACAGGCATAACATGCACTATTATGCGACGGAAAACCCTTACTGGGTTGGGCAAATAGATTTCCAAAATAAATGGAGCTTGAATGTTTGGGGATGAGTTATTGGCAGACAAGTTATCAGGCCTTTCTTTTTCGACAACAGATTAACAGGTACAGAATACTTGAATGTTTTGAATCGAGCATTTGCCTTTGCTTTTGGGGGATGTCAACCTGCAAACTCGGATGCATATGTACTTCCAACTTAACGGCGCACCTACGCATTATCATAATCGTGTGCGTAACTATTTGGACACCTGAAGTAACAATCGTTCGATCGGTCGTGATGGGGGGCCTATATCTTGGCCTGCTAGATCACCAGATATAACACTGATGGACTTCTTTCTATGGGGCTATGTTAAGCAAGAGGTTTATAGATATCCACCATCTACCCCGGAATATATGAAGGAAAGGATTAAGGAAGCTTTTTTGAACATAAAGGAACCAAACTGAGGGATGTGCAACAGTCATTTATCCAAAGACTATGGCTGTTCTACTATACATGGTGAAGAATTTTTCGAGTAAGTTTTGTAGATTAGGTCTTGAGTTGTGACAGTTATTTGTTTATGTTGTTGTTATAGTTGTTTTCCTCTATTACGCTTGAAGCTGATTTATACTGTTCTGATTGTTATTAGTTTTTACGTCAAATCTGTACTCTTAGTGGCAATATGGAACTAGCCCACTGTTTATCTTTTGTTTCCATGGATGATGTGATTTTTTTTCCTTAATTTTGGTGAGTTGTTCTGTTAAAAGCTTAACTCAAAATCTAGTGATTTTATCTGAATCTTATACCAAAAAATAGCTTATAAAAAATTGAATCCAAACTTGCACAAATATACAGGGTGATGCATTTGAATTTTTTTAGAAAAAGTACAACTCGTGTTTTTGACCCTGTCAGAGCAAAAATGAAAATTCGAAAAAGTAACAAATAAGATAAAAGCTAAGGTGTGCAAGTTTTTTTTTGAAACATATTTCAGCAGTCTAAATTTCAAGATGGCGGATTGAGGGGTTGGACAAAACACCTTACATCTCAGTAGCTAATTACCAGAACCCCATAGTATGTTATATCAATCTTCTTCTTTTGAATTGGTTTATCCAAATATGCATTAAAGTTGAGGCATTCCATTTGAAAAATCACAACTTTAATATGTGGGCCAAAATTGGGACACCCTGTATAATTGCCAATATTTTAGAAATGTGCCCTCAAATGTCATGTATAACATACCATAAATAGATTTCCCCAAAATGTATTTGTTTATGAGTAATATTCCTTCCACACATGAATGTATACAAGTTACAAACAAAAAAAAAACAAATTAGAAACACTACATAGATTGTACCTTTTACTCTATAAATTATGTCTTTCAATTGAAACTTGAATTGTAAGTATCAATCGTTATGACAAATCCTCAGACAATTATATTGTAATTTTGTGGATGCTAATTTATTCACATTCAATTGTAAAGTTACCTGATTACTCAGTTATTATTCTTATATATATTGGTGTGAGCTATAATTTATTCTGAATTATTAATTTTCTGATCAGCATATGATATTTCTTATTGTTATTTGTTAAAATAATCACCTGGGTTTGGTTTGACCTATTAAAGCTGATAAGTGATTATACTGCAAGATAAGCTTTGATTTTGTTTGGCTTTTAAAATACATAAAGGAAATCAATATCACTTATAGTAAAAATTTGACCTTTGTCAATGCCAACTATGCTACTAGTTGCTGAAATCAACGAGGATTTCCACAGAACACATTTATAAGCATGTAGAATAGATAACATTTGGAACCTGATGAATTTTAAATTGCAAAATAGGTAATGTGATCTAACACAATTATAATCTTATCTCTATCCAAATGAGTCACAATCTATGTACAATATTCCTGGATGTGTTATCATTTTCAATTGATTGCCTATGTTATATTTTAAGAGGTATGAAAGTATGATTATAGATTAGTTGTGGGCCTATGAGTTTATTTTTTACCTAAAATGTTTGTGGTTAGGGCATTGTCATCACGAGTAGTATCCCCCCCAAGCAGCTTCAAAATAAGCTGAACACCCTTTTTCTCTACAATATTCGAAGCATCCCCATTCTCAGCACAAATGTGAGACAGCGCTTTAGTAGCCTTCAATTGCAGGTCAGAATCAGTACTTTCCATCAGACTTAACAGAGACTCCACAATCTGCTCGTCCGTTAGGACTTCTCTGTTTTTCTTAATATGCCTTGTACATCCTGCAATCACCTGCAGGGTCATCCTGACCACATCAGTATCAGATACTTTGAGCAAGTCTCTTACTAAGGTGGCATCTGGAAGGTTAATTTCGCTATCCTCTTTTAAAATCATGTCTAACTTGCCCACTATCACGCTCTTTCTGTTTCCTTTTACTGCAATGGATAATTCGTGGAAAATATCTTCCATTTTTTTAATTTTCTATGTTTACAACACAAATAACATAACCCATAAATGTTACAAATGGCCTTGACAATGACAATGACAGACAACACGGAACCATTAAGCGCAGGCCGGTTAATCACGTATCACGTCGATCTCTTTTTATGGTGGCTGTGGGTGCGATTCTGTAGGTACAAATTTATTCCGTAGTAGTGATATTTTGAGATATCCTCTCAATCTTCTAAATATCAAACACATTTGCTATTTCTGAAAAATACAGTGGCTATAGCCTTTTTCATGAGTACCCATTACGGTAGAGTGACAGCTGATTATCTGGTAATATAAAAAATTCCCCACATCATTTTGACGGATCCGTCAATACTCAAATCCAAGCGAATAACCAAAATGTCTGTGTTATGAATCAAATCCAAGCGAATAACCAAAATTTCTGTGTTATGTGCCGCGGTTATAATATGGTTCAAGATGACACACGGGTTGATGACGTCAGTTACACGAATCGCTTGAACGCGTTGGTTTTAACCGCGGTTTTGTTGCAAGTTGTTTATTTTAGAAAAGCGCGTATATAATCTCTGATTATTTTTATTATCACTTAATAATCGGTGCTTTTTCGTCTACAACTGTATATGGAAAGTTTAAATAAGAAACCTTTCATAATATTCATGGGAGAAATGTTTTTTTCAGATTTTTTTTTTAATGATGGAACCATGGCTTTGTAGCTATGATAACTTTCAATTCTCTAAATTTTTCCGCATGTCAAAGAAAACATTTATTGATTCAGCAGAAATAATGAAAAAAGAAATTAGCAAAACCGTATACAGGTGGATATCATCTAGTGAGTTTATATGGCCATATTTTAATATTCTTGTGGTATATGGCTACACAGGATACTTTGTTAAGCATAGGAACTACATTTAAAGTGACCCCAACAACCGTAATGAGTATAACTAATAAGGTGCTCCAGAAATATAAAACTACTCTTGAGTTGGGTAAATACCACAATTTTGCGGTGATAACTATGACATCTAACAGCTGATTCGTGACGTCACGGATCTTATAACCAAACTGATAACTACACTCGCTTGAACGGATTGGTAAATACCAACCCAAAATGGTAAATACCATTTCCATTTGGTTATCCGCTTGAATTTGATTATGTACCGCGGTTATAATATGCTTCAAGATGACACACGGGTTGATGACGTCAGTTACTCGAATCGCTTTAACGCGTTGGTTTTAACCGCGGTTTTGTTGCAAGTTGATTATTATAGAAAAGCGCGTATATAATTTCTGATTCTTTTTATTATCACTTAATAATCGGTACTTTTTGTCTACAACGGTGTATGGAAAGTTTAAAAAATAAAACTTTAACATTTTTAATGATGGAACCATATATGGCTTTATAAGCTATGATAACTTTCAATTCTCTAAACTTTTTCGCATATGAAACAAAACATTTATTGATTTAGCAGTAATGATAGGAAAAAGCGATTAAAAAAGATATTAGCAAAACCGTATACAGGAGGACAGTCCGAATTAGTTGGGTGAGACTACTAATAGTCATATATCAACAAATAAGAAATTCAAGACAGCTAAAGTCAGGTAATGCTTTTTTATGTAGTCCAGCACTCTTCATTCATTGAATTTTCTATTTACTTTCAGTAACCAAATACAACTGTGATATTATACCTAAACAATATATTTTTTGTTTTATAGTTGCAGCATCCTTGGGAGGGAGCAGTTGGACGAAGAATAATTATTTATTTTGTTACCTCCTATAATGTTAAAGCCATCAGGAGCTTTTGGTTTTAAGTATGAGGAATGTCTTGTTTATTTTTAACTTTGATTTCTTCTTTGACGAAAATTTTCATCATTTTTACACTATAAAAAATAATGTTTTCTCAGATTATATTTTTATTTCAGTTATTTATTTAGCTACAGAGATTTATTTTTTGTTGTTTTAATATGAATGTTTACGTTTCAGTGATAAATATATTTCATGATGGATTAACAATAGGTAGTGCTTGCAAAACACTTCATTTGATTACTGAGGGTCCCCTTATCATTTTTCATGCTACTAATGTATGATTTGTATTTTTTTTGAAACGTCACTTATTCACTTAATAATATAGCGAAAGCTCCGGATGTCTGAAAATACCTTTATATATTGCCAATGTACTGTGATGATAAATTATTACTTATAATTATTCATATGTTTAACTGTTTAATAAATATTTTATTAATTACGCATTTATTTTTTAGTATGAAAAAATTGGTTATCAGCAAAACTGCTGAATCAGGTATTTCCTTTATTGAGGATATTTTATGTTTCTATGCTCATAAAATATTTCTTCAATATGGGAAATATCGCTTTCAGCAGATTTTAAATTGTAAACAAACTAAATCCTCGGCACATTCCTAGCATCCCGGCGCATTCTTTGAATTCTTTCGATAGTTCCTCCAGATCTCCAGGCAAGTAGGCGGCGCAACCATCTGACAAAACGTCAACGGTGTTGCCGTTGTTTAACGTGCAGCTCCCACTTCTTCAGTCTTATGTGTTTTGTGTCTGGCTCTGAGTTGTGTATTTGTGATGGGTTTGTGGTGTTCTGTGCAATGAACTGTCACACTGTCAGTGTTGACAGTTCATTGGTTCTGTGTCTGTGGTAGCATTTTTGTGTACTTGATTTTTGCATTTCGGCTGTGATTTTCGATGTTTTTCCAAATTTTTGGTAGTCCCAACATCAAAAAAATCATTTAAAGCATAAGGCAAGTCGACATGCAGAGATATATGTGACTTGTGCCGAAAACCGTCCACAAATGAGCTCCAGAAAATCTTCCCAGAGTAGCTGTCGAACAATTATAGGTTATCCGAATGTAAATATTTATGTATGAAGTAATTATGAGTGAACCTAAACAACAAGGAATTAATTAGACAGGGCTAGTATCCCTAGGTTTCATTTATAATTATAGGTAGAGAATTACCTAATTATAGTATCCTGAAAAAATGGCAGATACGATGATACCGGTCCTAAATGATATCCTGAAAGTAGAAGGCATAGAAGAAACTTTCAGCTGTTTTTTAGTTCACAGACCAAATGTAGAAGCTGAAAAAATAGCAGCGTGGCAGCAGGAGTTGAATAACACTTTCAGGTTTGTCAATAAAACAGAATTATTGCAGTTTAGTTAAAGAATAACCCAAGATTCTGTTACTGGGGCTCTACAGAACACTATTCATTAGTATGGCTTTGAAATAAGATGTTTCAGTTTTTTGTTAATTTAATTGGATGATAACTAAAATTGTAAACGGACATCTATATCTTTTAATTAATTCTATTAGGAAAAATACAAGTGCTGAGCAGTTGGACTTGATGATACGTTATTACCTGGGCATCATATCAAAATGCAGTCGCAACCAAATACAGTTACTGATTCAAATGTTGGAGTCTGCAGCCAAAAGTGGTGCTTTACCAGCTAGAAGAGTATGTGAGTTGACCATCACTAGTGAAATTCTTCAACATTCTAATGGAAACTTCTGGATTGAATGCTTCAAGTTGATTAAGAAGATTATTGACCTTGTTGAGTACAAAGGAGTTAGAGAAATTATGAAGGTAATAATATCATTGTGCAGATATTTGTAATGAAAATCATTGATGGAGCATGCTAGGGGAGTACAGATTTCACTCATTTTCAAGCAGATTGTGCCTAATTTTCAATGGTTACTTAAGTTTCATCATAAGTTCAAAATAAAGTGTGATATCTTGTACTGCTTAGACAATTTATACAGATTGTAAATCTGTTTAAAAATTTTTTAGCAGAGCATTGAAATCCCAAATACCATATATTCACCCATATAAATACAGTACAGTATTTTTACATAGTGCCATTCAAGAAGTTCCTCCTTCCACATTGATTGGACAAGTCAAGCTGCAAGCTAAAATTCTGTAATTTGGCATATATATATACAGATTCCGATGGTTAGGTCCTCCACTCAATGGCTTTTTAGAGTTGATAGGTCCTCCATTGCACTAGGTCCTCCATATATGGAGGACCTATCGCAAATTCCACCAGTCGGCCTGAGAGGCTCCCCTCTGTCACCCGGCAAAATTCCAGAGGGATGACCCAGATCGTGTTTTTTGCTAAATTTGGGTATTGTAGTTCCGGGCTTTGCCGCGTCGATTTGGTGGACTCACAGTCCGCGGGTATTCAGTCCGCATATTTTCAATCAAGTCTACAGTGGAAAGGTCATGTGCTGGGTATTCAGTATCTGGATCATCGCTTTTAGGTCCTCCTTAATATTGGCATTACTGTATTAGGCATTTATTAGAATTGTTTTGCAAGAGGATTCGCTTTTCAGCTTCTGCTACGGCCCAGTTTACCGTCAAGTATTACACACTAGCGGCCGTGAGCGGGAGTGCCGTAATGCAGCGATGATATTTGTTCGAATAAAATGCTCAAATCCAATATTCTATGGAATAAAATGAAAGATGATCTTTTTGTTTTGCGATTTAAGACAGATGATGCCTTTACTTACCGCGCCTATTGAGAGGAATTATTGTAATCATAAAAAAATCTGCTTCAGGTTGCTGTTATGCCATGCACAAAGAGCCTTGACTATTCTCGGAAATCAGTGGAGTAACAGCAGAGTGGTCAACAAACGAAGAAAAAATGGTCAAACCTCGTTTCCGGATGTTTCAGACATTTCTCCAAGAAAATTTTAGGGCTGTGAATTTTGGTGGCGGGGGTTACGGGCGGCGGAGCTAGTATTAAACAACGACAAAACTAAAAATCGTTAAAACTATTTCTGAATATTTTAGAGCTCCCTAATCGTTTTTCAAATAATTTTTGGGGGCAGGGGGGCTGAGGGAATGGGGTGAATCTCGATTTGGCTAGGTGTTAGTTATTATCAATAAACCTTCAGATCGACTTCCTGAACATTAAATACCCCGCTTCAGAGATAGTTCTTCTCGGTGATTTCAATGCCCATAATGAGCTTTGGTTGGGCTCAAACAAGACCGATGCAGCAGGTCGTGCAGTCGAAGCGTTCGCTCTTACTCAAGGGCGGACCCAGCTAGTGACAAGCCCTACTTTTTTCCCCCGCGTCTCGTCACACGCCAGTAGCCTGCTGGATCTCTTTTTCACCACGCATCCTGTCCCTTACAGCACTGCTGTCCTGTCTCCCCTGGGTAACTCAGACCACGGTGGTAATGGATGTTAGGTTTCGGTCACAACTTGCTGTGGCAGCAGAAACTCGTACAGGCCGAAAAACTTGGCATTACGGACATGCCGACTGGGAGGGGCTCAGAGACTTCTTCTCTAACTTTCCTTGGAGAGATGTCTGTTTCACTAACGCGGATGCATCGGCTGTCTGTTCTTCGATAACAGAAATTATACACGTCGGAATGGAGGAATACATCTCCCCCTCAGTGAAAGTGCCTAAACCAGGGTCGTACGGCACAAATCGTGTGACACTGCTCGCCAGCAGATCAAGGCACACAGAAACTTCTTACAAAACCCCACTGTAAAAAACAGACAATGCGACGTCGAATCCAGAAACAAATGTAACGAAGCGGTTCGCAATGTCAAAAACCAGCACGATATAAAAGTTAGGCACAGGGTAATGTCGCAGCGCAATGGTAGTCGGTCTGTCTGGACGCTGGCCAAGCAGATTGAAAATAACTTCTCACACAGTAGCCTTCCACCACTTACGTGTCAGGATGGAACTATTGTATTTGACTCTGGAAACTGGAAATTTGCTCATGTCCAACAAATCCCAAAAAAAGGATTTAAGACCGACCCTTACAACTACAGGCCTATAGCTCTGCTTTCTGTTATAAATAAGGTGATGGAGAGGTGCATAAATCGCGAGCTTCTGCACTACCTCGAACGTCACAGCTTGATTAGCGACAGGCAGTATGGTTTCCGGCACCAACGATCCACAGGGGACCTCCTAGCTTACGTCACGCAATTGTGGAGTAAACTCATCCAGTCTTATGGTGAGGCTCGTGTCGTTGCTCTTGACATCACGAAAGCGTTCGATCAGCTGTGGCACGCTGCCCTCTTAAGCAAACTTCCATCCTATGGCCTCCCAGAAAAGCTTTGCAGATGGGTGGCTGACTATATCTCTGGCCGCAAGATATCCGTCGTAATTGACGGATTCTCCTCTTCAGCTTCGCTGATGACAGCACTCTACATGCAGGAATTCAGAGTGACAAGCCGATCTCTGCCACTGAGCTGGAAAAAAGAAGACTAGCGAGGACTCCCTCTCTGACAACAGAGCTGGAGGCTATCACTGCTTGGGGACGCAACAATCTTGTACAGTGCTTCCAAAACACAGTACTGTAGTGTGGCGAACTAAAAAGCGTCCTAGCGGTCATCCGGTTTCAATGGACGGCCGAGTTCTGCCAAAGAGCCATCCATTTCGGCTGGTCGGAGCCCAGATTCACCGAGGACCTGATCTGGCACAAACACGTCTCGTCAATAGCTGTAGCTGCTGGAAAAAAGCTAGGCTATTTGTTTAGTGCTGAGAAGTACTTTTCTCCGCACGATCTTCCCATTCTATACAAGGCCCAGATTAAGCCTAGCCTCGAGTATTGCTTACACGTTTGGGGTGCTGCCGCCCCGACTACATTTTCCATGCTCGATGCTGTCCAGAGGAGGGCGGTCCGACTGATCGATGACTCTTCTCTAACAGACAGTCTCGGGACTCTTTCGCACCGGCGGGCCATCGGCGATCTAGCTCTTTTCTACCGCTATACCAACGGGCTTTGCTCCGCAGAGCTCTCTTCCATGATGCCACCACGCGATGTGCCTGAAAGACAGACCCGCCCGACTTTGGCGTCCCATCCTAACCGTGTCGAACTTCGTACATCCAAAATTGGCCGATACGACCGGTCCTTTTTCCCGAGGGTGTCGAGATTGTGGAACAATCTACAAGAGGGAGCTTTTCGCAGTTCTACTAATCTTAGGTAGTTCAAAAATAGTATTTTCAAAATTTCTTTGGGATCATCATGGCAGCCGCGGTGTTCCGGCATTTAAATAACGTCACGTGATGGCAAGCGAGGAGGGAAGTAATTCGATTATTTTCGGAGACTCAATGCTGCGAACCGGAGGGTAGCGGAGTATTTCAATTGCAAATATTCCAAGCTTGAAAGTACGTTTTTAAGGCTTCATATCTATATCACAAAAAGCCATGTTTTTCAATTCCGTCGGTTTGTCTGTTGGCGATTTTATTAGCGCATAATCCCAGTAGCATCTGCGCCGATTTCAATAGAAGTTGGAGTGATGAGATGTAAACATGTGATAAGGAAATTATGGATTCTTTTTTATGTTTGTTGGTGGTATCCGATCATGTTCAGTTTTTCTTTATGGTGGGTTCGAAAATTTTGAAACTCAAAAACGTTGTTTTTTGGCTTTTGCTTTTTAGAAGGTATCCTTGATGCTCGATGTTCCGATAAGTTCAGGGCATAGTCAAAGCATTTTTTGCATGAGTTACAAATTTACGAAACAAGATGGGCATCCTTCTTTCGCATGCTAGTGATGTTTTGTATAGTCTAAATCGAGTAATTAGTGTACTTAATGTTGCTGAATGGAGATCTTTGGAAGGTAATAGGATAATACAAGCCCGAGTTAGGAGACTTCAATTGTATTATCTTAAGAGAAATAACTGAAACTTGGCACCACTGCACGGAGGACTTATCCACTGGTGTTTAGTTAATTTGAGTATTTTGGAGGAAATAATGCCGCTTTGTTATCTGGAGGGTATTCCGGTAGAGGACACATCATACGGATTTTGGAAGGGAGACCTATATAGCGGACTGTGTGGAAATCCGAAATGTTAATGTACAGTTTTTTTAACTGATCTTGGATCAATGTGTCTTGGTGTCGGATATTCACGAATTAAATTTGATATATATTCAGTATTTCTGGTAGGTGTCTTATTGCTGGTTTATGAAATATATATATATAATCAAAACACAACTTTTATAACTCGCACCTCAGCAACTGTTACAGCTGGGGTACTGAATTGTCTCGCTAGAAAAATTTCATGGCTGGGGCATATCAGAAAAAGCTTGTGAAAACAGGAATAAAAAGATGTGAAAATATACAGGGTGTTCTTTTTGAAAATTTTGAGAAATCATTGTGACTTCTTGACCACCCTCTGTAAACTATAAAAAAAACTGAAAAAAACGTAAATGACAGGAACAGAATATGGGATTATAAAATTTTTCTGACGAAAATTTCAGTACAACAGCTATAAGTAACAGTTGTGGAGGTGCCACTTGTCAAGGTTGAGCTTTTTCAATAGACTGTCCAGTAAGTAGAAGCCTATAGAATGTTAAACCGATCACTGCTAATCGGTTATTTATCAATTATCGTTTCTTTTTGAAAAACGATGGATATAAAAAGAAAAAACGATAAATATCGATATTCGATAAAAAAATCATGTGAGTACCGAACGATGCAATACACCCGCCGCCGCACTCTCAGTCTTTCCGCTGTCTTTTATTCATTGCAATGTGCGTGCAACGACACTCGCCACAGTAGTCGATCTCTGGTTCATTAGAGTATGCAGTATGAATAAGAAACTATTAAATCTTATCAAAATTAACTGTATGGCAAAAAAAGTTGTCGTTCTACCTACCTACACGGAAGTAACATTATAGATTATTTTTCATGTAAAACTAATAGAGGAAGGAGTATTACAGTGTTTGGTTTGTTTATTCTACCTGCATACCTGTAACGGAGTTATGAACCCAGGGATTTCTGTCCCATTGACCAATAGTGCCCAGTGAGATTTGAATACATAATAGTAGATAATTCCAAGATGGTGACTGGGTTAGAACTAACATAGCAATATGTCGGTATATTTTAGGGATGCTGTGAAAAAGCAAAGAGCCTTCCATGGCGTCTCAATTCTGGTCTACAACCCCAAACTCAAGCACTTCTAGACTTGGCAGCAAAGATCATGGACAGAGACGCCTGTCTATTACCAGGCTACCTCCTGGTCAATGAACTTCAGAAGGCATATCCTGATTGCCCTCATTGGAGATTGTCCGATCTCTTCTCAGACTATGTGGACAGCTTCAGAGCATGTGCTCAGATGGTGTCTATTATTGGTCAGAATGAGATGCGGCCTGTTGTTGAACACAGTGGATGCCCAGAACATCCGGTCAATCCATGGAAGCTGGACCCGCAGACGTTACGATTCAGTTTGAAAGGTAATCTACCATAAATGTGGGCGAGTCTCTAAGCTTACTACTTCAGCTATTCTATTCAACAACCCATATATTCCTCAATACTGTATGCCTCCAAGTCTATCAAGAACTCATTCATTCGTGATACATTTAATCGTGTAACCCATTTTATCGTAAAGTTTAATTCCCATGTAGCAGGGGCTCTTCTCATACAAGGTTAATCTGTGTTTAGGGAAAGAGATGTTATTTGTTAGAGTATTATAACTATGACTAGTGGTTTCAAAAAAATCAGTTTTATTATTAAACACAAGTAACATAATTTCATAGATGTATACATACATTGTTAATATTTTATTTGATTTGAAGACACTTCGATAGGACTGCAAGGAGGACATGTTATATATAATTCTTAAAATGTGCTTCTGAAAATTTCTTGAGCTAATTTCACCACTTCATACATAGTCGCTAAATATACTCCAAGTTATCCATTTCGAAGGAATTCAGTCGCTAAATACAGTGCACATTCACAATTTTTGATTCATAAAGTCAGTAAATTGTGCAAATTTACCATTTCAAACCTATTTCCAAGATATCGTCGACGTTCTCTATTTAGAAGAAATGCAGATGCCAGATACTGGGCACATTCACTATTTCTGGTAAGCGCAGTCGCTAAATATATTGCACGCACACAATTTCTGATAGATACAGTCGTTAAGTATAATGTATGTTCACCAACAGTTATGGTCGCTAAATATCGTGCAGGCTTTCGATTTTTAAGAAATGTAATGTGCAACATTGATAATTCATGATAAATACTCTCGCTGATTACAGCAATACAGTCGCTAAATACATTGCACATACACAATTTCTGAAACATGCAAACACTGAAGTTCGTGCATTCGCACCATTCCCATCAATTGCAGTCACTAAATATCGTAAGCATTCACGATTTCTAAGAATGTAGTCGCCAGATACTGGTGCACATCCATAATCTCTTATATTTTCGCTGAAGACTTGCCAAAGTGGGCTGAAAAACATCTACCTGGTAAATGATATTTGTACTTATCTGTGTTCCAAATTTTCAGGCATTTTACCGTACGAACCAGAACATCTGGAAAAACAAACCGGTCTCCTACGATACGTTCTGGAACAACCATATAGTCGCGATATGGTATGCGGCATGTTGGGTCTCAACAAACAACACAAGCAGCATTGCCAAGCTATAGAGGAGCAGCTTGTGGAATTGGTAATATTGGCGCTGGAGAGGACTGAAGCTGAAGGAGATGACCAGGTTACGCAGGACCTGTGGTTGCATCTATCCTCACAGTTGATCTATTTTGTACTTTTCCAGTTTGCAAGTTTTCCCAGGTGAGCGTCTACTTATATGAGTTGAACATGACTTTTCGAATGCTTTGCATGTGAGATATAGAGTTAAACTACTTTACACATTATACTAAGTGACATAATAAAATGCAACACCCTGAATTATTTATTGAATTTTGATAAAAACTTTTAAACATATTTGCTTTTAAAGAAGTATACGCTGATAAAATGTTGAAGCTATTCCGAGCAGTACTTTTTTGTAAAGGCCTTTTTTGTCATATCAGGATCCGAACAATATGAACATGTTTACTTAATATTCAGTGACTTTTCTGTGTTGAGATGTTGTCGAGCGTGGTTCCAAGAAGACCGAAATCGACTAGTTGGAGGTACAGGACGTCAAAGACATACTACAGGGGCAGTTAGTTGCGAACCAGTTGTTTGATACTGTCGGAAGGGCAATAACAATGAGGACAGTTTATCGCCGAATAAGGTCTTTTGGACTGTTTTCATACCGTCCCCATCTTGTACTACCTCTGACCTCACAGCATCGTCGGCAACGATTGGTATGGAGTAGGGAGAGACTTGAATGGAATATGGAATAGAACTCAGTTGTGTTCAGCGATGAGTCCAGATTCTGTTTGGGCACACATGGTGGCCGTGCGAGAGTAAGAAGACGACGTGGTGAAAGGCGGAACGTCCGATATTCCATCGCACTGTGTATTTTATGGTATGGGGTGCCATTCTTTATGGCAGCAGTTCACGATTAGTGTTCATTCGAGGTTTACAACCACATCTGCTTCCCTTTTGGAAACATTGCAAGATACACTTTTTCAGCACGACCTCATGTCACCCGTGTTAGTTTAGACTTTTTAAAAGCGTCCGGAGTCAATCTGCTTCAGTAGCCTCTTCGATCTCCAGACCTTTCCCCTATCGAACATTTATGGGACATGATGGGAAGAAGGTGGCAAAATTCACCGCACCCTCCACAAACATTGGATTCTCTACGAAACCAAATTCAGATGACCTGGGATACAATACACTAAGAAGACATCATCATCTTATCCAATCAATGCCGCGACGACTTAACGAATGTATAGCGAACACAGGAGCTTCAACACATTATTAACATTAAAGTGGGAGCTATTTTGCGAAATTTCTAGTTAAAATTTTAAACACTTTCTATCAATCAGTAGACCTTAAACTTGTAAAAGTAGTATTTAGTATATTTTTATAGGCTGAATAAAATTTCCATGATTTTTTATTTTTGTCAAGAAACTTTAAGATACACATTCAACACAATTTTGTCTCAACTGCCGTCGCCATTTCTTTGCCAAATACAAGGTTTTTAAGAGGAACATCCACCATAATTTTAAATAAAAGATTTCATGTCTGCCCTATCATCGAAGTCTCTAAGATGATTAAATGTAAAGTAGCAATCCGAAGAAAGGTTCAACGAAAAATGAGGTTTGTCCTATATTTCTCACTTCACCTTTCATGTTTTTTTGGAGATGCAATACAATTTTTTCATTTACAGCTTAGTAATGTCTTTGCACGCCAGGCTTCAGGGAAAGGATTTGCGAAGGGGTAGAGATCAACTTATGTGGGTGCTCCTTCAGTTTATATCAGGTATGTTCATTGGTTTGTACATAGTCATATTCATAATTTTTTTTTAAAATGAAAACATGTCTTGTATGAACTGGAGTACTTTAGAATATTATTGTAAAAAAACTTTTCTCAGGTTCTATACAGCGAAATCCATTATCAAATTTCCTGCCTGTATTGAAACTGTATGAGCTTCTATATCCAGAGGATGATCAACCATTACCTGTACCAGACTATAATCAACCTCAATGTACCAGACAAATGGCCATGACGTGTATTTGGATACACCTGATCAAAAAGGTTGGTTTTTGTCGAAATATGATCCTTTAATGGCCCAGTAAATTAAAGAAAAAAACATTTACCTACGATCGAGCGGAAAACTGTACTTTATGAATAGGTTTTCCGGCATCATGTGATACTTTTCACTTCACGGACGCCAGCTGTACGGCGATGAAGTAACGTTACCACCCGCTATAAATTAACCTATGGAGAACTACCCTTTAAAAAATTGTTGCTATACCCCATTCATAGTCCATTTACGCCCAGTCAAAACACAACAGGCCCAAAAGCGGGAATGTACAGGTTCGTATTTGCCTCAATGGTCTTGGAATAATCTAACAAAATAAATGGTTATTTTTATAGAAAGAAGTGCACATACTTTTCACAATGCTTTATTCACTGGAAGTACTTAAATCATCGTCCGAATGGTTAATATTAATTATTACACGTTCAATTTGAATATCGATCATATTGTCCAGATCCCACATCTTTGTTTCGATTGTTCTTGAACTCTGTTGACAGCTTCATAAAACAAAATTTTCACATGATCAAATTTGAATATTCTATTGTTTGAAGCCCCATAGTTTTTTATATTCACCCAAATCATTTCAATGTAATTTAATTCGTAGTGATAAAGGGGTAGCCTTAAAACGGTCGCAATGGTTTTTAGCCATTTTATCAATAACATTGAGCTTATATTTATATTCGTGCTGCCTGACTAGTTGGATAAGTTCTGCTTTAACCATATTTTCATTGAAACTAATCTGTTTTGATATATTTTTTTTTATATCGAAACAGCCGCGCAGGCAGAAGCCTAAATGCCGGAACACCGCGGCTGCTATGATGATCCCAAAGAAATTTTGTTGATACGATTTTTGAACTGCCTAGGGTTAGTAGAACTGGGAAAAGCTTCCTCCCGTAGATTGTTCCACAATCTAGACACCCTCGGGACAAAGGAGCGGTCGTATCGGCCAGTTCTGGATGTACGAAGTTTGACACGGTTACGATGGGACGCCGAAGTCAGGCGGGTCTGTCTGGCAGGCACATCGCGCGGCGGCATCATGGAAGAGAGCTCTGAGGAGCAAAGCCCGTTGATGTAGCGATAGAAAAGAGCTAGATCGCTGACGACCCGCCGGTGCGAAAGAGTCCCGAGACTGTCTGTTAGAGAAGAGTCATCGATCAGTCGGACCGCCCTCCTCTGGACAGCATCGAGCATGGACAATGTAGTCGGTGCGGCAGCACCCCAAATGTGTGAGCAATACTCGAGGCTAGGCCTTATCTGGGCCTTGTAGGTATAGAGTGAGAAGGTCATGCGGAGAAAAGTACTTCTTAGCCCTAAACAAATAGCCTAGCTTTTTCCCAGCAGCTGCAGCTATTGAAGAGATGTGTTCGTGCCAGATCAGGTCCTCGGTGATCTGGACTCCGACCAGCCGAAATGAATGGCTCTTTGGTAGAACTCGACCGTTCATCGAAACTGTATGAGCGCTAGGACGCTTTTTGTTCGTCAAAGTACAGTACTGTGATTTGGAAGCATTGAACTGTACAAGATTGTTGCGTCCCCAAGCAGTGATAGCCTCCAGGTCTCTTGTCAGAGAAGAAGTCGTCGCTAGTCTTCTTTTTTCCAGCTCAGCGGCAGAGATCGGCTTGTCACTCTGAATTCCTGCATGTAGAGTGCTGTCATCGGCGAAGCTGTGGATTGGGTTGATCGTGCAGGAAAGGAGGTCGTTGATATGTAAGAGAAACAGTGTTGGAGCCAAGACCGATCCCTGGGGAACACCCGCGTTGACGTTGTGGGATGAAGAGGAGAATCCGTCAATTACGACGGATATCTTGCGGCCAGAGATAAAGTCAGCCACCCATCTGCAAAGCTTTTCTGGGAGGCCATAGGATGGAAGTTTGCTTAAGAGGGCAGCGTGCCACAGCTGATCGAACGCTTTCGTGATGTCAAGAGCAACGACATGAGCCTCACCATGAGACTGGATGAGTTTACTCCACAGTTGCGTGACGTAAGCTAGGAGGTCCCCTGTGGATCGTTGGTGCCGGAAACCGTACTGCCTGTCGCTAATCAAGCTGTGACGTTCGATGTAGTCCAGAAGCTCGCGATTTATGCACCCCTCCATCACTTTACTTATGACAGAAAGCAGAGCTATAGGCCTGTAGTTGTAAGGGTCGGTTTTGGATCCTTTTTTTGGGATGGGCTGTACATGAGCAAATTTCCAGTTTTCTGGGAAGGTGCCGGATTCATAAGATATCTGGAAGAGACGCGATAGAGCTGGAGCAAGCTCCGCTGCACATCTCTTCAGTACAATGGCAGGAATCAAGTCCGGACCAGAAGCTTTGTTGATGTTGAGCGACAAGAGCACTCGTCTTACGGTCTTATGCCTGAATGTTACCTCCCGCATAGTGTGGGGAACCCTTTGAATTGACGGCACTTGGGCGTTGGTGGGGACGTCCATGGTGGAGTTGGCAGCAAAGATCTTGGCTAGCACTTCCGCCTTGGCCTTTGAGTCGAATACAATAGTTCCATCCTGACACGTAAGTGGTGGAAGGCTACTGTGTGAGAAGTTCCTTTCAATCTGCTTGGCCAGCGTCCAGAAAGACCGACTGCCATTGCGCTGCGACATTACCCTGTGCCTAACTTTTATATCATGCTGGTTTTTGGCATTGCGAACCGCTTCGTTATATTTGTTTCTGGACTCGACGTCGGCTTGTCTGTTCTCTACAGTGGGGTTTTGTAAGTAGGTTCTGTGGGCCTTGATCTTTTGCTGGCGAGCAGTGTCACACGATTTGTTGAACCAGCCGTTGGACCCTGGTTTAGGAACTTTCACTGTGTGAGGGATGTATTCCTCCATTCCGACGTGGATAATTTCGGTTATTGAAGAACAGACAGTCGACGCATCCGCGTCAGTGAAACAGACATATCTCCAAGGAAAGCTAGAGAAGAAGTCTCTGAGCCCCTCCCAGTCGGCATGTCCGTAATGCCAAGTTTTGCGGCCTGTGCGAGTTTCTGCTGCCACAGCGGCTTCTGACCGAAACCTAACCTCCACAACACCGTGATCTGAGTTACCCAGGGGGGACAGGACAGCAGTGCTGTAAGGGGCAGGATGCGTGGTCAGAAAGAGATCCAGCAGGCTACTGGCGTGTGACGAGACGCGGGGGAAAAAAGTAGGGCTCGTGACCAGCCGGGTCAGCCCTTGAGTAAGAGCGAACGCTTCGACTGCACGACCTGCTGCATCGGTCTTATTTGAGCCCAACCAAAGCTCATTATGGGCATTGAAATCACCGAGAAGAACTACCTCTGAAGCGGGGTGATTGATGTTCAGGAAGTCGATCTGGACGGCGAGGTATTCGAGTAGGTCATCCCAGTTATGGTTCGAGGGAGAGCGATAAAGGCAGCAAATAAATTTGGGTGATGTTTTGGAGCTGAGGCGAAGCCACAGAATGTCCTTCCGGTCTGATTCCAAAGAAAGATCCCTGGAGCAGGAAAGACTGCTGCGGACAAAAGCCACAACTCCCCCGTTCTTTCTCAGATTGGAGTGCACCTCGTAGTTTGGGAAGTTGAGATGGTTAATCGGTGCAGTCTCTGAGATTTTTGTCTCCGCCAAGAAAAGCACGGCGGGACGATTGGATTGCAGGTAGTGATGAACAGCATCAATGTTGCTGTTGATCCCGCAGATGTTCGAAAAACAAATTTTATCTTCGATGTTGTTCCCTCGAGCCCACCCTCCACCCGGACATTCCGAGAGTGGACTGAGTATGAGAGATATGAGCCATTGTTGAATTTCTGCATTTCTTGTGGACATTGTTGGAATGTTTTCCAGTGTGGTATGCAGCATTACCAAGTACAATGACGGCATTGTCGTCAAGCTTTGGAAGCGGTTCTTCAAACCATCGTTTAAGTGAACTCCCGTCCATTTCCTCTTTGACTCAAATGCCCATAGGGCAGTGGGCCCAAAGCCATCTTCACTGCCAAGAAAACTAATAATAATACAAGCAGAGTATCTAACAGTAGTTGGTTCCAAATCTACCAGCTAAGTTTAGTGTAGCTAAGTTTTCAGCGTAGGCTCATAGATTCAGTCTACTTGACACCATCATTACAACACAAATGACGAATTGGTTAGATACATGTAACTGACGAATTCTTTAGGCCAGTGGTTAGTCCATCTAAGAAGGCTTGTCTTGCTGATTTAATTATAGAATGCATTTATCCAGGTTTCATCCAAGTATGTAATAAATTTTCCTGCCCTGGTCGCGGTTTTTCTTTATTGATTTTAAATAATTTCTTCTCCATAAAATAATCTCTTGGCTGTCCATCAAAATACTATTTCTGTCCCGTTTTCTATACCTACTCAAAATGAATTTCTTTGAATAAACTATATGGTTCTTTTGAAAGTAGGTAAGTCTTCATCACTATTAACCTCCTGTAATACTTTGTCTATGGTGGGAAGTTCCTGCCTTTCAAAAAATTGATGGACTTTGCGTCTGATGGCATTCGGAGCAAAGTTATCAACTGTATCCAACAGCTTCGTGTAATGCAACCTCTTGTGTGGTGGAGACATTTTTTTTTCTTTATATATTCTTTAACAATGCTGAAAATTGTCTTAGGACATAAGCCTGTTTTGTTCGCTACACGTCTTTCAGTATCCTGAATTTTCATTTCAGGATGCTCTAAAATGTCAATCTTATGAAAGTTAAGGACAATTTATTTTGCCTGAATATTCAAATGTCCCTTCTTGTCACGTTTTCGGTTGGGAGACATCACTGAAGAGCAAGCATGGCTGAAGGAAGCATTGTTACAAATATTCTCAGTTTAATCTGCTGTATCCGTAGACTACATGCTAACGTATAAACACACGCTATGTATGCACCGAATATGAACAGCAGCCTGAGTTCTATCCTGTCGAATTCTGCACTTGTTCGTAGTTTTATGACCGAATGATCAATAGCTATTGCAACACTTAGGCGGCTGCCGATTTGCCGCGCTGCATGTTTGTTGTGCCGGGACGTAAATGGACTACGAATAGGGTATAGTCGCGAGTACTAATGGCAGAATGGTACGCTCAATTTATTTTTGTTCTGAATTCTGCTCAAATGCTACCTTAATTTTTTTTATTCTAGCCGGTCGTAGATAAAATTTTGGATATATCCCGGACGTAACAACTGTTCATGACCCTTGGCGTTTTATAGCCCGCCGCGCTTTGCATCTTACATTGTAATTATACGTCGCGGGAGATAAAAGCCCACTTAACGCATTCAGACATATAAATAACTAATATAAACATTCAGGCACAGACTGAGCAGTCCAACAACGTATGGCCAGTACCGAATAAGTTGCGTCTTCACCACGATTTTCTTCAGCATTTGGTGGTACCACCAAACAATGCTTCGTTGGCTATGGGAAATGACTATAGAATAGCGTTGTTGTGCAACGCGTACTCTACAAATCAGGACTATTTTAGTAAGCCTATGGCGGCACTTGTAGAAACTATACAAGGTAGGTATTCCTTATTGAAATAATTAGACACAATATTACTAGTAGGGTTCGTAAAGACTTATTTTTGGGTTTTCAGTTTTATCTTCTCGCAAATTATGACATTACTGTAAAAAGAATCGCAATTCAAAAATTCCGATTATGCGTACAAGTCAAACTCAATATGTTGAGATAATTTGGGACTCTGACTTCAAATATGGCCATAGAAGATTAGTAAAAGTTACGGAGCTCAATTTGAATTAGGAAAGTGGACGTCTTTTGTCGTTTTCGATAAAAAGCATATCAGATTCGTGATCTACGCACACCGTTTTTACTAAAAGACGGACTATTCCACATTATTTGCAAGGATTTCTGGAATTTTCTTCATAGTATGACCGTATACTTTTTAACGTTTCTCGAATTTGAAAGCTCTCCGCAAAGTATAAATATTTTACTTTTAGGCAATAGTAAGTCGGGATCGTCGCCAACATCTCCACTCAGTATGACAGTTCTGGACTCTCTGACAGTTCACTCAAAAATGAGTCTGATTCATAGCATTGTCACTCATGTCATTAAATTGGCACAAGGGAAATCTGGAATGCCTCTGTCTCCTGCTCTAGTAGAAACTTATAGCAGGTAAGGATTTAAGATTATACTTTGTAATGTTTATGGTACTATTAAGCACTGCACAATCGGTGACTAACAAAAAATAAGTCACAACTCTCTCAAGTAACGTTTCGTCTACTGATATCTCTAATGTTTGACATTTTTTATGATTTGACCAAGTTAACACTGCCTGTCAAGTTTTTGATAAATTTAAACTACTGATTTTGAAAGTTCTTCCAAGTTCTTCGTTTAGTTCTAAAAAGCTCGCGTATTTATATTTTCTACCTACTATCCTTTAGTTTGCTGTCGATTTTAGTTCCTAAGGCACAATTATCCCGAAAAATGAGATATTGTGCTTTCGGATGTTATATGATATATGTGTATGTATAAAATAACTATGTCACTCATTTCCGTCGGTCTGTGTGTCCGCTAACCGTTGTTTAAATTATAACTTGAGAAGTACCGCTGAATTTTCACACAAGGTTGTTACTATCCGAAGGGCGAAAACGCTTAGTATTTTTTGAAAATCGGTCCAGTGGCGGTGTAGAAAAAAGCAAATTACGGAAAAAGAATAAAAGTCGCTCATACTTGTTTTTTTTTATGTTTTAGGTGGTACTGATCACTTCCAGAAAAAGTTTGAAGGGTTTGCATGGGTGGGGGAGGGTATATGATTTTTTTTGATCGTAGTGTATTTATTTTCTCTCAACCCCGATAATTATATCCACCTATTAGTCAAATTTCATACATATATAGATTTAAAACTTAGAATGATAAATCTGCGTATACACGGACCAGGCACGAAATGAAAGATAACTCGCTGCAGGGATACTGCCAGATGGATAGTAGCTAACTGTAGGACAGGGAAAGAATGTATATGGACTAATTGTATGGATCTGTTTTACTGACTTAATCCATTTAATTTCTATCTCGTATATGTTCCTAGCTGACTTTTTCTGAAAGGATTTTAGTTGCGCTGAACTTAGATTATGACTTGATGACGGCGTTTCATAGGAAGTGCAGAGTCAACCTACTTGACGCCATATGGTGCTTTTCACAATAGTTCATTCCGTTTTGACGTCTACTGAGGTGAACAGCTGTTACGGAAGTGACATCTTTGTATTAAAGTCTATAGTCTTGGCATAAATTAATCAGATGTGAGAAAAACTGTTCATCGTGTTTTATTCCTACATGACTTAAAATAAATATAGTCACGATCATTAGCAGACATTCGGTTATTTGTGATGAACTAAACTATATCTCCAGCCGTTGTGATATATTTCTTTGTTCACTGAATGAGGTTATCATTTTTGGGGTGATTATCTGCATCTGTGTTTAGGGTATTATTATTATAATATATTATAATTATTATTTCTTCAGTTTTTACGTTGCATTGTTTCATTAACGCATAATAGCTCACAAGGGCATCTAATTTAATTGTTATATTATCCTGTAAATGGGAAAACATTGGATAATAAAACCATTATTATTATTATTATTTGGCTTTTAGCGTTTTTTCTTGAGTTAGAGGAAATTTTTATAAAAAAAGTGTTGTTAGGAAGTATGAATGGGTAGCGTGCGAAAGGCTCTGTCTGCAGATCTAGCGCTGACACATCCGTCACTTGTCGATATGGAGTATTTTGGAATGTTACTCGATAATCAGCTATTATTTACATTAAAAATAATTTTTTGGAAGATTATCCGACTGTGCATTTTGAAAACCACTTTCATTGGTGATTATACTCAGGAAGGCTGAAGTTGAAAGGACAACCCGATAAATAACTGTATTCTTTCAAACATCAAACTGACGAGGTTGGTGATCAATGAAAGTGAGAACGAAGACCTGCCACTTTAAATCAGACTGATCAATCAACAAAGTGTTTGCTTGTCACAAGTTGCGAATAGTGACGTCACGCTAATAGCATAGTGATCGATATTTTAAATTTACCGCGTATTTTATAGAGCTTAAGTATAAAAGAAGGTTACAATTGTCACCCTGTGAATAAGAATAATTAACTGATATTTGAATCACATGCATATTTCCTATTGATTGAATGCCTTCCAGGGATGCAAATGATTCAAAATCTTTTTCAACTAGCGAGGACGATTCAAAAGAAATACCTGGTGATAGATGTGTTTACAGCAGCGAATGATACAGGAAAGAAATTACTTTCATTTAATTAACCTAAATAGAAATAAAAGTAAAATTTGAAATTTGAGTTATTATCAAGGACGAAATACCTCCTTGTGGACCCTGATCTTTTGTTATAATGGAAATGTACCTTAAGAGATTTAAGTATCATTATCCCTATAGGTTATTGGTGTACACAGAAATCGAGTCCCTAGGCATCAAAGGCTTCCTAAATCAACTTCTACCTCAAGTCTACAAATCGCACGCTTGGGGCACCCTGTATACTTTGTTGGAAATGTTCAGCTACAGAATGCACCATATTCATCCTCACTACAGGGTGCAGCTATTGAGCCATTTGCACTCTCTAGCTGCTGTACCTCAGGCGAATCAGACTCAGCTACATCTTTGCGTGGAGTCCACAGCACTAAGGTTGATCACAGGTAAGCAAAACTCGTTTTTTTCCTCATTTTTACTTATTATTTTTTCGGCTACTGATTTTTACTTCCTATGCCACTGCGAGGAAGGATTGTAATCGCGAAAAATGTTTTATTGGATGTGATACGGCATGCGCACCAGGAAAAACAGTATCACTTATTCCTGTCAGTCTGTCTGTCTGTGTGCGTGACCGGTAATCCTTGCCCCGTCTATAACTTGAGAAGTACCGCTGGAATTTGGATGAAAAACATTTCAGTGGCGGTGTAGCTAGAGGTAAAAACACGAAGAATGGAATAAAAATCGCTCAATCTTCGAATTTGAAGTTTTGGAGGCTCCGTATCATTTTTAGAAAAAAATTGTAGGTGCTAAAATATAAGGGGTGAGGAGAATACATCTTAATTTTGTAATGTTTATTTATACGCTCCCAACCCCGGTAATTATATCCAACTATTAGCCATATTTCACACATCATAGGTTTTCTTGTTCATTTCATTTAAACCAAAATGATAGAGAATTGTTTTCGATACGCGCCTCCTTGTGCTATCTGGGCTCACCGCCTGGCTTATCGGTCTGGACAATGTAGGAAGGAGCAACGTTGCAAGATCTTTGGTAACTACCAGTAGGGCAGGGAAATAATGTCAATGAACTAATTTTATGGGCCTGTTTGACTGACTGGATCCATTTAATTTCTCTGATGAACATGCTCGTAACTTATTTTTTTCTCACTTAATCCTTTACGAACTGTTGATTGCGTTGCGTAGGAATTACAGAGTCAACCTCCTCGACGCCATTTTTTCCTGAAATGCTCATTCTTCTCATTATTTGGGATGTTTCTCAATGCAGCGAGCTCCCTAGACGCTCAGGTCCTTAAACTATTTCAATAAGTCAAACAATCAATATTTTGTGTGACGCTTAATAACGGTAATCGATACATAAATAGATTTCATTGAATAAAGTATTCTACCCGAAAAAAAGAAACAACTATATACTGCATACCAGTGTCCAAAAATGATCTGAAAGAAACTAGAGGCATCTATGAGTTAATAACAAAACACAAACTTAAACTGAGAAATTTACGTTGAAAAGAGTTAAGAGTATATGGTTCTGCTCCTGTCTTATAGATGGCGCTAGGATCTTGAATCTCCTTTTGGTCTCTTTGATGACTATTTTAATTGGGTATCTTCACGCGGTATATGTTGATCAATGCCTGAAGTTACCTGATTAAAATAGGCGTTAAACGTGCTAAAAGGGTAATAGAAATCCTAGTGCCATCTGCCAATTTTGGCGCTAGGATCTTGAATCCCCTTTTGGCCTCTTTGATGACTACTTTAATTGGGTATCTTCACGCGGTATATGTTGATCAATGCCTGAAGTTACTTGATCAAAATAGGCATTAAAAGTGCTAAAAGGGTAACAGAAATCCTAGTGCCATCTGCCAATTTTGGCGCTAGGATCTTGAGTCCCCTTTTGGCCTCTTTGATGACTATTTTAATTGGGTATCTTCACGCGGTATATGTTGATCAATGCCTGAAGTTACCTGATCAAAATAGGCATTAAAAGTGCTAAAAGGGTAATAGAAATCCTAGTGCCATCTGCCAATTTTTCAGTGATGTTGTAATGGATTTAAATTATCATACAGTAGTGAACTTTCTTTCTCGCCTGAATTCTTTGCGTTGTGGCTGCAGCCTCAAGAGTTTTCTATTTATATGCTAATATTTTCGCGAATATGTTATAGAAGATTTTAAATGTGTTTGCAAGTTATGAACCTCTAAAGTTATTCATCACCATTTTTTTAGGTCTTGGTAGTCGCGATGTCCAGCAAGAACTCGCCAGGTTCCTTGCAGAACCAAAAACCATAGTATCTGCAGAATCTGAGGAATTGAACAGGGCATTGGTACTGACATTGGCGAGAGCCACTCACGTGACTGGGGCAGATGGTACTTGGTGCCATGAACTTTTAGCTACAATTGCTCAGAGCACTCCACATGCTTGGGCACCACAGACTTTGGATTGTTTCCCAAGGTAAGTGCTTCAGTACTTATTTGCTTTTAACATTTTTTTAACAATCTATAAAAATCAGTTTTCTCGCTCTGGGCAAAGTTTTTCAGTTCTTTTGGATCATTCTGAACAGTTAAAAATAGAGGTCTCAAAACTCTCAAAAGCCCTAGAAATGTCAATTTTCAATGTTTAAAAACTCGAAATTAAAGTCCAAGAGTTAGGCTTAGCTTATTTTAAAGCTTTTTTTAGTTCTTGATTAGCGACAGGCAGTGTAGTTTCCGGCACCAGTGATCAACGATCAATGACTCACGTCATTGCTCTTGGTATCACGAAAGCTTTCAATCAGCTGTGGAATGCACTTCCATCCTTTTGCCTTCCAGAGAAGCTTTGCTGATGGGTGGCTGACTTCCTCTCTGGCCGAAAGATATCCATCGTAATTAACGAGTTTTTCTATTCATCCTACAATGTTAACGCGGGTGTTAACCAGGGATTGGTCTTGGCTCCTACGTTGTTTCTATTACATATCAACGACCTCCATTTCTGTACCATCAATCCGATACGCAGCTTGCTGATGACATTAACCTACATACAGGAATTCCGAGTGCCAAGCTAATTTCTGCCGGTGAGCTGGAGAGAAGAAGACTAGCAGCAACTTCCTCTGGCGAGAGATTTACATGTTACTACTGCTTGGGGACGCAACAATCTGGTGCAGTTTAATAATAATAATAGTTCATTTATTATCCGACAAAAACGATCCATTTACAAGTTAATATTACCATACATAATTAATTAATGACATAACTCACTAAGGACACTTTTGAGATTTTTAAAAGTAGAATTAAATATATCACACAAATTACCAGTTTCATTAAAGTTTGAGCACATAACTCTAGCTGGTGACTTTAATAGCAAGTTCGTATTTGCATGCATACAAAAGAATATACGATCCTTTTGAGAATTAAATCTGAGAACATAAAAGGATATTTGAGATAACAGTCTAGACGAATCAACTAAGTGGTTTAGAAGCTTATACAGTAAAATAATTGAAATATGTTTACGTCGCTTCTTCAGTGAAGCTTACCCAAATCTATTTAATAGAACTCTGTAGTGACATCCACGCTCTGCAAAAATCCATTAGCTTTACACACTAGGTACTTTAAAAACTTTTTCTGTACATAATCAATCCTGTTTATGTAGCATTGGTAGTAAGGGCTCCAAACTGTTGATGCATATTTCAGTATTGATCTTACATATGCAAAGTATAAAGTTTTCAAGGCACCAATATCAAACATAAGCTTACAATTTCTAACTGTAATGCTACCAAAACACAGTACTGTACCTTGACTAACCTTACGCAGTTCAAAAATCGAATTAACAAAGTACCTTTAAGCTCCCCGGTATTTAGGCTTCTGTCTATGCGGCTGCTACGCTAAAAAAATGCTCGAAGAGAAATTTTTTATGATTATTTTCAGGGCGTTGGCAGAATTCTTCACTCAACATGCCGTTCCCAAAGAAAACAAACAACAATTGAAAAAGGCAGTAGAAGAAGAAAACCGAAAATGGGCATCAATGAACAACGAAAATGACATCATGGCACATTTTGGCGTACCTGGGGCGCCACCACTGTTTTTGTGCCTTTTGTGGAAAATGCTTTTGGAAACGAACCATATCAGCCCTATTGCTTACAAGTGAGTAACCAAGGGGTTCTTCAGTCATTTTGTGCATGATCTTAAACAGACGTATAAAATTTTCGGATAAGATTAGTGGCAAAATTTTTGAGACATATTATCAGCAGAATTTAAAGGGAAGTTCGGCACGTTGAAATATGAAAAAATCTAATATAAACAAAGTGTCAGAAGTGATGGTTTCCATAATACGGTATGATTAAAAGGTGAGCGTTTATAAGCGAGATTTTGGCTATGAATATATCTGTAATTTCACGTTGATCGCATTTGTGAAATTTTTGCATTTGCACGTCATTTTTCTTTTTATTTTAGTACTTGGTGGTTTTTTAAAAGCCCTAAGTTCGCAGTTATGGCATTTTTATCCAAAATTCACCCATTTTCGTGTTTCTAACTTTATCAATATCTAATTCAAATCTACACTAAACCTCGCTGAAACATATAAGGTTTGTTCATATAGTAATTGGTGACTTGTCGGTGGCTCTGTCTGGGATCAGGCCGTGTGAATTCCGTCTATATAGTGTAACAGAATGAACGGAATTTATGTGATGGGACGTTGGACACGATCACTGACAGGTTGATGACAGCTCTGCGAACAAGGCTCTAATATATATACATTTTTCAGAATTTTGGAAAGAATCGGAGCCAGAGCCCTATCAGCTCACCTTCGCAAATTCTGTGACTGCCTGGTTTTCGAGTTCAGCAACTCTCCAGGAGGTCAGCATGTCAACAAATGCGTGGACACGATCAATGACATGATTTGGAAGTATAACATCGTCACTATCGATAGGTTGGTACTTTGTTACTCACTTTCTTGTCCTTAAATAAAATTATTTTTTTTTATTCCTAACTGAAACAACAAAAAAAAAATGCTGGCATAATAGTTGAAAAAGAATTCTGCTATAGGCGTCATACTATACACTAGTTCAGTCTAGATGTGTCCGATCGTCAGAAGGTGGTTCCATTCCATTTTTCATTTTTAATAACACACACAAAGCTTAAATTTCCAATACTAGTCACAATGTACCATTAGCTATCAGACCGCACAATATAAACACTGCTTGTTTGATTATTAAAAACATAATCATTGCTATCTCACTTTTTTCACTGAACTTTCAGGTAATTGTTCGGCGGTTTTTATGACCAGTCGAATTATCTACTTATATAGAATTTCACAAGTTTTTTGACTGCGCTAGTTCCAGGTGGGTTTCATTAAGATATAATACCACTGTAATGACCAAAAAAAGCAATCTTTTCACTTTTTTTCTGTGGAAGAAAAGGCAATAAAATACAGGGTGGCCGATATGTAACTGACTGGTTTGTATCTTGAATATTTGTGAAATGAAATAAAATACGTCCATTTTTTTCATATTAATCTTTTATTGAAATTTAGAAATTATGTATGAAAAATAATAGCAGACAAATGTCCGCCTCTAGAAGCTGCGCAAACCTGAGCCCTCTTGATTACATTTTCCATCACTTTGGCAGGTTTCGGGAGGAATATTTTCAATTGTTTCGGTAATATTGTTCTTCAGCTGCTCTACAGTATTTGGTTTGTTGGCATAAACCCTATTTTTAAAAAATCCCCATAAAAAAAGTCCGTTAAATGCGGTGACCTTAGGGGCCAGTTGACATCAGCATTGTATTTGAGTAGCCAGAAAGTTTAGCACCATATCACGGTATCGTTCGCCAGTGACAGTTGGAGAATTACAGTTCTATTCATAAAAAAGCGTACACGAATTAGAATGAGAGGAAACCTTAACCTTATTTGCGTAAAACCGGCTTGTCTAAATGATTGTTTATTGGAGGTTATCACACGTCGTAGATTGTCAAAAATGCAAAGCATTGACGTCGGTGTAATTCATTTCGAAAATGCGTGGTGGTAACGTTTGATAAACTTTGACAGAAGAAAATAAAAATGCCTCGTCAGTTGTCTGAAGTTGAAAAGGCTCAAATTGTATCAAGAATCGAAGAAGGATGGTCAATCCGTGCTGTAGCGCAGTTGTACGTAGTCATGCCATAAGTTCTGTCCCTCGTTTTCAAACAAGTGTAGACCTGTTAATACTTGTCCGATTGTTTACATTGTGGTGTCAGTTGATTAAGCGCTTTTCGGGTAATTACATATACCTCAGTTTGTATTGATCTCTCGAAGCATAACGATGGAGTGGGGCAAGGCAGAGAACCGTATTGCAGTGATAGCTTTACATAAGTGTAATCACAGTGCTAGTCAGATTTTTGAACTCTTACGCGGCCTTCAAATATCGCGTAAATTTGTGTCTAGGACCATTCAGCGGTACAATGAGACGTCCTCTGTTGATGACAGGCCAAGAAGCGGAAGACCTCGTCAAGTAAGGACTCCAGCAGCCATCAAAGCCGTAAAAGCCAGGATTCAAAGGAATCCACTCCGGAAGCAGAAGATCCTATCCAGGGAAATGAAGATTCCTGTCCGGACGATGTCGCGCATCATTAAACAAGACCTAGGGCTAGGGGCTTACCGGAGACGTACGGGCCAGCGACTTACGGCCACCTTGCGACACATCAGGGCGACAAGATCCAAGAAGCTCTTGGAGAGGTACGCAGCTGGGGGATTCCGAAAGATTTTGTTCACGGATGAGAAAATCTTCACCATAGAAGAAAAATTCAACCGACAAAATGACAAAGTGTATGCAAGGAGTTCACAGGAAGCTTCGGAGATCATTCCGAGAGTTGAGAGAGGCCACCACCCTGCGTCAGTCATGGTTTGGTGGGGGGTGTCCTACGAAGGGGTCACTCAGCTCCATTTCTGTAAACAGGGCGTGAAAACAAAAGCGGCAAACTATCAGAGCGACATACTGGATCCTATCGTCAAGCCTTTAAGTGGTACATTGTTTGCCAACCAACACTGGGTCTACCAGCAGGATTCCGCCCCCGCTCACAAGGCTAAGAGTACGCAGCGCTGGCTGGAAAGCAATGTGCCAGAGTTCATTGCTGCGGAAGATTGGCCCTCAGGGAGTCCGGACCTCAATCCTTTAGACTACAAGTTGTGGGACCTGCTAGAGCAGTTGGCCTGCTCCAAAGCCCACCGTAATATCGAGTCCCTGAAAGCGGATTTGATCCGATCAGCGGCAGCTATTCCTTTGGAAGCTGTGCGTGCAGTGATAGATGAGTGGCCCGCGAGATTGAAGCAGTGTGTGAAGGCCAAGGGGGGACATTTTGAATAAAACTGTTTGATTATGAATTCTAAAAATGTTGTCGAATAAATAATATCTTTCATATAAATATATCTTATCTTGTTTCATTTTTATCATGAGATTATCATGGGACAGAACTTATGGCACGACTACGTATAATAGAAATAAAAAAACCATATTGAAAATTAAGCAACGCTGGGAACAGGAAGATTCCCTAAAGAGGAAAATTGGTTCAGGTCGTCCCAAACTTACCAACCCTGAACAGGATGCTGCTTTTTTGGGATATTTAAGAAATAATCCATTTGCAACTGTAAGGGATGCTGTTATTGATACAGCATTTCCTGCCTCCCAACCTACCGCCAGCAGGAGAGTAATGAAATCTGAACTAAAATGTCACCCTGCTGCGAAAAAAATGTTTCTTAACGAAGAACGGCGACAATCAAGGATTATTTTTGCTTTAAATTATATATACCGCAATCCTCAATTTTGGAACAGGGTCATTTTTACTGATGAAAAGACATTCCAGTCGACTTATAACGGCCAAATTCGTGTTTACCGTCCAAACAATACCAGGTTTGAAGAGCGATATACTAACCCCCTCAATTCTAGACCTGGGCGTTTCTCTGTAAATGTATGGGGCTGGATAAGTGTTCATGGACCTGGTGTTTGCTGGCGAATAGAGGGAAGATTTAATGCCGGAAATTACATTAACATTTTAGAAAACATATTGTTACCAAGTGCTGAGCAAATATATCCCAATAATACGTTCATATTTCAACAAGATAATTGTCCAGTTCATACGGCCAATGCTGTAACCCACTGGTTTCAAACCCATAATGTGGAAGTGCTGCCTTGGGTCGCTTATAGTCCCGATATCAATCCAATCGAAAATATTTGGGGTATAATCGTAAAAAAAATATATAATCGAAATTTTAGGCCACAAAATTCAGAAGATTTATGGGAAATAATACATGCGTGCTGGGAAGAGCTTGATCCAAATATTGTATCAAATATAATTCAGTCAATTCCGAATAGACTGGCTCAAGTAATAGAAAAACAGGGATATATGACCAAATATTAGATTTTATTTATTCTTGTTAATCGTTTTTTGTTTCTATTGTAATTTTTATAAAACTGTTAAGATGTAAAATAAAGAAATACATTTTTGTTAATGTATTGAACTAATGCCCGACGCCCATGCTTTGCATTTTTAATAACCTTTAACATGCGATAAGCCGGTTTTACGCAAATAAGGTTAAGGTTTCCTCTCATTCTAATTCGTGTACGCTTTTTTTATGAATACAACTGTACCTGCAACGTCTCCAAAGAAGTAAGGTCAAATGACACCTCCATACCAAACATCGCACCAAACTGTGAATCGACGAGGGTGTAGCGGTCGTTGATGGATGACACGAGAGTTCTTCAATGCAATATTGCATGACTGTATTGTCGGCGACTTTCATGGTCACTAGGCTGTAGTTCTTGGGTTAACTGAATTTTGTATGGTCGCAAAAGTCTTTTTTTAAAATACTGCAAATCTTTAACTTCACGTGTTTGTTCAAATTTCCATACCAACTGACGAATGGTATTGACACTGGGCACATTATTTCGGCCGAAATTTGTCGTAACTTCCGAATCGTTGCAACAATCGGCTCATTATTTAAGTTTTAACAATACGGACGCGTTGTGGGATCGTGTAGCGCTCCATGATGAATTGGACGCATGTGCTTTAAACACGTACCACGGCGCCAATTTGAAATCAGTCAGTTATATATTGGCCACCCTGTAATATTGAAGTTATTAGTTGAAGTTATCATAAAACAGTATTCAAAAATAGGGGCACTGCAGCCATATGCGAGAGGCACATAGAATATGAGGCGCTCTGGGGCAAGCAGTGATCTTACTGCGAATTTGGATCTATAAAAATGAAAAAAAACTAAGTACTTACTTTTTTATAGAAATATGTAAGGGATTTTAAAAATATTTATTTTTGTGTGGTTGGCGAGCCTTTGTTACTTAAATATATGCTTAATAACTTCCTCTAATATTATTTTATAATTTATAATGAATTAATTACAAAAAAATCCTTTTTTGTAATTTTGTTGTTGTTGACAGATTGGTGTTATGTCTCGCGTTGAGGACCCAGGAAGGTTCAGAAGCTCAAGTGTGCTCCTTCATTATACAGTTGGTATTGCTGAAAGCGACGGAGTTCAGGAACAGGGTACAGGATTTTGTTAAGGACAATTCTCCGGATCATTGGAACCAGACCAATTGGCATGAGAAGCATTTGGAGTTCCATAGGTAAGTAATAAGAGTATTATTACAGGTAGGGGAGCTATAATAAAACATGATTAACTATCCACGACAAAATCAGTCAAAATGATTACATGGTAATTTTTTTGCTGGATAATGTGGGTCTATGACCCCTGCTCCCGCATCTATGATATAATTAACAGCTAAGCCACATCTTGGTGCAATTCTACCATAGCGTCCTTTTGGTACCTAGACTTTCAATCCTGTATCTGTTAACAGACGGCCTCTTGTAGGTGCAGTATACCTAAAATCAATTTTAAGACCAAGTCCTGTCGTGATTTATGTTGAAGCAATTTACTGAAGGAGCATTAACCATGTCTGTTTGGGGCGGACGCTTTTGCGAAAGCAGTATCAGCGAGCAAGCTCGTTGGTCCTGATCCAGCCTTAGGGGCGCCTGCGAAAAGAGTCAGGAGGAAAATGAAGAAGTGAATTGCCAAACAGCACTTTCAGAAATGAAGAAGCATCTCTAGACATCTAGGCAAGGGAGCTCATCGTAAGGCCCAGTGCTAAGGATGGACGCTTTAGCTTATCTTTGAGTAGAGTCACCAGGTTGCTGGTGGGGTGCTAGAAGGGCGGGGCTTGAGGCTTAGAGAATGTGTCCGTTGCCAAACTAATGCCCGTTTTGAACACTCTGTTTGTAAAAATTCATCGACGGCATGGGCGCCCGTATGGTGGGGGCAGAGGGGGCCGTGCCCCCCTAGCAACATGGTTGGACCTTAGAATTTGTATATTTACATAGCATGCTTTTGTGTACAGTTTCGAGGATTTTTGGGGTATGCCCCCCTTGAGGATCGGCCTCACTGAGAAAAATTCCTGTGAGCGCTCATGACTGACGGGTCAAGATTCTGAATCTCTCCTTTTCCCATTTGTATACAGGGTGTCCAAAATAGTATGGATACATCAAAATATCTAGAAAAATACGTTTCATAGAGAAAAACGTATAACAAAGTTGTAAGGTACTATTCTACTATTCGTCGTTGTTCGTCAGAGCGGTCTGGTGGACCTTTGCTCTTAGTTGAAAGTCTCGTCGGTCTGTTAGTCTGTCAGGTCTGACTACCCAGATACCAAACATGTTTAAGGGGAAAAGGAAAAGACAGAAAGGAAGAAAGAAATAGAGCAAAGAAAAGAAGTAAATCATTTGAAATAGCTTAAGCATTAGTGGTTTGACTGCTCGAATAATTTTGTAACTCCAAAAAATAATTTTGATCGGTTTTGTGTGCTGAAATAATTTTGGTTGGTCTGAAGTTGTAAGATTTGAAAATAGTAATTTAATGCTGACCTTGACGCGATTATGACCCTTATTATCATTTGAAGAGGACAGTTTGTTTGAAAACCCTCCAGTTTTGACACCGGAAATGTGAAGGACTGGAAATTTTGCGTTCAAATTTGTCTTTGTTCATGACCTTGAGCTTGACCTTTATGGGTATTTGAGGCTGTACATATAGTATGGAAAGGACAACATATCTCGAAAAATACATTTAAAGAAAAATGTAGCAGAACAAAGTTGTAAGGTTTATGAAGGGTCAACTTTAGGTGATCTTGAACATGATCGTGACTATGACCTTCAAGGTCATTTGAAGATCAAATGAGTATTTAACAGGAAATATCTATTTTTAATTCCTGAAATGCAAATTGCAAACAATTTTACGTTTAGGTACATCCTTGCCAATGATCCTGACCATGACCATGCGATTTGAAAAAAACTTTCTATTTTTTATTGTGGATACTGTCAAGGGGAGGGGTGGCTTCCAGCAATATCAGCTGCAAAACAGCTATAAGGCAGCTACAAAACAAATCTGGAGGAGTGTGAATGGTGGTTCTCCGCAATGCCTTCCCACGCTGGGGGTTAAAATCCCTTAAGAAAATGGATGGGGTAGCACAAAAACCAAAACAACTAAATGTAAGGTACAAAATAAAGGGGTACTACGCCATAAACTGGTGTTTGGGGGTCTAATATCCCAGAATCTGGAAGTTGAACAAACGACGCTCACACCACAATACCAGCAGAAAAGTGACTGACCGAAACACTTTATAAAGGAAAGTTAAATGAGTGGCCTTGAAGAAGGTATGTTCGATAGGAAAACAAATAACGGATGAAAACGACAGAGTGTTTTGCTTGACAACCAACTCTACGAGGGATCAACCATATTTTATGAGGAAATTTCTGGGATAGTCAATAAAATATTATAACAATAGTGTCCAAAAGATTTTAATACAATACTGAGTCGCTGAGAAAGAAAGATATAATACGTTTATACAATCAATAAACTATGAAATTTGCCAAAAGAAAATCATTAAGGGTTGAGGGTTTGGCCTACTAATCGGCAGCCCACCATTAATAAAGAGAAATTCAAATTACTGGTAAGTGATGAAAATAGTAAAAAAAAGGTTACGTGATTTTGGCACGTGACAATACCTATATAAAAAAAGCGAAACACTTCACGGTCAATATCATGTACTTGTCCGCCACCTGGACTATAATGTTCACGGTTATTTGAAGGTCAAATAGGTTTCAACGGGATACTCGTAAATCCTTTAAAGTCTTGGTCAAGGTCACGTTCAAGGACGCTACTGGATGACCGCCTTTTAGACCTTCATGGACAATATCTTAAGCAGTGCAAGTATGGGGTCAACTTATTTGACATTTTCGCATTATTTTGCAGGAAATATCCAGAGAAGTTTGCCCCAGAAGAACAGAGCAGTGTCTACCATCCTAACTTTGGCAATGTTTGTCTAAGATTCCTACCTGTATTCGATATTGTGGTACACAGATTCTTGGAGATTCCTCAAGTAACAAAGAGCCTAGAGATTATATTGGAGCACCTGGGATGTTTGTACAAATTTCACGATAGGCCAGTTACTTATTTATATAATACCTTGCATTACTATGAGGTTAAGTTGAGGGATAGGCCACCGATAAAAAGAAGGTTAGTGATCTTAAATGGCTCTGTGATGACTGAGATTATTCAACATATTATGTCGTAGGTTGGTAGCAGCAGTTCTGGGGAATCTAAAAGAAACACTATCGGAGCCTTATCAAGCATTTTTGACGAGGCCACCAGATGATGTCTGGGTGCCAGAATTGGACTATTACATACAGGTAAATTATTAAGTGATACTTTCATTTAGTGGACGAGGCAAAGATCTCACATTCGCGGCAGAGATTTTTTAACTTAATTCTTTTGGTAATCAAGTTTTTTTTTTGTTTCCTTTAACATGAATTAAGGTGTTAGATGGTGGTAAATCGGTGCTTTGTTTAAGTATTTTTTAAACAAATTAAAAAAAATCATGGAGTTTGCTTTGGTTTTTAGGTGGTGAAGCGAGTAGTAGAGGTGATAGGTGGGACCAATTCAAACTCAATGACAGATTGGAGATTCAACGAATTTCCTAATGCTGGAGCTCATATTTTGTACACATCTTGCGTTGAACTGATGGCACTATCAGCAGGACCTCAAGCTGTTGCGAATGGTCTCCTGGATGTGGTTGCCAAAGGTGAGAAAGTCCCAACTTTTCATATTCTAGTGACCAAAGAAACTTGATAAATTTATAGTTTCCATATTCGTCTCTCATGACTACAAGTAACTCTGCACCTGGTTTACTCAAGAAACAGATTTTAGTCGATGTTGTTGATACACACGATTTGAAATTATTCTTCAACGTGTTGAAGTACTGAAGTTTAAAGTGGTAGCAAAGGAATGTGTCTTTTTGGGGTCCTGCGTGGATCTTAGAGAAAAAAATAGCATCAGATTAGTGATCACCACATCCATGTTAAACCATGAAACCTATTATTCAAAATTATGGAGAATGATCATCTTACAAGGTAGAAATAATAGAACAGACAAGAAACGCTAATTCAAAATTAAGTGGAATGTGTATCTTCCCTGATGGTGTGTGTTTACCTTAGTTTTAGGTAAAATGTTTCTTAGCCAATCTACCGTCCATATCTAAAATAAATTTAACCTGTATACATAATTAGTTATAGCATAATACTCACTTATACATAAAGAAATTCATTAGAATCCCTCAATAAAAAATAATTGAAAAAACCGGAACTATGAAGGACAAAAATATATAGGCAAAGCAAAACAATTATAGAAAAAAGAAGCAAAGTTCTTTGAAATATAGAAAACCAACCATGTTTGTGTTAATATTTTGTAGCATAACCATTATTATCAATCACCGCCTGGCATCGTCTCGGCATAGACTGTAGAAGTTTCTTGATATAAGATTCATCAATCTGTCTCCACTTTTGCTCTAAAGCGGCAAAAAGTTCATCCTTGTTAAGAATTCCCATATATGTATTTTCAATGGGGTTTATATCGGGAGACTGTGAAGGTCATTTGAGAACTGGTATTTTTTCATCCAGAAAGAATTTCTTTGCGATATTTGAAGTGGGCTTCGGGTCATTATCTTGCTGGAATATTGATCTTAAGGACAAATTGTCTTTCATATAGGGTAACATGACATGCTTTAGTATGTCTGTGTATACAAACTTATCCATAATGCCATCTATTCTATGTAAAGATCCCATCAGAAATCCCGAAAAGCACCCCCAAACCATAACAGACCCGCCTCCATGTTTGACAGTGGGCAAAGTGTACTTGGGGTTCAATCTTTGTCCACTAGGACGTCTAACGTAATGAACACCATCTGATCCAAACATATTGAACTTGGATTCGTTACTGAAACATGCCCTCTTCCAGTCACATTGTAATCGGTCCTTACGGTTTTTCCTGGAGATTAGCGGTTTCTTTCTCGGGCGACGTGCAAATAACTTCAAATCATTTAATCTTCTCCTTATAGTTTTCGTAGAAACACTGACAATTCCTTTTGTCTCAATTTCGCCTTTTATTTGTCTTGGGGTTTTAAACGGATCTTTAGACGTACTTACTTTTATTAATCTAACTGATCTAGCTTTTAGTTTTCTAGGCCCACCACTTCTCTTAGAGGCTTCCAAGATACCTTTTTGTTTATATTTGTTCAATATTGCCAAAACTGCTTTACTCTTCAGCTTCAAATTTTTGACAATGTTGACTTGACGTTGACCATCTTTGTATAACTCAATGATCTTAGTTTTCACATCGAAAGAAATTTCTGGACCACGCAGCATGGTCTTAAAATCACTCAACTTATTCCATAATAATTGATGAACGCAAACTAATCCTCTTCTGACACAAAACTGTACTAAACGAATGTTGAAAAGAATTTGTCCACATATTTTTGTCCCTCATAAAAAAGTGCTTATATTCAGACTTGTATTGTGTTCTTTACAGATAATGTAAAAACAAGGAATTTAGTTTTTCTACTAATAATGCATTTGTTTATGGAGCAATGAAGTATGAATTCGTTTTCTAAAGGTATTTGGTAAATATTCGTATTTGTCTATATACTTTTGTCCATTACTGTATGTGCAAAAATACAATGCGGAAAACACTGGATAAAGTATATTTTCATATTCCCCGGGGTACTAAGAGAAAAGTGTTGTGGGGTTATGAAAGGGGATTTCACCAAAAGTAATTCGTATTGAAGATCATTTTGACATTAGTACCGAACTACCATTTTGCCCAAATATTAGTTTTTATTTACCTTAAATTACAAAGATTATGTAGGCTATATATTAAGAACTGAGCCCGCCTGTGATCTAAGGCACACGAGAGAGTTATAAAAACAACCTGATGAATAACTTTCCTTTCGAACTGATGAAACATCAAATTGACAGGTTGATAATCAATGAATGTGACTACAAAGACCTGACCTGACATTTTGAATTGGACTGACGAAACAACAAAGGTTTGACTAGTTGCAAGTCAAAATGATGGTGTCACGCCAATAGAGTTGCGTTTCCATATTTTAAATTTACCGCGTAATTTTTCCCGTTTGTACTAATTTATACTCGTAATTTTATTGCACTTAAGTATACAATAAGGTTGAAGATATTATTCTGCAGCATATAGACTGTGAATAACGTGTATTTGAGTTACATGCATATTCCTATTGGCGATTTTTTCAACGCTATATTTGCATTTAGTTCCATTTTAATTCGCTCTTTTCACAGGTTTCGTCACCATACCTTCCGAACAGATTCACCAATGGATCAACGCCATAGGTTTGATTCTATCAGCTCTTCCAATGAGCTACTGGAGTGTCATGCACGAAAGGCTGCTTTCAACATTGGCCGAGCTGGACTCGTGGCCTTTTGACGCTTCTGTGTTCAACCTTTTGAACTTCAAACATACGCATTCGGGTTTGTTGCACAATATGTTTAGCTATATGCTTGCTTTGGCGCATTCGGTGTGGCACCATGCAGGTAAGTCTTGTTAAGATTTCTGACAAATTAAAATAATACGCACTATATATTAAAAACACAAATATAGTTCAAGACAGACTTATAGAGTGTGTTTACATTATTTCTGTATCTGTATGGTACCGCCATACGTATAGTATGGCCATTATACGATACATGTCTACATAATGATGAAAGTTGGTTCACCTGTATAAATTATACATTTGAGCAATGAACAGTAACGTAAAAAGCACCAATAGTTTCTTATAATTTCTTTGAATATAGCGAATCTAACATAAATTGCATTCTTTGATACGGGCGTAACAACAAATTCAAATAATTTGATGTTTCTGTAATACCGACTCGGGTCCACCAGGTGCCGCCTTTTCGAAGTGATAGCTTTTTCACGACCATCGAAACGCGCGCCTGTTCCAAAAAGCAATTATTTATTGGAGAGTGAATTTTTGTTTTGGGCATAAGGGTACTGTTTGTTGAAGATTTATTTTTTACAATGTCAATTCTGTTACATATTTTTCTTCAATCCAGTTTACATTCTTGTCTATTAAAATTACATCACTATGCATAATGTGATTTTTTAGTCTCACCTTAAACATGTTTAAATTCGAACACTCATTATTCAATTTATTAAATTCAAATTACTCCCTTTTGAAATATTATTGACTTACGAGTTATTCTACTATTACAATTTTGCAGGTGAAAATCTATACTGCCTCTAGTTTCGTAGTTATGATAATGACTATTTAATTTTGTGAAGTTTTCTAAATGTGGTGGTAATAAATTATTTTTTAATTTGAATATGAAAACAAGAACTAAATAACATATGAAATTTTTCACAATCAACCACTGTAGTTCTTCTAACATAGACTTAATCTTAGCATATTTGTTTTCATTTAAAATGATTTTTAAAGCTTTATTATGTAGAATTTGTAATTTTGAAAATATATTTTTATTTGCAAGATGGTTGAACAATATAAAAAACTAGGAAGAATAATAGTGTTATACACAATTGTTTTGGACTACAACGCTCGTGAAACATTAGTTTACTATCCACATAAATACCAAGATATTTAAATGATTTGATTACTTCAATTTTTTCATCATTAAGTTGAAGTTTATATAACTTATTGATTAAAATTAAAAGCTCAAAACCTACAGTGCTGCAGCTCGCAACTGTCAGTTTTATTGTTATTTGATCTTTGATTTCACCCCTGCAGGGGTGCGTTTGTAAATCACTTGATACTGTAATACCATACACAGTAATGGAATGTAGATTGACAGATGAAGTTTTACTCTGGAATACTGTGATACTTCATTTTTTAGAACGCGAAGATTATTATAGTCATAATATGACACTTGATGGCAACCGACTAATATCTAACCACGTTTTCTGGGACCATTTTATTTATTATAAGAAACGTTACGGATGGCGGGCAGCTGACTCATCGTAAAAAATATATATTCTGCCAATGTTGAGCACGTTTCGATAATCAAATAAAGTAAACAAACAATGGACTATAAACATGACTGGTGACAACACTCTTATTCCCAAGGTTTTAAACTCGCGGAAAAAAGTGCACTTTTGACGTTCCAGAAGATTTTCTTTTGTTCTAATTCCGAATGCATGAAACAGATACGTCAAACAGTGACTAACGCTAAAATTGTTACAGAGTAAGTACAGTAAACTCTGTAACAATTTACGAATGCAGCCCAGTGTCACTATATGTGAAATACATTGCAAGTGAGAACTATGCGGCGCTCGGTGCCATCTATTTCATAAGATATGTACTATGTCCGTCGAGTTGGAGGAGTCGGCTTGCTGTCTGATGTTTTTCAGATCGTTGTTCTCTTGCACCAGATGTGACGCTCGCACCACGTTGTTTCGCACAAATACACCCTATTTCACGAGTACCCATCACATTTTGACGTCTGGGACGAACAGCTGATCAGCAAGCAACATCTTTGTATTAGTCTGAAACGTTGGCAATAATAAATCGGGTGTAAATCAAGTAAAACGTACTTGCAGCACTTCTTTGGATGCAAATGGACTTTTCTAGATAAAAGAGTTGTTAACAGGTATAAAATGCATCTGTAGGGTACAAAAATACCAATTTTGAAATATTACTAGATTATCAGCTGTTATTGTACCATAATGGATACTCATGAAAAAGACAATATGAAATTCTCCTAATGTATAAGAATCTCGCAGGGGAATAAAAAATCGATTTTAGGATCATGCCATAATGTGTAAAAATTCATGAAATATGTAAAAATTTTCGTCTCGCAAAATGTTACACAAAAATAAAGTACATAAGAGTTATTTTTATTTTTTGATTTTCATGTGAATACCAAATACGTATTTCCCCTTCAATATGATTTTGGATAGATACATAGAATTTGTTTAGATGTGTCTACAAGAAAAATACAATAATAAGCAGTCATTGTTTAATTTCATGTTTTATGTTGCAATTTTATAATACATGTGAACATCTTATTATGGAAGGTGTTCCATTATATAATATTATAATAATAAAATGTGTTTCATCGGCCGCAAAATTCTAACCAGGACTCCTATTCTTGAAAACGGGGGTGGACAGTCACTGGTCACTTGGTTCTCTTCCCTGGGGAATGATATCTAATTCTGATAGATGTTGATATTTGTCAAACAAGTTTAATAGTAATCAAATCTACACTATTGTCATACTACTATTGAATATACACAAGATACATGAGACATTCATGTCATGTTATGTCAAATTGTTCTGTTTGAAAGAACCTATCCTAATCTCCAATAAAATGTAGAGCATAAAAATGTATGTTTGGGTTATCACATAGCATTGATTAACATATTCCACCAGCAAGTAGTCACGAATCACACTGTAGCGACAAAAATATTTTCCTACTCAGTAGCATGCTGTTGGTTACAGTTTTTGTTTGCAGCTTTTTTAGATACCACTGAGTTATCGACCAAGCCCGCACTAAGAACGTATCCTGTGTATCAGGTAGACAATTACTCGCTTAAAGTTAATAGGTTACATATGAGAACTGAACAAAATAAGAATGACATGCTTCAAAGCTCTCTGTATTAATAAGGTGAAATTTCAATCATTGGGGTATATAACTCTAGGCAGGCAAAATATGGAATGTTTCACATGCAACAATTCTTGTTTAAGAGCATGCAGTTGTAGGATAATATGCTTAAATTATTATTGTCACTGTTTACCATTTTTATCACTAATGACTATTGTGATATTACCTAACGCTTTTTGTGAGATCAAAGGCAGAATTGGAACATCATTAAATCTCAGATGCCTAACTCTATCAGCCATTATCATTAAATCACTTTATTGAAAGTGTTTTGAACAGACATTAGCATAACATGTTTTGGGATTTGGGGAACTGGTGGTCTTTCTCGAACCTCAGAACCCAGAAATGATACCCATATGAATGAAGCTTTCTCGTAAAATCAGACAAATGTCAAGCCAGCAATAGTAAGAAACGACCCAACGTCGCCACGCTTCATGCAAAGTTATGGCCATAGGTGCATTCTACTTACAACTGTTTACGATATTCACTCGAACACACCAGATTCACTGGAGCATCGCACTTTTAGACGCATACATATTCTGTGCTAACATTTAAAATATAATATATATCAACAATCGACGTCAACATTTTTTTGGCTTTCCATCTGTGAATGATGCCAACACGGCCAACACCGTAGGCTACCATAACTAGAACATTCGAATGTCTGAAATGGCAATTTTGTAAACCGATATGCCTGTCTCTGTTTATCGTCGGTGTTCCAGACGAGTCGCCAGAGAAGCCGCCTTCTCGGTTTCATGGCTTTTTCACTACCGTTAATGAAAAATGTAAACATGCACTATAAGTTTATCGTGAAGTATACGAATCCACTATCCTCTACCCTAACTTATTTCAGGTCCTGGACAAATAGCAAGTGTACCGCGCTGGGTCAAGGAATGCCTTCCAGCAGTAGTGAAAACAGAAGAACAATTCTTATTCGTCTGTCACTTAGTTGGACCGTTCCTTCAACGTTTCAACATCGCAATTGTAGACCTCACAAACTCCCTCTATGAACTTTTGGCCCAGGTTGACCAGAATCAAACAGAATTGAAGTACATGGACCCAATTTGCGATCTCCTTTATCACATTAAGTACATGTTCGTGGGTGACAGTATTAAGAAAGAGTTGGAAGCTGTTGTGAGGAAGTTGAGGCCTCAGCTGCAACTTAGATTGCGGTTTATCGCGCATTTGGCGATAGAAGAAGTGCAGGCCACCTGATGAAAGTTGAACTCTTAGTTGTAATTTATTTTTTAATATATGTTTAGTTATTGTTTAGTGTTTTTTATCACCATGACTCCCCAGATTGTCACATTTTTTAACCCCAAGGCAAAAACGAGTGGTGTTAAGTTTACGCAGTAAAAAATTTGTGAGCTTTTTTTTAACTAAAATCTTGCCTATGGGGGTCGTCGTTCTTTGAGCAGGGTTTGCAGGGTATTGAGGCTAGGAAAAATTTGAATTTCAAGCAGACAACTTTTTGATTCTAAACTAAATCGTGTTATATTAAGTGTAGCGTCATAAAAGCTAATCAGCTAGTGAATAACTTGGACCTTATACAAAACACTTCTGTTTTCATAGTTGTAAATAACACTTGTAACAGTTGCTTTTATGGCATGGGATTCAATAAAATACCATCTGATAAACAATATAAACCTATTTATTTACTTATAAAAATACAGTTTAGTATTAATCTTCATCATCACTATCACTTGAAGATGGCAGCATGTCAACTAAAACAAAATAATTATCAATCAATATTGATGAACCACACTACAATGTTGCAAATATGCATTTTTTATCAATATTCCTGCTATTACCTTTTTTATTTTGCGCTAGTTTTTCTTGTTCCTCCTTAATGTACAGTGTCTGCACCTCAATAACTTCTTTGCCATCCTTACAACTAGCATATTTATCTAGAAGTTCCCCATTTAAATCTAAGAAGGAGTGTCCCCAAGAAAATTTGTTCAAATAAAATTTGGCTGCATCTTTGAACCCTACTATGTACATAGTAGCTGCTACAGCTTCGACACAGCTCAATTGGCATGGTTTGCCATAGTTTATGGGGTTAGTAGCTACCAGGAAGGGTAAAAGTCGTCCATGGGATATCCTGAAGCATAAAAATATTTCGCTGATTGATCGGCACCCGTATTAAGTAAAATAATCGCGGCGATAGAGATATAATCGCTATACTTGTCACTAGTGTACTAAATAGTTCCTAGCTCACTCCCTGAATCAGTCTGTTCTAGTGCACCTGGTAATAGGTTAAAATAGTAAATTCCAGCATATCTAGGGGACCTCTTGAAAAACATGTGATAAAAATTGTCATCATTAAGGTTTCTTCTGCTTCTAGTATAATGGTCATGATTACCACAACGCCTTTTGAAAGTAGCTAAATTCTGCTTAATATAAACAGGGAGTTTAGAAGTGTATACTCCCAAACTTACTGCCAATCTGGCATCTTAGAAAATCACAGTAAACATATTTTAATTAATTTATATAATTCTTTTCTTGAATAATTGTCAAATCTAATTATACAATTATTATTTAATTGGATTATTATATGGTGAAAAGATTCAGTTTTGGGTTATTTATGTGAATTACAATATTCATAAAATATATTAAAATAAAATTCTTATTTTGCATTATAGAATTTTTCCTTAGGAAAAATAATATAAATAAATTGTGAAAACTATGAAAAAGTTGATAATATAATTATTTTTGTTGAAAATATTAAATATAATTATACAATGATTAAATTAGATTGTTAAATGTTGAAAATATTTTGACTGGGCTTATTATGGCAATTTCAATATGAATAACTTATATTGAAATAAAATTCTTATTTTGCATTACAGCATTTTTCCTTAGAAAAAATAATATGAATAAATTACAAAAACTACGAAAAAAGGCAGTAAATTTGTTTTACAGAATTTAAAAGTAATAAATCACATGCCACTGCTGTTTGATTTGCAACAATTAAGGACAGAATGTCATTTATTTTAGGACTTGACAACAATTATAATCTAAAACCACATTTAACTGGCTCTCTGGAAAGTCATCAAATACTGCAATATTCATTCAGTTTTGTTCTGCCATAATAATACCATTTAATTAGTTCACTAAAATCCAGAATTTCAAACTCAATTTTCTCAACTTTGAATTTTACACTTCAATGCATTTTACCTAAGTACAGCTAATGATGATGATACATCGGAGCCACATCACATTGCTCAAGTACCTTGATGTTTAGGCAACACACAGCTACTACAAGTGGATATGCAGTGAATGACAGCTAGTTGTAGACTGACAATTATGGTGATCAGGGCCAATATTTTTGAAATTGATAATGCTATAAATATGTTGCCATTTTTGTCAATAATATATCTAATAGTAAGTACCACTAATTCTTTTTTGATATGTAAATGTTTAGTTTTGGTGTGTGACTGGTATTCCATAAAATAATTTTCATCTCCAGTGCTCCATCTAGATGTATGGGTTTGAATTCCATAAGTAACAGAAAGCAAACAAGAATATACCGTCTTACGAATATGTAGTAATGTAGAATGCAAAGAGGTGGCAACTGCCTCATAAAAAAATATTGCAAGTATGTTGATGTTGCAGGCAGAAAAATAAAAAATATAAAAGTACCTTTTTTGCAAGAGTGTTAGGAGCACAGCATATATACCACACTCAATACTTTGTAATTGTAGCCATGGTATGAAAATTTCCTGATTAAGTGCAGCCAAAAAAACAAAGCAAGCAAGTGCTACTTTGGTTAACAGTTAAAGCAAAATAAATTACGTTTTTGCCAAGGTAAAATGCCTAATGTGATTTTAATAATATAGATACCTTAAAGATTTAATTGGTGTGTTTTCCAACTGAGCCCAAGAACAGTCAATCACAGCTACCCCTTTTGCCTCTACAATAACCCTGTCTTGAGGGCTCACGCATTTCTGTCCCGTAGGCGATAATACGATACCAGAAAAGGGTTGTTTGACTCTAAGCACTTTAATGAGCCCTAATCGTGCCAATTTTCGACCGGAACACTTTTTAGGGTCGCATTGGTTGAAGTCCCACATCGCAACTGGAAAACTAGGTTCCTCTTCATTTTCGGAGGATGATTCGTCCGAGTTTGATGTGGAAGAGTTTTCTGACATATTTAAGCGATCTACGCTGTTTTCTAGCTGAGGTATAGACATTTTGTCTGTTTTTTAGCATTACACTTCTGCTCGTGTTTGTTTACATGAGTTTTGAGGTTAGGAAAATGGGAAAATAGTACGTATACAGGGTGTTTCAAATTCGTCCCTCACCATTGGGATCTCGGAAACGGTAAGATATAGGAAGTATATCCTATTTCACGAGTAACCATCACGGTAGAATGACAGCTGCTTATCTAGAAATATTTCAAAATTCCCCATATCGGCAAAGGACACATAATTGTGACGGATCCGTTAATCCCAGGTAGATAGAGCCATATTTTATTTTGGTTTTTTGTACGCTACAGATTTGGTAATGTTCATATATGACATTATATATTTTTTAAATCAGAATTAAAAACTCTATTCATCTCTGTAAACATCAAATATGGTATCGATAAGAAAAAATAAAGTTGATGCTGAAGGATAATAAACGAATCGTCATATTGGAGTTCTAATTATATCATCTTGTAGAAGAAAAAAACGTGTCAACGTTGATGTGGTTTTGAAAGCCCGCTACATATATGTTAAAGTCAAAAATTAAAACAGGAAAATTCGTTTTTCCGACTCTCTCCGGAAGTACTTTAAATTTCTAAACTTTCTAAGCTGCATTTTGTTAGGTTCCTAAATACACAACTTTGCCACCATTTACGCGACCCCGAATTTGAAACACCTTGTATACTGTGGTCCAGCACCCAAAATGGGATCTGAAAGATTCCAGTATCATCTATGAGAGTAAAACAAAAAATGAATTCAGAAGTCAACATTGAAAACAGTTAGTGTTTGGTTCTGCTACTGTCTCATATATGGCGCTAGGTTCTTCCAACCCGTTTTAGCGCCTCTTCAATACCTATTTTAATTAGGCATCCTCAGCCATTGATTAACGTTTTCCATCCAAAGATGCCCAATAAAAAGAAGCTAAAAAGGATTGATGATCCTAGCGCCATTTGTGCAGTAGCAGAATCCAACACACTCTTTTCAAAATAGTTTTCTAAATTCACTTTTGTGCTTTGATACTGTCTCCTAGATGAAGCTAGCATCTTTTAGATCCCTTTTCCGGCGATCGATTAAGGAGAGGAGACGTTTGTCACATTTATTCAATTTAATGCGCATGCGCAAATATGGCTCGCCATGTCAATGCATGGAACGGGTATTTGGCTGCAATTTTAACTTTTACTCACGACGAAGTGCCATCGGCAGGAACATGATATTTGTGTAGCCTAAATGAGACTTAAACAATAAATCTAATTTAAAAGTAAAGTTTTTATTGTCGAATAAAAAAATCAATTCTTCTTTTTTGTATTTTTGCAAATAGATTTAGGACTTCTTCCGTATCGACATGTACACATTTATGGACATATAAATGTGCCAGTCCAGTGGGGCGATTGAGATACATAGAGCCTTGCAACCACTTCATATTAACGAAATCAAACATTAATAAATTTCTTGAAACAACTGCAGGTAGCATAGTCCTTAAGTCACCTATTGTGATTGGGAAACGCCATGTACATGACTAAACTAAGACAATACCATTAAAAATATGAAGTAGTATACATATATGTTTATGAGCTTATATATGAAAAGAGCGAGATTTGAACACTTACGATTAGATAACTATGATGCTTACTACTTACCAACCCCTTTCAATGGTGAGACTACGCGAAGCCATCATTGAAATTTTAAAATGACAGCGCAACACAAACAAAACCCAGGACCACCTGGAGCAGGCATTCCCGTCACAAAATATATTCCCCTGCTGAAAAATCGCCAAACGTCCTCTGAAAACGCGAACACCCACCCAGAATTCTTGTTGCAACACATCGGTTAATTGTTGTGCAATGTTTGAGTACAATTGCTACATGTGCATTGTGTATGGATCTGAAATGCCAGAAACAGTACTTCTACATCTAGAGGTAACATTGTTATTTGTCTTGTGTGGAATAATATAATACAGAACATTCTGCCCTTGAGATGTAGATCTCTAAAGCCACAGGATAAGTTTCAGGTGTTAAATTAACCATAAACCGTGTCGACTGCAAAAAACAATGCTTTGTAATGTGTTTAAAAAAATCTAAATAGGTTTGCAACCGGTGACTGTCTTGCATCTTCTTGATTTATGTTAAGGCGCATATCCAACAAATGTGATTAAGAAAAAAATGAGTTTGAAAATGTTTCAAGAGAAATATAGGACTTTATGGGATTGCCTATACATTTTGAGACACCCCGTATCAATTGTTTCATATTTATGCAGATAAGCATACAATTTGCTGCAAAGTATGTTGTCTGCACTACATAAAAATTACGCTTATGCTTTTGCCAGCTTTTGCTGTTCACGGATCACGGCAGTTGACAGGTGGTTGACAGACGTAGCTAGTCTAAAAAAATGACACTCATATGATGTACCATTTGTCAGTTTTTCTATGTTGAATCAGCAAGAGCCGTATATGGCCCCTATTTTCATGATTTCCTGCGTTTTATATTCAACTCTCGCATAGTAAAGAAGACTATTAATAAAAAAGCAGTCTACCGACCCGACCTCACTTCCATAGTACAAATCTCCATATCATTCAAGCAGACATCGATTCTACAGTTATAAAATAGTGGTTATTGTGATAGAACTTTAGTAAACACAGCAGACATGGCAAATAAAGACGATTATCTGACTTATTATCGGGAGTTCTTTGAAAATTTCGCTCAAACTGTGAATCCAAATGACCAGCTACCCGTTAGGCTAGCCGGTTACAAGCTATTGGGTACAGAAGTGGTTGGAGGGATTATAGATTGGACCACCCAATATTTGAGTCAAAAGTAAGTAAATACACGAAATCTTATAGCGCTGGTCTTAAAATACAGCTTTTTACACCTTTTTTTACGCTTTCTTGATTATTATACCCCAAAATTCAGACTAATGACAGAGGATTTTTAAAAAAACGAAAGGGCGGGTAAAGAGGTTATATGATAACGATTTTATTTATGTTTATTTTATTACCTAGTAAACACATAAGATAATAATGTAAATATTAGTTAGTATTTGTTATCTTTTATGACGGTATACAAAGTAAAATTGCGCATCATGCACTGTAGGTATTATTGCTAGCTCCTTAATTGCAACAAAATAACAGTTAAATTTTCCTCGTTATACGGCTTGTTATTTTTGCGATTAATTGTGCGTAAATTTAGTATAATTGTTGAGCAATTGCGCTATTATTTTATAAGCACCTAGGGTAATAATTATTATATTAAAAAAGCGTTCAAGTAGGTTGACTCGGTAGCAGTTTCAGACGATGCGAAAACTCCCATTTTTCATTCTTCACGTTTGCGGATGCCTCTAAACATAAATCGGCTGAACCCTGATTCTTAAGAAGAAAAATACTGCTCAGATTTGGATGAAATTTCTACAGAACATTGCTACGATGAAAGAATGGAAAAGCTTTGAAGTTTTTGAAAATCGCTCTAGTGATGGCAGAGAAGAAACCAAAAACAGAAAAAATAAAAATCGCTCAAATTTTGTTTTTTGATGTTTCAGAGGATCCTGATCATTTTTGAAAAAATTTTAGGAGTAAAAAGTTGGGTGGTAGGGGGCTGTAGACGGGCTTTGTTGTTAGTATATTAATACACTCTCAACCCCAGTAGTTCTACGCACCAATTAGACATATTTCACACATCCTAGATTTCGCCGTACATTTGCCCTACAAACATATTCAACAGATGGATTGCATAATCCGTCGTATATGCTATACGCACGATACAGATACACTGAAGATAGGATGCTGCGCATGTGGGCGGAGCTTCGTGACGTCAACCAGAGAGTTGTCGGCTGTTGGTTACCAGTGTAGGATTGTCGAAACGATACTGCAGTGCACGTGTATCGTGGTTAATACTATATAGTGCGATTTGTTTGTGATTTTTGGTGGGTTTTTGACTTTTTGTATTAGTTATACATACTTTATATACCCTGTGATGTTAGTAAATTGATAAAAATGCGGTGTGCTGTGGTGGGATGTAATTCCGATAATCAGTCTAAACGAAATCCTTGCAAAGACATGAAGTTCCACAGTTTTCCTCAAGACCCAAACCTTAGCAAAAATGGCTACATTATACAAAAAGAAAAATCAAAATCAATGTAAAAAGCGCTAGGGTTTGCTCAAAGGACTTTAGTGAAAGTGCCTATAAGGTCAATTTGAAACATACTCTTTTGGGTTACACCCCTAAAAGATATCGTGCTCTAACAGATGATGCCATTCCTATGGACAATTTACCCAAGTCTCTATCATCACCTGGACCATCTACATTTGTTGACGGGGAAAAGCACAAAAGTGCTTATAAAAAAAGGCAATGATCTCAACTTACCCCCAGAGTTCAAGTATAGGATAAGGTCATATATTTGGGGCGAAACGAAGGCGCATACTCAGAGTATTGCGGCATAGGGGAAGAGGATACTCCGGACATTCCATTAACCGCATCATTAATGAATAAACTGAATGCACCTGTAGTATCAGCTGACTATAAAGAGGAAGTTTTAGTGGAAGAAATATATGAGCTTGATGAGCAGGATGAGAGGTTGAAAAGTTCCTCAAATGAAACTTAGTCCTGGATAGACCATCTTAGTGAGAGCGTATTATTTCATGAATCAAATTGAGAAGCTTAATAACGTTTTTACTAACTACATTCAATGGGGACGGAATAGTGACAGAAAAGCAAAATTTTATAGGCGAACTTCTGTTGAAGAGCAACAACATTGACTGCCCTGAAAAAGCTAAGAAACTATTTTTCGAGTCAAGGATGTTCTTCTGGATCAAAGAACTGAGTAAAAGTTTGAAAGACCAGAAAAATCGTGGAAGGAAATGAAGAAAAAATGTGGCTCAAAATCAATGCCATTTATTGTTATACTGCCAGCTTACTGCAAAAAGATGATAACTCCATTTTTCTACTTTTCGAGTTGCGTAAATTTTCACACTTGCATGTAGTTAGTAGTTAGGATGTTCTGTGAAATAAGGATGAATAAATTTAGTGCAGTATTAACGTGTTAATCCTGCTCCACAGAACATACTAAAATATAGGTAATTTTTTGTTGTTTTTACAGTAAAGTGAGACGATACACGCTCTTTTGTGGAGCTAGAAAGCCGTTTAAGCTATTGCCTGTGAGATAGGAATTACAAAGTTGAAATCTTTTATTCAAATCCGCCATTTTGATTTGTATATAATTATAATGCAGCCGTTGTCACTCGCACCGCTAATACGAATTCAACGACACCTCATATGTGAAAATCTATTAAGCCGTTTGAGCTGTAGCCTATGAAATAGGAATTACAAGGTTGAAATCTTATGCTAAAATCCACCTTTTTGTTTTTTATGAATTTTCAATGTAGTTAGTGTCACTCGCACCGTTTAGACGAATCCAACGACACCTCATTATGTGAAAATCTATCAAGCCGTTTGATCTGTAGCCTATGAAGTAGGAATTACAAGGTTGAAATCTTTTATTAAAATCCACCATTTTGTTTTTAATAAAATTTCAATGTAGCTACTGTCACTCGCACCGCTAAGACGAATCCAAGGACACCTCATATATGAAAATCCGTCCAGCCGTTTGGCCTGTAGCTGAAAATATGCACGTTAGAGAGAGACAAAAAGAATTAAATTTTCTCAAAATCGTTTTAATTGTTAACACGTTTTTATAAGCTTGGCCTGTATGTATGTAGGTATGTACTCGTACATACATAAACATGTATGTATGTATGCAGGTATGTATGTATGTATGTAAGTAACAGAATTTTTGAGCATAATTTTCACCAATTTCCAGAAGTTTGATGACAATGCAATAATTTGATAACAGTTTTCCATTATCCTTATTAGGACCGTCAGGATTGATAAATTCTTTTATAGATCCTCTGTAGGGGAGTAAGAGAGATAGAGCTAGCGCGCGATCTGCGCATGCGTGCTGTTTCGGACTTACTCTTTGCTGGCTCGGGCACTCGACACAACACAACGGAGGCAGATACTTTTTCAAGATAGTGCATTATCACCTTGTTCATTGCGAATATTGCCATTAATCCTGAGTTGGGCTTCGACTGTCCACAAGATGCAAGGTTGTACAGTCGATCATGTAGTCATTTCTCTAGGCTCGCGACTGTTTGCTGCTGGACAAGCTTATGTGACACTTAGTCGTGTAAGATCTTTAGACGGTATTCGGATTGAAGAACTTGATTGCTCTAAGTCAGTGGTTGCCAACTCGTCGATCGCGAGCTACCGGTAGCTCGCAAAGGCAATTCTGGTGGCTCACGACATATTTTAAAAGGTGTAAAAATCATAGAAGCTTCCGTAAATTTTGTAAATTCTCATAATAAACACAAGCAGCTGCAACACTGCGTTGAGCCATCTGTTCGAGAACGATCTCGATTACTTTGAATGGAAAAAGATGAAATACGAAAATCTGACACAAATTATCGTGAAGCTATTTCGCCAGAAGAACGACTTGCTAGTACACTCAGGTAAAAAGTTATATGTATTAAAATTAGTAGGCTTATCGAATACGAAAACTTCAGGGATCGTGAAATAAATATTTTATTGTAATAATTGGACTACTTGTTGCCACTAGGATTAAATGTTGCTAAATAATTCGAGGCAGAATTTGCCTCCTCTGTTGGGTATATTATTGGAGTAAACCCAGTGCCGCTTGGGAAGGACGACATACTACTATCATACATACTTGCAGAATTCTGGGCAGACGCTGAAGACATTTCTTCAATATGTTCAAATTCTTCGTGCGCTATTAATTCGGCTATTTTTAGTTTTATTCGGGCTTGACGCTTTAAGGGAAATGTTTTCACAGTCTGTGCATGTGCCAAGAAAAGTGAATCAATGGCCTCGTTCTCTTTTTAGGTTTTTTACCTTCAAAATAATTAATGAGCTGTTGTACAGACGAAGATGGTGGTTCATAGCGTTTTCTGCTCGTTTTATATTTTGGTGTAGTTGCAGTCTGCAGAAAGGTGTGCCCTGGAGTAGTCACTGCTGTAGTGTTCAATGAAGAAGGTGGTGCTGTCTGTGTTGCCGAGGCGTTCTGTGCATCTTCTGCATCTACATCAGCATTTTCATCTTCTCCATGGCCGCGGTCTTCCAAATTTTCGGTTTCTACATTTCCAGCCCTTTCCTGATATATATTTGAGTTAAATTCGGCGGTCTCATAATGTATGACGTCAATATCTTTCACATTAGACGACGTTTTGGCAAATGCCAAAAAAGGACGGAAAAATTCCATGTAGTCAGCCCACTGCCATTTCTTTATGTTGCCCACTGCTTGGCCGGTCTTTGGTTTGCTGGATTTTATATATTTTGCAAATGTGTCTCTGATATTCTTCCACCTTTTTTTCACTTCATCACCTAAAAACGATTTTTTTTTATAGATTCCTTGCCACTGGTGACACCTTCTATACCATTGGGCATAGCTTTCGAGTTGGCTTTACAACAGTGAGTGCAATCGTAACCGAAATCTGTGAAGCGATATGCAGACATATGGAGCATATATATTTACCAGAACCAACAGAGAATATATGGAAAAAATGTGCTGAAGAATTTGAAAATAGATGGGGATTTCCCAATTGCATTGGCAGCGTGGACAGTAAACATGTAACAATCCAGAGACCTAACAACAGTGGCTCCAATTACTGGTGCTATTTACATAAATATTCAATAGTACTTATGGCCATTGTTGGCCCGGACTATAAATTTATATGTGTTGATATTGGTGGTTTCATGGGAAAACGATTTGAACAAAATTTAATGAGTGTCCCTGCACCTAGATTTCTCCCTGGGCAAAATGAAATCTGCTCGTACGTCTTAATTGGTGATGAAGCATTTGCTTTAAAACCATACCTTATGAGACCATTTCCTTATAAGCAGACTTTAACAGACGTCAGAAAAGAGAAATACAATGTAAGACTTGGTCGAGCTAGAAGGGTCGTGGAAAATGCGTTTGGTATTTTGTCTCCAAAATGGCGAATATTTTACAGGCCATTAAAAACTAAAGTAGATACTACTATTCTAATTGTACGTACGGCATGTGTTTTACACAATTTTTTACGAAGTAAAAGTGGCGATGACAAATATTTTCAATTCTTAGATCCCCCAGAACCCGTGCTTGGAGCTTTTACTGATATAGCAAATGATCCTCGGCGGGCAGCAAGGCTAGCATTTTCTACTCGTGACAAATTTGTAAATTATTTTAATTCTGATATGCCTATGCCCAATATATAGAATGTTCGTTTTCACATTTGTGTAGACTGTAAATTATTTAACAAGTTAATAAAAAATATTAGGTACATACCATTTGTATTTAATTCTTTTCCTATTTCCATCCAAATCTTGTCTTTCTTTCTCACATTCCTGTATTCATCGTTCGACAAATCATACAAACAGATACTATCGCAATGTAAGGCACTGGCCTGCAGTAAAAAACAAGCAGCTAAGCACACGCGTTCCAGCAGCAGCGAATTTCAGCCGGGGGAATTAAATACCCAAGGCGCGTCAGTGTAAAAACAACGGCACAAAGCCCAGCGGTTGGGTTAGAGTTGGCCTGCAATTAAAAACATTATGAGGAGTAGTAAGAAGGTGAATACATACATACCATTTCCATTCAGAATGGGAACAGAAGTTAAAGGTAAAAATGCATGTTTGTTATTTAATACATCTGCTTCC